CGGATGTTAAATGATTGATAGATCCTTGGAGAAATTATCTGGATCATTATCGATCTCTTTTATTCTAATCCGTGTCATAGATTTTTTTTCGTTACCTCATTAAGAGATTATTTTATTTCGAAAGATCATCATCGTCATTATGTTTAATTATTAATGAACGGATAATAAGAGATCGATGAATCTTTGGATATATTATTTAGAGATCGTTTTTTTTTCTTTTTTGGAAACTTTAATAATGACAAATATTTTTCTAATAGAAAAACTATATCTAATAAGTTTTCTTTTGATCCGGATTCGATAAAACGACGCGTTAAGTGTTCGAATAAGGATCTCAGGCCACTCGAAAAAAAAATGTCAAACCTACTTAGTGGTTTGTGAGTTTATGACGTGAGCTAGTGAAATATCCGAAGAATTTACGGCCACTTATAGAGTGCACGCCTTTGAGGTAGGTGTCCCTTCAAGCAGAATAAGAAGCCTTCAGTGGGTCCTTCTTCGAGGGCTCTTGAAAAAACTTTGCCTTTGCCTTTGCTTTTTTTGATTCACCGAGATACATCATTTGACAAAAGCGTAGAATTCATTTTATTATTTAATTATCCTATTTAGCATTACTTCATTTACTTTATTTTTTAAATATTCAACCACAAGTATAGATATTTTGAAACGCAATGGAGGTGTTTTCTATTCGAACCATTGATTGAATTTTTTCTCTGTTTTCGAATCATTGATACTTCGATTGAAATAAATAATTTTCATCTCCTCATTTTCTCGTTTGACTTCTCTCGCATGAAGAAACTTAGTTAGAAAGCAAAGCATAGTGAAGTCGAGCCACGAAAGATCGTGTACTCGAGATTCTTGGTAGATAAGAAGGTACGCGAGAGAAAGAAGGGTCTTTCTCATAAAATTCCCCCCTCCTCATTCCCCCATAAAGACACCTAAGTGTTATTCGCTTGCATAACCTTTCGATTACATAACACCGAAGTCGTTCGCGAGGTAACGCGCGCGAGATTAAAACGCGACTGGCCAATTAATCGATGTAAATTATTGTATGCTTCGAAGAAATCGAAGTGTTGTAAACTCCAAAAGAAGAAAAAGAAAGAGAATTAAAAAAACAAAAAAACAAAACAAAAAAACGAAAATGACTATATCAAAGAGAAGTAAAGCAGTTAATTAGAAATATAATTAAGCAATTGCGCGCACACGCGCAAACAGGTTTCAATATTTATATATACATTTAAATATAATTTGTATATAATTTCGTGCGTATAAGAAAAAAAATACTCTGACGAAAGAATAATTTTATAAATATACTGAAAGGAGAGAGAGAATATATATTCTAATGGATGTATCAGAATTTTTTTGACTGAATAATATGACGCTTAAGAGAAGATAAGACCCCCAATAATAATCGTTGGAATTCGAGTGGATTGAGAGAAAGGATAAATTTATTGCTCGATCTTTCTCTTCGTTCGGGTCAACGACGGCAAACTGAGATGTAACGGTAAACTGATTGTGAGTCAGTCAGTCAGACAATGCTACTTCACTACACAAACAGTAGTCGGTAATAGAAAACAGCTCAAATTTGTGACGTTTTACTATTATTCGATTTAATACTATCAGTCAAAACTACGGTCATCTAAATGTTTTGTATTCGAGAAAAAAGAAGAATCTCGATCGATCGATCGATCAATCAATCAATCAATCAATCAATCAAAATCAATCATTCAAAAATGATTCTTTCATAGTGTAGTAATACTCTCGGTCATTGACGAGTAAACTGGCGCCTTGGGATGATGCCGAATGGATGGACCAAAAGAAGAAGAAGAAGAAGAGGGGGAGAGATGAGGGAGGAGGGGATTGGGGATTTACGATGAGAGTAAAAATAGCCAAGAAAGAGAGAAAAAGAGAAGAGGAGGAGGAGGAGGAGGAGGAGGAGGAATACGTCCGTTCATTGACGAAAAGCAATACGGTCGTCGGCTTTGGTCCAAATGAAAGAAAGAGAAAGACTGTAGGGGGAATGGGAAGGGGGACAAGGGGGGGGGGTGATTCAAGTGGCCACAAACGTCGGCCGTTCCACCCGCAGTTTCGAACTCACGCACACATAATATAAAACGTATGATGATACACTAAACAAACGGGATGCCTGTTACGCTTGACTGAAAAAGAAACTGAAACTAATATCTTTGTCGCTTTTAATAATACGACACAATATGTGTCATAGGAAAAAGTTACGTGTTATATTCCACACATTATTTTAGAAATAGTTTACAAGAGTTCAGTTATCAAAATTTGTGTTTTCATATAGATCGTTTTATTTGGAATATCAATTTAGAAAAGATTTCTAATTTTTCCGTTTAGAAACGAAAACACGACGAAAGTTTTGGTCCTCTCGTACTATTATTAGAGTAGCTCCAGCCAAGTGCATCGACTGCACGTTCTAAACCGGTGACTGTTAGCTGCATTCAACCTTAGGAATAAGGAAAATAAGAGATAGAGAGAAAGAGAGAGAGATAGATAGATAGATAGATAGATAGAAAGAGAAAGAGAAAGATGATAAATTTATGAATCTTCTAAATCTCCTCAAGATATTATAATCAAGCTATTAAATATAAGAACCCTTTCCTAAAGAATAAAATCGTATTCGCACGAGACACAAATATATTTATATCAATTCACAATTGTGGAAGAAAAAAAGGAAGAAATAAATAAAAAAAAAAAGATATTTTATATAAATAATTATTATATATACGTATCTCACAAAAGATGGATTACGATCGCATGAATAAATATAATCGTGGTGTGTAACACGCGGAAAACTAGCCGCGCATAAAACGCAGAAATGCATCGAAGACGTTTGTGTTGCACTTCTACAGATAGTTTCGCTTCACGTCATTAAATCGTAGCCGGTTTCTTTGCTAATACATGCCGGTGAAACTAAGTCTCTTAGGTGTATACAACGAAGAACGATACGTACGATATTTATACGTATACATGTAGAGTACGTACTCTAACATACGAAAGCGTCCAATTAAATCAAGGCCATCTTGATAACGTCGTTTAGAAGACTCGATCGAGCAAATGCACGGACATCCGTGTTTGGCGCCTTCGATCAATTTTTCTTTTTTTTCTTTTTTTTTATACTATTATTTTTTTATTTATTTTTTTTTCTCTACATTGGCATCATCATCAACGCAGCAGCAGCAGCAGCATCTTCTTCCTCCTCCTCTTTCTCCCCCGCTTCTTCTTTTTCTTCGTTTTCTTCTTTTGATAGAGCGTAAAATATTGCAACGCATGACCGAACGTTTAGAACGATACTCGTTGTCGGTTTTGCATCGCTAAATTTGACGTTAGATTTTCTAATTCTATCTCTAGAAGTTTAAAGAGAAATATACTATTTCACGATGTAGAAATATATACTCATTTGAACACTATATAAATGAATTTTATATAATATTGAAATAACAAACACTATTTAACGATGATTCATTTTTTGATCGTGAAAATTACACATTGAATTAAATTTTCATTTCAAGTAATGTTGTGTGAAACAACTGATATAAATTTATTTTATTTTTTTTTTTTATTTTTTTTTTCAATTTTGACTTAGACCACTTTCATAATTATGGGCAAATATATTTACTAAAGTTTCAATATATCAAGGGAAGATCTATTCTAACACGCGAATAACTGAAGATCGAGGCCGTTAACCAGAACGAAGAGAAGAGAAGAGAAGAGAAAGAAAGTCCATGAGGAGGAGATCGTTCGTTCGTGCACTCGTATATATATATATGTAACGTTCTGCATCAGAAATAGATCTACGTGGTAGTTTCTTAACTACACCTCTAATCAATTTCAAACAAAAAACTCATCGTAAATCTGAAAACGCATAGTTTATATAGGAAACAGCCCGTATAAAGTTCTCCTCCCGTTCACCGTAAATAGTAAAAGAAGAAAAGTAGTCTATTACAAATATGGCGGAGAGTGATTTAATTTCAAATAAATCAATCTCGACGTACTCTTAACACAACAATTAACATTAAATAAAAGCATAAGAAAGAAAGAAAGAACAAAAAAAAAAATGCGCAGCTGTTGCAAATAATATATCGATTAAATGGGAATAAATAATTTTGATAAAAGATCAAAATCTGATAAATAGTTTAGGAAAACAGGAGGAGGGTGCTACTGCTGCTGCTGTATGAAGCTCGTTCTTCGTAAGTAGTAAAAGAAATAAGGTTGTTATCGCAAATATGGCGGGTATAGTAGTATATATGTATATCTAACACATTAGAGAGGAAAGAAGGATACTTGGGAACGCAAGAAAAACGCATCGATGCAAGTCGTTGCCGCCGCCAAGTTGGAGAACGTTGATTTCACGTCTGCCGCCAAGGAAATTGGAAACCATCATCCTGCTCGTTTGTTTGTCCAACCAACTCTCCGAACGATCGTCGTGGCCGCAGACGAGAGAGAATCAGCCAAGCGTGTGCGCGTTCTCTTTCTCTCTCTCTCTCTCTCTCTCTTAAGCGCATATCGAAAGACGATGCAATACGAATTATATATTCAACGGCAATGTTTTAGCGCCGATAAAGGACTACCGTGTTAATTGGCCGGTGATCGTATTAGCGATTAAACCTCACTTTTCATATCTTCCTTTTTCTTATCGTAGAGTAATTTGTCTTATCTTTCTTATATTATTGGTTTATCGTTTGATATACATACGATTCGTTTTCTCCTTATATCGCGCTCGTTAATATTGACATTATAAATTCATTTAATTAATAAACTATTATAAAGAGAGAATTTTTGTTTTCGGTATGATGATATATGTTTTGTAATAAACTGAACTTAACTACAAAAACAATATATAATATAGTATAAAAATTGAGACAAAAGAAGCTCGCAAAACTATTGTATACTTAAACTAGCCTAAGAAAAATAATATTTAAACGAATCGAATATAAAATGAAATGAAATGAAATGAAGTAATGATAAAAATGAAATTTCAGGCACGAGTACGGACCTGGTGCCACAATTATTGGGCATGTTCGACGAGCTTGCACGTCGTGGCAACGGTTACGATCACGATCACGTAGTCCTCTCAGCATCGTGTAATATACCAGCGGCTTTGCAGAAGCGATTGAGCTTGGTACCGCACTCCCAACGAGGTTCCATATTCGGTCAGCTTTGTGGCGAGGCAACTAAGAAAGGTAGTAGCGGTAGTGGTAGTGGTACCAGTAATAGTAATAGTCATCGAGAAAAGAGTGACGAGATGTGTGAGAGAACGGAAGAAACGGACACAACAAGTACGATAGACGTTGTGGTCACTCAGCATCGAGTAGACAACAACAACGAAGATGACGACGAAGAGGAGGATGAGGAGGTCAAGGTGGACAAAGAAAAAGATGGAAGTAGATTGTCGATCAACGTTCTCGAGCAAGACGATAAGAAGAATTCATATGTACAAGAAACAAACGCCAATGGCAATGGACTGAATCAACTTAGGTACAAAAGAAGATGCAGAAGTGGAAGACCATTGTCTGGTAGTTCAATAGCCTCTAGTACATCGTCCAGTGGTTGCAGCAATCAGGGAAACACATGTGCAACTAATCCATACTTAGCTTCCGTCGAATCCTTAGCTGACACTTGTGCCAGTTCTCAAGGTACTAGTTTGAATTTACTGAAACTTTAATAAAACAATTTATCATGTTTTTAACTCGAGTGATTATTTGTAGGCTCAGGTGATAGCGGAGTTGCTACGGTATCCGAAGCTAGCTGTCGTATTGGTAATGGTACCAATGGTCAAAGAAGAGACAGCACCGAAGGAAACGCGCCCTGTCATCGTCCACGTTATTGCGATCCTCATCGTAATCCTGTTGAAAGAGTACTTCTCGAAATCATTGATACCGAAGCAATATATGTCGAACACTTGCGACAAGTCATACAGGTAAGATTGTTGAAGATTTGTTTGAAATTTGTCTTCAACGATCTATACAAATCTGGGTATATTTTGTAATCAGGGCTATCTCATCTTTTGGCGAGACAATCCCACGTCTTTTGTACATCAATTACAACTGAGTGATTTATTCAGCAACATCGAGGATATTTTCGAATTCAACAGGTACATTATTTGTTAGAAAAACCTAACACAGATTATTGAGAAAATACGAATACTAAATATATAATATTTCATTTCAGAGAATTTCTCAAAGAAATCGAAAAATGTTCTTTTGATCCGGTTCGTCTCGCGAACACTTTCATCAAGCACAATTCAGGATTTAAAGTCTATACCGAATACTGTACAAATTATCCCAGGTAAAAACGCTCTCACCAATTGATTCCATCGCAAATCCTTAATGGCAAAAATTCCAAAGAAACTATAAGATATGCTAAAATTGTAGAACTGTCTCTGTGTTAACCGACTTGATGGGACAAGAGGAGACAGCCAAAGCTTTTAGAGAAAGACAGGCAGCTTTAGATCATGCTTTACCTCTGGGATCATTTTTGTTGAAGCCTGTTCAAAGGATTCTCAAGTATCACCTGTTGCTAGAGGTAAAAAAAAGTCGATCAATCGATCGATCGATTCGCATGATTGGACAATCCTGATGAATAACAATTGTCGATGCAATTTTTAGAATTTATCGAAAGAGTATGGCGCAGATTGTGACGCTCGAGAAAATGAAACTGAAGGAAGAAATGCGATCGAGGGTGCACTCGCAGCGATGACTGGAATAGCAAAACACATTAACGCGATGAAGAGAAGACACGAACACGCTGTAAGAGTCCAAGAAATTCAATCGCTTCTTTATGGATGGTCAGGACCCGATTTAACTACCAGTGGTGAACTTATCGCCGAAGGTCGCTTCAGAATGAGAGGAGCCAAAGCACCGAGACATGCATTTCTCTTTGACAGGATGTTACTCCTGACGAAGAAGAAGGAGGATGGTTTATTGGTCTACAAAGCTCATATCATGGTCGGTTTTGATGTCTTATATTTCTTTTAAATAAACCTATTGATCACAAGCCAATATTTTGCAAAATTTCATACTAGTATTAAAATATTATTTCAGTGTTCCAACTTGATGTTGATCGAGAGCATCCCGGGAGAACCATTAAGTTTCCATGTAATACCCTTTGACAATCCAAGGTTGCAATACACATTGCAGGTAAAAAATAAAACTAAAAAATATATTAAACGCAAAATATATGATCAATATAAAATAAAGAAATTAATATAATTTCTTTTGTTTTCTTTCTTCAGGCACGCAACCTGGAACAAAAGAGGGAGTGGACATTGCAAATAAAAAGGGTAATCCTTGAGAATTACAATGCTGTTATACCTTCTCACGCCAGGCAGCTGTTTCTACAACTTGGTCAGACTCAACACGAAGGTAATGGTTATTGAAAAATATTAGACGCGAAAGATTTTAATTAGCGGTTTATTAATTTGTACTAATTGAAATTAATTAAGCAGACGATTCTCCGACCGACAAAAGTTCGGCGAAAAAGTTGTACTCGGCTCCACCGGAATATTTAGAGAAACGTAAGCAAGAAAGAGAAAGAAGAAGATCAGAAACTGGTATCAGACATAAGTTCAAAAAGGGTACAAGAAAACCCGAGTCACCTGCTATCACTACTGAGGTAAAAATTAATTTTCTTAACATTAACACTTTAAATCTGAGACAACAAAGTAAATGTAGATGTTAATTCTTCAGAATTCACCGGCATCTTTACGGAAAAATCCTAGTCACGAGACTGAGGTACACGACTCGAGAGATCAGAATCTTAACAGATGTTCCGATGGACGTACTCTGAAAGTTAAGGTATACCATGGATGTTTTTTAGAATGATAAATACTATAGAATAAAAACTAATACTATTAAAATATTTAATACTCGAATCTCTCATTTTTCATAGGATCGTTTTACTGGATGGCGAAGAAAATCAGAGCCAGGATTTCAATCTTACGTTTGCCTGAATCAATCAGACGAGGATCAAAAAGAGGACATGGTTGATATAGGAACAACTCAGGTGGAATCTGATCGTACGATCAATGCTTCTAGCAACGAGGAGAGCAAACCAACGAATTCTCAACAAGTTGAAACCAAAGAGAACAATGAACAACAGACTGCAACGACGCCAGTAGCCCAAACGGTTGAGGAAATAGTTGGTCATATTCTGATGCAGAATCAAGAGTTCCAAAAGTTGTTAGAAAAGCAGAGAACTAGTAGCAGCATAAACGTTAGACAACAGCAAAGATTCATCAAGAGAATTTCAGCTGACACTTCGGACGAAAGCGATTGCGAGAATGCTAATTACGTTGGCGGAACATCAAACAATCGCGTACGTTCATCTCATCGCGAAAGCCAAAGATTGGTGAGAACAAACAACGCATGGAATACGTTTTCTTCGTCCAGTGCACGTGACACGCCTCAGCCAGCTCTCAGGCTACTCTATGATAACTTCAAATCTTCGGATAGTAAGACTAGTGTACACGAAACGAGTAGTACAAAGAACAACGTAAATAGAGTACACGAGAAGAGGGCTCTTTTCGAAGCTTTTAAAAGACAAAGTATCGTGACTGAGAGTAAAATCATAAAGACTGCTCTGAGAATTCGAGAGAACTCAACATCTACCAACGATGATCCGAATGAAACTCCTCCTGTATTAGGTAACGATCAGGATTATTCGGAGAAGGCTAACGAAGTTCAAGTATGTTCGGAAGGAAAAGATAAAACTGATGATAATCAACAGGAGAACGTCAAGGAAACTGACGAATCCAAAGGTTTCGGTAACTACGATAATCTTCAACATGTTTGGGAAGGTCTTCAAGAGGAACAAGATGTTAATGGAAGTGACAGTCCAACCAGGCCGGCTATTTGGTTGACCAAACTCTGTGAAGGTTTACCAACTTCTCCGCAAAAGTGTGGATCGTTGCCTCGTAGCTTTCAGATCAATCCAAATTCTCCTCAACCTAGCGTGACCAAATCTCGATTTCTTCAAAGGGATGGAAAACCAATGACTGAAAGACCTTTTACGATAGCCTCGGACAAACCTGCTGAGATTAATCTCGAGGACATGGAAAGATATGCTTCAAGTTGTCAACCCGAAGGTAGGATTGCTAAATTTCCAACATCTGTTTCGACGTCAACCTCAACATTTTTCTGCTCGCTCGATGATACTTTGAATGACGCTTACTCTGAAATTCACATGGTTTCACCTACGACCACCAACATTCATCCTGATCATAAAATTTATAGAGCCAATGGTAGTACCATGTTCAAAAATGTATTATCCAAAGCTGGGAGTCGTTTGCAAGGTCTCAGAAATACTCTTAGTACTGAAACCCTCGAATGCAGCGAAGAGATAGAAAGAACAAAATACTTCCGTTCATTAAGTAATGTAAAATCAAAGAGAAAAGGCAAATCTAAACATTCTAGGGAAAGTTCTTCGGACGTTGAGGAACTGGTTGGATGTGTATCAGCTGGTGGACCTTCAGATTATAGAATACCATCGTTGTATTACAAACAAGGAAGTTCTAGTTTGGGTGCTCGTATAGCTCAATCCGATTATGCAGACCCTACTGTACTTTTTGCTGAAAGCAAACGCAATGGTCAACAAGCATCCAACGTTCCCGAAGAGACAACGAAAAAAGACGAGAATTCGAAAGAATATGGAAGGAATAAGGAAGAAGAAGAGGAAGAAGACGAGGAGGAATCTCCCAGAAGAGAAACTAATCGACGGGAAAGCGAAACTGATAGTTTCTACGAAAGATCCTTTGAGATCATTGAAAATTATGTTGACGTTGATGTTGACGAAGTTTTTCGGGACAGTGCAATATTCAGTGATGCCGATGATGTCCTCCTAATGCGTTCAGACTTCAGAGAAGCTGGTACGTCGTCTGGTAATAAACAAAAAGTGGCACCTCCAGTTCCTGCAAAAAAAAGATCAGAATATTCGTCGGTGTCATCAACAGTGTCATCGACGGTGTCAAATATTGTTCAAGAAAGTACGATTGGCAGACCTTACGTAGCACAAAAACCTGATTACCTGAAAATCAAGTCAATGTTCTTGCGAACACAGAGTAATAATAGTCCAGAAAGTAAAACTTCATCTGTTAGGTCATCCTTCATGAAAAGAGATGTTGAACGAAAGTGCATAATGAATGACGAAGCTCAAAATGAAGGACCTGATGATGTTCCCAGTAATGATAACGATGATGTATCTGCTGGACAAAGTCAGGCCGGTTGGGTTAAAAAAATAGTTTGTCAATTGCAAGGGCACGTTGAGACATAATTTAATAGCATAAGAATAATCCTTTTTTTCTATCCCCTGTCTTTCAAAATTCCAAGACGTAATCGACGATCTAGTGTTGTTTTTTTATTTAAATGAAATTTTATCTCAATTATTTTTTGTTCTTTTATTTCTTTTTAAGTTGGAAAAATCGTTCGATTCGTTTGAAATTTCATGGATTGATCTCTATTACGTACGAATGATATTTCGTGCTTAATTATAATTCATGTTTAATTTTATTTTATGTATTATCGAAAACGAAAACAAGTACTGCCTATTTTTACTTACTTCGTGTAAAAAGTACAATTGTTAATTTAACAAGAGATGTAAACGTGACGTTCTTTATTTTATTTAATTCTAATATCTTTAATATTCGAAATTATTTTGTATTATCTGAATCTAATAATAACGCGATACTCTAATATTGTTGGACGAAATTAAATTAAATAATGAATGTTTTTTTTCTCAGAAATATCAATTAATTTTCTCATCTAATTGTAAGAGTGAACCTGATCCAAGAACGAGTATCAATTTTGTTCGTTGTTTGAAGAAAGAAAGAAAGAAAGAAATTGTGTTCAACTAGTAAGGTACAACGTAAGCGTTATCTATTCAAAATCAAAGAAATAATATTGTATCTATGAAGGAAGTAACTGATGTTACGTCGCATGTGTTTCAGGATAGATTATGTTATTTTGTATAAAGCTAAGAATTAAAGAGAGAGAGGACTCTATACATTGTTGTATCGTAATGTGCTGTTAATGTACATAGTAATATAATTTTTTTGTAAAATTTCAACTGCGATCAGCTCCAATCATTTATCCTTTTTTTGTTTTATCTTTTCCCCTTTCGTTACAGCATGCTCGTTCCTTATAAATTCGTTCGTACATGAAAAATATATATATATGTTATGCACATATATTATTTCAGGTAGGTTTTATTATGAGAATGTCTATGTACAGTAGAGGTTTAGAACTAGTCGTGCTTAAAAATATAAGTTGTAAATTATACATAAGAAATCATAAATTATATTTTCACAATACTGTATTTATATAAAAACTTCTAAAATCAAAGCTTCATAAGTCGAAGATAAAATTCGTTATACACATTATGTACAACTGCAGTAATTACGCTTTTAATTACTACTTCTTCCATTAACGCTCAGTCCTATATATTTTTTTTTGTTCTTATTAATTTTCTTTTTGTTTATTTTTTTTTGTTTTAATATATTTCTTGGAGAGTCGTTCCTCTTCCTTGTCTCGCAATTCGAATATAAAGAATAAAATAACATTCATTTGTCGTCTATATGATTTAAGGAATCCTCCTCCTCCTCTGTAATCGACGTTGTACAGATGATTCATATTTATTATTGTTTTATAATTACATTTGTTATTTTATGCATCGTGATTAATGTTGTAATAGTTAATGTGAAATAATGAATCTTCGGTATGCAACATCGTTTATTATCGGAGGATGATACTCCTTAAAAAAATCTACTTTCTCTTTTTTTATCGAGTTACATTATCGTACCATACTTTTATCTAGAATAATTATATTCCATCATGAAAGAATATTCGTATCCGTTGCTATATGCATGTGTCACTAAAGCTTTGGTTAACAACATATCGACGAATAAATTTATGTATGTATATAGAATTTCTTTATCCTTAATCTCACGAGCTAACGAAGTTCTTGAGAGAATACTTTTTTTTCTTTTTCTCGTTTTACACAAAATCACGTATATTATTTATCTCTTTTATCTTTTATAATTACTTTTCCCCCTCTTCGAAGCTGCTTTGCATTATTTAAATATAGATATATATATATATATATATATATATTTATATATATACACACACACACATTTATTTACACACGTGTGTATGTATGCATATACATATATACTTAATCTTTCTTTCTCTTTTTCTTCTTCTTCTTTTTCGTCTTTTTCATTTTTTCTAATTTATTTTTCAAAATATTCGAATGTCTTTTATACTTTTTAATACATTATACGTTCGTCTCTTTCTCTCCTTAAAAATTAATACAAATTAGAACAAAAATTCAAATTGTTACAACTTCTCTTCGTTATAAAAAAGAAATCTATTCCGGGTAATATGTACGTAAATAAAAAACTTGAAATCAATGTTTCTACATTATACACCATAGAGACAAAGTCATCAATCAATCAATCAATCAATCAATCAATCTATCTATCTATCTATCTATCAATCAATCTGGTCGATGTGGACAGGTACACAATTATCGCTGTAATACCACTACATGAACCTAATTTTTCTGTTCTTCTTTTTCTCTTTCTCTCTTCTTCTCTACAAATAGATTTAATATAAATCACTATTTCGTTAACTATTTTCACTATAAAATGAGATACAATAAATACATATATATAGTCAAGTATATACAGATTTTGAACTTAAAATTCAATTTTTTGCAAATTAAATTCCTCCTTTGCAAAAGAGTTGAATTTGAACCGCAAAACCTGTATTATATATAATATATATATATGTATTAAATATATATATATATCAGGACGTTCTAAAACTCGTGGTCGTGAGCAGAATATAGATATGTGTTGATCTGCGTATGTATAGGTTTATGGACACTTTCTTTCTCATTGTCAGTTACAATTAAACGTTTCGTGTCTTTGTGTTGGTTTGTTTGTTTAATATGCGATTTGTTTTATCTTTTAAAGGGGGGAATTATTATATTTTTGTTGTTGTTGTCTTTTTTCTTTCGTCTTTTCGTTACTTCGTCGTATCGCGTTTGGTCTATTCATTATAATTATTATTTTAATAAGTGTCAAAGCTCTCGCTCTCTATTTTTATTTTCTCAATGAATTATTTCGTCGTTGAAATGTTCTTTTTTTTAAATCCTACATGCTCGTACACGTATATACAATTAAACTAACAGAAAATTTTACGTTATTTTCCTTTCGTTTGGATTAATATCTTTTTTTTAAATTTTCTCTGCGTTTTAATATATTTTTTTTATTGTTTTTATTCTTGTCACGCAATACGCTCGCATGCCGATCATCTATGAACATCTATATATTTTCTTTTTTAAAATATTATTAATTGAAAATTGTATTAGAATCGTGTTTTTAGAAATTATTGTCATTATAATAATAACATCGAAAACTCTTGTGGACCGACACGTTCCTACGAAGAAAAATATTTTACGAGACACACACGTACCATAAGCATGCTTGCGTGTTTACGTCTAATTAATTTATTTTTTTTATCTTTTCTTCTGTTTTTTTTTTTTGTTTTAGCACGAATATCGTAATGTTTACAATGCAATTTTGATGCCTGGAACGATGCAGCACGCATAGAATCTCATCAAATATTTATATTTAATATATATGTATATCGATTTCTTTTTCTATATTCTTTCTATTTTTTTATTTTTATTAGTTAATAAATAAAAGCAAAAGTTACTTAATCGCGTTCCTTGTTAAGAAAGGAACTTTTATTTTCCCATTTTTTTTTCTTTCACGAGCGTACGCGTGCTACATTTATTATATTTTTTTTTTACTTTTCCCTTTAATTTTCAATTTTTTTTGTCATATTTTTCCTTCTTATATTTTTGGTTTATTTTTTTACGAAATTATTTCTAATTACACAACATATACGTACATCAGTCAATCATTTAATCCGTCATATAACACAATAATTATTACGATCTGTGCTACAACAATGTCTTATCAAACTTTTTTTTATATTAAATTCATTAATTTATTTATTTTAATAATTAATTACGGATCTCTGACGCTTGTACTCTTCGTTAAAGTTAGAAAGAAGATGCATCGTAAAATATTTTACACATATTTTTATGTATATATGTATGTGTTTCTACGTCGTATATGTATTTATGTATGTATTTGCTCGTGTGTGAGTGTGTATTAAAATGCAGAGCATACGACCATAAAACGTACCTAAATATATGACTAAATTTTTTTATTTAAATACGATTAATAGGGAAGACATTGTTGTATCTATTTTCCTTTTTTAATTCTTCCTATCCTCCACCACCATCTCATTATCATTATCATCCTCATCATCATTATCGTCGTTTAATTTATACCGTTAAGTATGCATGTTTGTTCATTTCTTCCCCCATCTCCAAAAAATAATGAATGAATTACCGAAAACTTTGATTGAATAATTCGATTTGGTGTTTGATTGCAACATAGCAACGATTATAATATATTACAGGCTTAATTATCAAACATGTCTTCCCACAAACGGGTAAGATCGTTTCCTTTCTAATATATTTTTTATTTACACTTCGCATTTAAATTCGGCATTCGGCTCGCTAAGGCAACGCATGAGAGGAAATAATATAGCAAATGATTGATTTTTAAATCTCTATCTTGTCATCATTTTTAAATGCAATTATTTACGTGCACGCATTTACATAAATTTCTTTTCCTTTCCTTTACTTTCGTAAAACAAATCCAACATCGTGAAGTAATATATGCATACATATTATTATATATATATATATACGTGCATATATTATTTCAAATCACAGCATAGGTGGTGTAAAAGAAATAATCGTATCAACGATGCATAAAAAACAAAGAAAATGTATAGTAAAAAGGATATAAGAAATATGATCTTAAAAAAGTGTCGCTATAAATCTCTATAATATATACTAACATTATACAATAATAAAATAATTATTATTACAATGATATTTTACAATGAAACATAAGTGGAGAAAAAGTAATGAATGAATCATACTTTTCTTTTTTTTAATTGTGAACAAATTAACGATAATTATACCACCCATGCTCCGCCATGATGAACGAGCGCGAGTATAGGAAGCTTTTATATTTTGCATCTCGTCTCACTAATATTATGACAATAATAATAATAATAATAATAATAATAATAATAAATTTTGTTGATAATATGTAATACTTTCTTCAGTCATCTATATCCTATGTACAGAGCAAAATTTTATATAAAATACCGAAATACTTCAACATTTCCAAGAGAAGTTTTCTCCATCTCCATCTTCTTCTTCTTTACGCATTCGACGATACTTTTTATATACGTTCCTCCTTCTTTTTTTTAATTACTAATTCATTATTGCGTATGCCTGTCTTTCTCTCTTTCATTCTCTTTCTATCATAACTTGTAATTATTAATAATGCATACACAATAATTGAAAAAATGAAAAAAAATAAAGTAGAGAGGTGGAAAAGTGCCAGACTTTATTGACGAAAGATCGTATATATTCGATCTTCGAAAATTTTCCATGTTTGATCTATCTGATATCTTCGATTTTTTATAACGCAGATAAAATAAATAATACGTGCACTTAAATATGTTCACGGAAATGTGTGTATATGTTATGTGTGTGTTACGTTATCCACTATTAATCTCATATTTGCGCAAGCGATATAGGATTTTAAAAAAATCAAAATTAAAAAAGCAAAGTAAATAAAACGTAATATTATATTGACTTAAATTTATGCCAGTTTATACCATGCTCAAACTAAATGATGATCAATATAAATTTATTCATTCCAACTACCTCCTGATACAATTAACCCTCTATAATCTAATTTATTTTTTGTTTTTGAGAATGCCTATAGGAAATATTTATTTAATATAAAACTTATAGTATAATTTTTAATATATTATACTAATTGCAAGTATATATATACACACTTTGTTACAGTGAAACTAAGCAGATACATTAGTGTGCGTCAAAATAACATAGCGTTATAAAGGGTTAAAGTATGCTAAATAAAAAACTAAACAATTATTACCGATGACTTGTGACAATGAAAAAATGAATAAAGTTGATAGCTTAATTGTAATAGTTACGCGTATTAAATTTTCATATTCACTTTGTGCTAGTTGCCTTTAAAATGCTGATAACTTATTTGTTCTATTTTTTTATTTTGTGGAGGCCATAGTCTGTCTAGTCGTCAATTTAGTCATCTTAAAATAGTGATCTATAGTGAGTGTCACTTAAAATTGTACACCATTATGCTTAGTAAACCAATAGTTTTCAAACAAAAATCTAGTAAGCGTAATGGTGTATGATTTTAAGTAACACTCGCTGTAAATTTGTTTTTTGTTTAAAAATTAAATTCCGTTGATGTGTTTTTTTTCTTCTATGCAACTTCCTATAATTAAATATCTTCCTTTCCTTTCTCTCTCTTTAAATTTGAATTCAGCAAATAAGCGAAATGGATAAGATGATTCTTAAACTACGATTTTATACAATGTAATATCATGTGTTACGTATATTATATTAGTTAGATTTAAATCGACAGTAGACTAGACTCAGGCTCTACAAATTCTAAAAACTGTTCTCGAACAAATCGGAGTCAACATGAACTGGTTGGAGAAAAAAAAAAAAAGAAAAAGAAATCTTCATGCAATTAGCTTAACGATAAGTTTTCAAATTACTTTACTTTTGACGAAGTTCTATTAAATCCAGCACTCTTCCTTCTTGCAAGACCATAGTCTCTCCTCTCTTATACAATATACCACAAACGAGAAACTTCATTTCTTCCAGTCTTCAAGCCAATCACAAGAGAATTCATTTAGTTGTTTTTCTTTTCCTAAATATTTTCAAGCGTGATACTTATTAATATCACATTATAATAATTATGAACATAAAACTTATATTTATCTGATCGAATATCCGGCTGACATTTATTATTAATCGTTAATTATCGAGCAATATTGATTTCATCTTTAATTTTTCCTTTTTTAAAATCACATTGCATTTAAGGCTATTCGCAAATATTAAATAATAAACTGTTGATAATATTATCCTGCATAATTATCAACAGAATATTTTCTCTTAAACTTAAATATACATATATATATATATAAACTGGATCAATTATTTGAACATATATCATTCGAAGATAAAATAATTTCTGATTACTTTCATCAACATTAATTATTTTTTTTATATGAAATGTGCATTGTTATTATTGTAATTATTAAAAAATGATAGAGCATTGGACATGATTTTATCCAATGTTCGTATAATAAAATTAGACATTTTCAAAATAGCCCTATGCCTACCAAGTCAAAACTTATACTGAAAAAGGGAAGAAGATATTGCGCTTTATATTATTTCATTTATAATAATAAAACTTTAATAAAAAGAGAGGTTTGTACTAATGATTATTTCAATGTTAAAATTTTAACGTTATATAATTATTGTGTTATTGAAAATAACGTTATATAGTTCCTGCCAGAAAAATATACATATATACTATATGTTGTGTTACTTTATTTTTATTTTTTAGAATCGATGAACTATACCATTTATTATTCACTTAATATTTCGTATCTAAATCGTTGTATTTTCTTTCATCTATAATTAGTTAAATTATTTAATTATATATATATACGCGTGTGTATGTATGTGTGTATGCTATTGTAAACTACATCGAATAAGTAAGAATTATTAGACGTTAGAGAATATTATTTGTAATATGGCAAGCTTGCTTGTAAATAGACATTGCATATAATTCTCATAAAATCTTTGAAAAAAAGTATTGTTCTCTTTTTTGAAAAATATAAGCTAACACTTGTTTTTCCATCCCTATATTCGTACCTACTCTCTAAATAAATAAATACTAATTCTTTTTAATTATAAATACTATTAAAGAAAAAAAATATACAAAAAGTAAAACAAAAAGAAAGACATTTAAATAATATAAGCTTTGTTTTGTCAGGCAAAAGGGCACATTTGGACATATATATATATATGTTTTCTTATTGTTGTTTTTAAATTGCGACATGCTTTTTTAATCTAACTTGGTATTTCGTTCAATTATCGACACTTATTGAAAAGAATACTTAATTTTTAAAAATTGTTTTGGCCAATGTACTAGTCTCTACGTAACATCAACTATATTCAAAGATAGATAGTATTGAGTAAATTATGTACAATTGGTGTACATGTTTCTGTAATTATACTATATCCGTCACCTTTCTCATGACTCTTAATCAGGAGGAAAAATTAATTATAATCTTTTTACCTTACCAATTTATCCAACAATCTATTTTCGATTAAATCATTGCATCCGTATGTAATCGACGGTGAATCATTAACATTCACTTGCGACGTGAGAGGCTTGTTTTTTTTATTTACATATTAAGATGTAAGAGAGTTGTCGCTCAATAACTGGCCTCATGCCCTGCAAGTATATATAAATCTGCTCCTTCAGTCTCTGTCAATGTTCCCGTGTGAACCAAATGACTTTCCAACATTACAACCCTATTGCATAAAGAACATTGATTAATATTCCACGTAAAATTTAATTTTAAGATGATCTAATAAATTTTAATCACTATGTACTTACTTATCAGAGCCAAGTAACCTATAGGTTCTGCTGGGATCACTTATTTCCTGCGTAACTTCGCCATTCTTAAAACTTCTACCTTGCATACCATGTTTATGGAATGCCAATACACTATCCGGTAGACAAACTAATAAAAAATATAAAATAATAATTAATACAACTATTATACGTATGTAAGAATAATTGATTATTATACTTGTCTCATATAATACTTACTAATTGATTCTATCTGAAAATTAAAATGCAGTTCCGACATCTGCTTCTTGCTTACCCTGAGTTTTCCTTGTAATGTAACAACCTTAACTACATCTAAATGAAAAATATCACGTTGAGAAGAATTATGTTACAGATAAATTATTATAATTACTTGTAATATTAATGGCTTACTTTCATAACATACAAGTATTGCATCCTTCTCGAGTTGCGTCACGTTAATGACATGAAGATTTTCTCTCCTTGGTATCACAGTTGCTAAAACAATATTAATTGTTAGTTTATTTTTAATATAACAATGATTTAAAAAAATGTGAAGTAAAGAATCACCTGAGCCATCCATATCTTCTAACTCGTCACTATGGAACCAGCTTGCTCCAGAGTTCATATTAATTAAATCCAATTTTAATTTATTTTGTTGATATGGTTGCTTGACCGATACACATACCATCGGATATTCCATTTCAGGTGTAATAATCATTTCAAACACGTTTAAAGGTGACGGAAGAGCGCAATCAAAGTGCTTTAAAAGCATAAATTTGTTTAAAGGATCGTACCACTGCATCAAAAATATTCCAGCTGGCATTGCTCCGCAAAGGTACTTGTATCTGTATTTATAATTTGTTTTAAATAGTTAAATATTTACATTATATGTTATACATGAACAAAACTTCAACTCACCCATTGTACGGATTTCTTCCAACGCAACACTTAGTGCAACCTTTAGTATCTGGTACTTTAGTAGTGAGTGCAAATTTTCTAGGTACTAATCTCTCTGGTATTTTGTTCATATGCAATGAAAACCTATGAGTCTGTTTGCTTTGCATTGCTAATAAATCATGTCTGTATAATTGAGGTGTTTTCCCTACAAAATACAATCAATTTAATACAATATTATTCATTTTGATATTTTCAAATATATAACCAAAGCAATGTTTAAAAATCTTTTAGAAAGGCAAATAAAAATTTTACCAGATAAGGACATAAGGACATCCTTGATAACATACATCCAAATTGTACGTCTAGGATATAGTTGATCTATTGCGGTTTCATGGAGTTCATTTAAGTTTAAATTATAAATCCCTTCCTCTGCAGCGATAAGTAAGTGTTGGTCTCTTGTGTCGGGATGTATCCAACTAGCAGTACAATGTATTCTCAAAGGACAACCATTAAATACCTAAAAATTATATCAAAAAATTATTTATAAAGATAACGTATGTCTAATATATTTTTATATTAAACAAAAAATTAAATTCTACCTTTGAAAAACATGCTCCCATATGAACCTTAGGAGTTGGAGGCAACCCATTACTTATGGGTCTTGGTGGTGTATGCCTTTTTCTGTCCCTCCTTCTCGGTGGTACAGGTGGTGTATCCGATAGGAGATCTGGACTAATATTTTCTCTTTCTCCGTCTCTTGATATTTCATTATCTCCTGAAAAATGTAATTTTATCAATAAAATATATTTTTATACATCTTAGAGAGTATATTTTATTTATAGGAACACATGCTACTACCATTAGATTGTGGGGATTCTTCTCTAGGGCCACTATCTGAAAGAGATCTTTGACGTTGTCCATTTACAGCTGTTAAAGAATGGGAACTGTTCACCAGACCAAATAATTCATCTACAGAACTGTGACGTCTAGGACTTGCTTGAGACCCTATATATATATATATTTAAATATAATAATTTCTTTAGACTAATTTCTAAATTCTAAATTTTTCATTTACTTACCAGATACATTATTGTAATATCCGCAATGTACCTCACACTCGTTCGAAGACTCTCCAAGAGGAAGCGTGGCCCTACAAATATATAATTGTTAATTAATATTTTTACTATTATTATTATATAAAACAATAATTCTTGAAAATAAACTAGTGCAATGAATATATTTTCTGTTAATAGGTTGCATATGATATACATTCAATGAAAATATATATTAGTACCTGACACTTCAAATTATTAAACAAGCATTTAACATTTTCAACAAATTTTGCATAAAATAAATATATCATTTGCATAAGAAAAAATAATAATAATATAATTGTATAAATAAAAAAAATGCAGCAATGTGTTAAGAGCCAAATAAAGCAGTGTGTATTTTGAACATATTTTAACGACGCTTCATAAAAAAGAAAACTTAAATGAAAATTGAAAAATAAGAATTTCTGCAAGCACAAATATCAATTTTATGTTAATGATATAAAATATATTAAAAAGTCCTACGATCCATGATAAATGTAAATTCATATTGGAACAATGATATTAACACAAATATTTTCTTTTGGTTATACAAATGATTATAAATAATAATTTACTTAACAATCTTACCCCATTCATTGATTTGATCTACTCAATACCTCTATGTTAGTAATTAATGAAATATTTTTAAAAATATGATACGTATGTGTGATATATTCTTCTTCAGGCATGATTTTACAAATATTTCTATTTACTTTCGATCAGTTTTAATCGTTGAAATTCCTCTACATTAGTATTTATATTCATATAAATAAAAATGTAAGAAACTAGATGTAAGAAAAAATAAAACATTTTACAATAATTTATCATTGTTGGTTTACTTACTGCAGGGAGTATAGCTGATCGCAATGCCCACCAACCATCGACATTGCATTTCCCCTGCACATATGAAACTATGGTCATATACTACAAAATAATTGCAAATACAATAAACAAATTTTGTATTTCTGTAAAATTGTTTTCTCCATCGTTATTCATAATAATTAAAATAATTTATAATTTTCTTTTTTAAAAGTAAAATCAAATGTAGATCTGAATATTTTGCTTGTTAATCGAATAACTTGATTTTTATAAATATGAACCAATTAGTTACAATTAGATTATAAATCAAATTGGGGATAATTATTTTACATCGTGTGTATATCATTTTGATAAGCACATAACATTTTTGCAATAAATATACAAACTTCCACCACCAATATGGTTAATGCCAAGGTTCAAAGCAAAAGCATAAATAACGAAAATTGTCATGCAACTAATAATCAGATATATATTTACAGATATATATCTGATAAAAATGAAAATAGAAATTATTTTATAAGTGTAAGTAATATATGAGTCATATTTCGTATGTACAATATTTCATTAACAAGATCTATCATCGTTTTTTCCATTTAATCCTTTCGTTACAGCATGGGTCGGTCGTTCATACGAAACATTTGCATGGATGATCCTCATTATATGTGGATCGGTAGTATAACGAAAGAATTAATAAAAATATTGAAAAAAATATTATATTAAACCGTCACCAAACATAAGGAAAATCTATGTGTGAAAATCTATCTGTGTATAAATGTATAATATAATCTACAGAAAGAACAAGAGTATATTCTATTAATCTAATCTATCATTAAATATATAATGATGCACAATTATTAATTAATATATGTATAAGGAAAGAGAGAAATAAGTGCAAGGTGCAAGGTGCAAGGGAAAAGGGTTACCTGCCAATACCTTAGCAACAACTCCTCATCAATGTACTGCAATAGACTCCTGTAGGGAGAAATTATTAAAATTACAAACTGATCAGAAAAATTAATACTACAAAAAATATATAATCTGACTAAATGACAAAACTATAATACATTGTTACGTATACCAGAAAGAAGAGATAATGATTGTCATATAATAAATCTAACAATATGTTTATTACTATTATAAAATAATATTTCCTCGATCAAAAATATCTTCTAAACAGTACAGCGAATCGTACCGTTCTAATTATTTACATTCTTCGTTAAATAATTTAACGTTGTAGTTTCAAAAATGTGTTTGTAAATGAATAAGTGAATAAATAAATCTCGACGAGTGATATAAGTATGATCAAATTATATGTACAAATGTGAAATAAAGGTGATTATACTTACTGAAACAAAATTTATAACAGAAATCATTTCTTAAATTGACAATCATTAACATGCAATCAAAATGCAATATCATACAGCATAAACTATTATCGTACATCACATGCATTAGTCTTTTACTAATATTAAAAAACTTGTACTCTCATTCTAAACAGTGATATATTATCAAAAGATTTAAATATTTCTCGTCTCTATATTAGATTATGGATATAATCATTTAAATGCGACTAAAAACTTTGCTTATATATGTGTAAGACCATTATTTGTTCGTATTATTTGTTCAACATTTAGTAGTTAATTTAACATCCATCCCATATATTAATATATGGAATCAAAATCTTCAAAGAATGAAAAAGATTTAAATATTACTTATTATAAATAATTAATATTTAAAAGCTTATTTTTTTTTTATTTTTTATATACAAAAACTTTAATATTCTTATGATAATATTTTTGTTAATTACATATTCTAATAAAATAAATTTGGAATAATGTCAAGTTATGACATAGGTTCACACCAAGCCAATTTTTGTATTTAGTATTTTTTTTACCTTAAACTCATATGAAATAACTCTGTGCCAGTTTTGCTTCGACGTGATCGTCTGTTACCTTCGGTAACATTTGCGCCAAGTGTACTAATACAGAATACACAGATAAATATTGTATCACTTTTGAAAAAAGAAAGAAAATCATATATAATTGATCCTGTTATTAATATTTTTTTTATCAAAAGTAAGTTATGAAATGTGAGAAATAAATAATATTCATCATTGCTCTTACACAATGCGAAGCATAAGCAAACGTGCTATGTGCAACTATAAACGAATATTAGCATCAGCCACAGAGTAGCTAAAATTTCTGTTATATTTAAATAAAATTGCTGTTTTGTTCAATTAATTTCAACATATAACATGGATGTTAACAAAATTAGGAATGCATGCCTAAATAGATTTTCTACTAATCGAAGTACTTACTCGTGAAGATTAGCAGATGTATGTGAAAAACTGTATTTAATAATAAACAAAAGAACATTAAACTATCAAATTTTAATAGAAAAATTTGACATACAATGCAAGAATAACTAGATCAAAAATTCAAACAAAACAGCATTTACCATATTAGTGGAAGTGATTGATAAGCTGTAACCCTTTCCACATCTTGTGACAGTAAATATATTATATATATAGATATGTATAAATTAGAGTATATAATGAAAGAAAGAGAAAAAGAGAAAAAAAAGAAATATTACAAATAACTTACTTTTCTTGTACATCTTCAAACGCAGTGCCAATTCCACAGTCTGGATGAACATCACAGTTATGTACAGCCTAAATGTAATCATAATTTGCAATCATTATACACATCTATAAAAATATATTGTTTTTTATTAATCCAAACTATATGCCAATTATTTACCTTTACGTTATTCATAATGTCCATAATATCCCACGCCGGATTAGTATCAACTGAAGGAGTTATAGAATCTCTTTGTAATGTGTTGCCATCCAGGTTAATTAGATCTATAATTTACATTTATAATAAACAACGCTATAATTAATATCGATTAATTTAATATACTCCTGATAAATATTTACCATCACTATCTAATTGCGATATGGGGCTTTTTGGCCTTGGTCTTGCTGTATGCCTCGAAGCAATTCTTTGTGGTACATTAGGTACTGCTCCATCTTCGTCAGCTTCTAAATCAGTGAACATATGACTAGGATTCGATACCTTTTGTAGTAATTCCAAAGCCAATCGTTTATTCATTTCTCCTTGAAAAAATGCATGCTGCAAAAGAAAATAAATTATTTGATAAATTTAACATAAACATGCATTTATATTACATTTAAAGATGGGATATTAACCTGCAATAATTTTTCTGCAGTTGGTCTCTTTTTAGGGTTTTTAGTTAAAGCAACTTTAACAAAATTATGAAATGTTGGACTCCATTTGTCACGATCTTTTAATGTCGGAGGTTTGAAACCAGATTTGGACATCAAGAATAAAGCTCTCATTGGATGTAAATCGAACATGGGAGGTTGCAACTCTGCTAATTCTATTGCAGTTATACCGCATGCCCAAATATCACATAACTGATTGTACCCACCCTTTCTCTCTACTGCTGCAACCTAATGAGAATGAAACGAAAGAAAAACAATTATAAAAATCTAGATTTTATTACAATGACTTATTTATTTGCACGTACCTCTGGTGCCATCCAATAAGGTGTACCAATAAAACTTTTCCTTTTATTTATCGTTGCAGTAATTTGAGCTGACACACCAAAATCAGCTAATTTGACATCTCCTGCCTCGGTCAATAATATATTGGCACCCTTAATATCGCGATGCATTTTTCCCATAGTATGCAAATAAGCTAATCCCATAAGAGTCTCTCTACACATATACGCTATCTGTATCTCGGATAATGGTCCAGTTACTATAAAACCGAACAAACAACTTATAAATTAGAAAAAAAATAAACAAACTCTATGATTCTTCTTTAAAAAAATTAAAATAATATTAACCCATTTACTGCCACACGAATTTTACATATTTTGCTATGGAGGCTACAATTCTAAGATAAAATATAAAACAATATAATAACACCATGGCAGTCAACACGTTAAAAATAATTAACACATACTGTGATAAATATCTTGCAATGATCCACCCCCGCAGTATTCCATACATATCCACAATTTGTCCCTTCTCAAGTAGCTGCCATAATATGCTATGATATTGGGATGCCTACAATCTTTCATCATCAAGATTTCTTGCTGGATAATAGCGAAATCATCACCTACAAGAAAAAGAAAGTATTTTTAATTAGAAATAATTAATCCATAATTATGCAACCCTGCAATAAATACGTTTTATCTTAATTAACATTAATATAAATAGAGAATTTCTCAAAGTAAAAAATTATAGTTTATGAATTGAACATGAAAATATGATAGATGAAATTTGCATGTCTCAAGTTTAGGGTAATGTACCATAATTGGTCTTACCTGGTTCTAATTTGATAACCTTGATGGCGGCAAGGTCGTTCATAGATAACCTTTTAGCCTATAGAAAATATAAAAGAGAATAAGTTAATAAACTGATGACAATTTCTACAATAATAAAAAGGATAAAAACCTTATAAACATCTCCATAAGTTCCACTGCCTATTCGTTGGATGAGCTCGTACTCGTCCTGCGGATTTCTACGACTTATGTCACTGGACAGTGCGTTAGCGTTTAATGCCATCATGAACCGCAGGATCTTCAAAGCTAATGCTTAAATGGCGTAATTAATATCTAGAAAAGAATGTTATCGTTAAAGTGTAAAAACACATTTGCCCAGTAGAGGATGTCACTTTAATCGAAACGTCGCCATTGTTCACAACACCTCTGAGATTGCATACTATCGAGAGTACTTGAACGACGTTCGATATATCGAAAAGTGGCAAATCTCGAAAGGAATTTAACGCGATTATTTGAATATACTAAAATATATACATATAAAAAAGAGGAAAAAATATATTTTAAAAAGCAATGAAAGAGTAGAAAGAATTTAATTACTAATCCGACGAAAAGAAATTAATATCCAAATGGAGACGACGAGTTTTACATTGTAAAAGAAAAATGTCGCGATTACGTTGAACACATCAATGCATTTTTTTTTTTTTTATACGACTGATAACAATCAAATAGAAAAATGTTTCGTCAAATCGAATGGAAACATATCGTGATATCAAAAATTAAATATTAATGGCCTTGGTTGTAATGATACTGCGATATACCCAATTGGCACGATCGTGTGATAGCATGTGCGTTATTCATTTTCAGTAATTATTGAAAAATTCTCTCTTTTTCTTTCCAAAAATTAAACTGAAACAGTTGGTATTTTGTATATTTAGATATACAAAATGATTATTGGCAAGCATCACACTAGATACATATTTAATCTGACTTTACCACCTTCTAGCCATAATAAATACATACTTAAAATGTACACACATCATCAATTTCTTGTATGCTTTCAATATGCAAATTCCAAAAGAAGAAGCGAAAGAATTATTCAATAGAAAAGAAGTTTCAAAAGTCCAATGAAAAATATTTGATAAGTATATATTAATGTATCACAGTTCGAGATAGTAAGAACTTATATGTGAGGAGAAATACTCGAGCAAGAGAAATCAACGGATAGAGTACGACCACGTGTAACACAAATCGATCAAAAAGTGGTGGGGGTAATAACGTGATCGTATTTTTCTATTTATTTGCATATATATATATATATATATATATATATTGCATTTACACGTCATCATTTTTTAATGAATAAAAATTTATTAAAAATATTACATACTCCTTAAAGATTGTGACTGACAATGAGCTTGAAAAAAGATATATATGTCTAAAAAGAATTAGAAAAATAAACGATAGAAGGAGGAGTATATCGATTAAAATCGATCGTTTCGGTGCATTAATCGTGTTGACCTTCTTGAATTGTGTACGCCCCTTTTCCCCTACTCTGATGACTTGCATCGTCGACCTCCCACCACTTTTGCTACTCTTTTTGCATCGTTATCGGTCATTTGTCTCTCTTTCTCTCTCTCTCTCTCTCTTTCTTTCTTTCTTTGACAGCGCGCGATTAATCGGCGTGCTTTGACATCGCATTCGTAGTTGACAGATTCGCGGCGTGTTCGACTAAGAACTTGTGTGTCCCGTTAAATCGTTTCTCTTTGCTGTTAAAAGTCACGTAGACATCCCGTCCGAATGAAAGTCACGATTTCCTAACAGATAGTTTCAAAGATCAACCGATAATCGTTAATCTTTGTCGTCGTCGTCATTTTTCTCCAATGTGAAAGGAAGGAAGAGAAAAGAAAAGAACTTGTAAAGGGACACGTCAGTTTGTTCCTCAACTTATATAGTATAATAGGATTGATGTTGAATTTTTCAATGCGAACGATGTTTTCCACAATCTTTCTCTTTCTAATTGTTCTAACGAATTTTTCTAATACCAGGGTGCATGGTAATTATTTTGGAACCAATGCACAAACGGACGATCAGTGTTTCTGCAAGGTAAATAAATTATATATTAAAATAAAGTCTATCTGTATTTGAATTAATTATTACGAATTTGTTGTTATAATGATGCAACTTTAAAGATACCAAATTTATAACCTTTTACATACTTGTATAACTATCAGGAACATTTTGTACATGATCTTTTATTTTTTTTCAGTTTTATTCTGTTTTTTTACATGTTTTTCTGTTACGTCTTGCATGTTGTATATTCAACAATATCATCATTATCATTATTATAATGTTTGTTTCAGTTAAAGGGATCAATCGATGATTGTAGCTGTAATGTAGATACAGTGGATTATTTTAACAATGTAAAGATATATCCTAGATTGCAAAGTCTTCTATTGAAGGATTACTTTAGATTTTACAAAGTTAATCTGAAGCAACAGTGTCCTTTTTGGGCGGATGACAGTAAATGCGCTATACGTTATTGTCATATACAACCTTGTCATGATGTAAGATATTTCTATTCTATTTGATTTATCATTTTAATACAGATAACAAAATGTTATCCTCTTGTTTGTCGTAGGATGATATTCCGGAAGGATTGAAAGGAGAAGTTCCTAGAAATTTACATTTCAATGAAAGCCCTGCTGACAAATATAAATTATCCACACAATTAGCAAATTGTAATCAAAATGCAAGAGATCATAACATGGAATTGGGTTATCTCAATACTACTATCAGGTAATAAAAATAAATAATTACCAATATTCAAGATAAATGAGAAAATGCTATTGTTTTTAGCTCTGAAAATTATAAAGAATTTGAGCGTTGGCAACAATACGACGATGCTCAAGATAATTTCTGCGTGAAAGAATCCAGTCCTGGTGAATATGTCGATCTTTTACTTAATCCGGAACGATATACAGGATATAAAGGACCAAGCGCTCATAGAATATGGCGAAGTATTTATATGGAAAATTGTTTTAGGTACTATGATAATCTTATTTCTTTGATAGAATTTCAATTAGCTTATTATTTCTTTTATATGTTTGTTCCAGACCTAAAAATTCTCCTCATAATTTTATACAATCGTCTAAAATAAATGGTATGTTTATCAATAATTTAATATGCATTGAATTTTATATATAATATTTGTACTTGAATATCTACTTAACTTATTGTATGTATCACAGGAATGTGTTTAGAAAAGAGAGTATTCTATCGTGTTATATCAGGATTACATGCAAGTATTAACATTCACTTATGTTCAAAATATTTATTATCTTCGGGAGATGGCTTGACTGCTGTATCAGGTGCAAAATGGGGCCCTAATCTAGGAGAATTGCAAAGACGATTTTCCCCTGAAACAACTGGTGATGAAGGACCTAATTGGTTAAAAAATTTATATTTCATATATTTACTTGAACTAAGGGCTTTAGCAAAGGCTGCACCTTATTTAGAAAGAGAAGAATATTATACTGGCAATGAAGTTGACGATAAAGATACACGTCTAGCTATTAACGACGTTCTACAAACTGTTAAGTTAGTATATTCTAAACATAGCATTTACTTTTTACAAAATTTATTAAAATAAATGATATCATTGTACGTGTATCATTTCAGATCGTTTCCTGAACATTTTAATGAAACAGTCATGTTTTCTGGAGGTGCTCATGCACAGATATTAAAAGAAGAATTTAGACAACACTTTAGAAATATTTCTCGCATAATGGATTGTGTCGGATGCGATAAATGTAAACTCTGGGGTAAATTGCAAATACAAGGTTTAGGAACTGCATTAAAAATTCTTTTCTCTGGCAAATTTGATAAATGGGAATCAACGCTACATAATTTTAGTAGAAAACAATTTTTTTTGGAAAGAAGTGAAATTGTAGCTCTTATTAACGGATTTGGAAGGTAAGATTTATAAATGCGGTATCTTGTATAAAACTGATATACTATAATATTTCATGGATACCATTTTTTTCAGATTATCAGAAAGTATATTTGAACTGGATAAATTTCGACAAATGATGAGATAGCATAGCAACAAGTAGGTAATGACTTTTCAAATACTATGACAAGACACATCACATTAATTTAATTAGCTTTCCATAGGAATAACTATATATTGTAGGATTTATGAATTGTTATAATTACGTTTCTCATGCTCATATCTTTATTAACATTTAATATGAAATCGCAATGAAAATTATTTAAATTTTGATATATAAATAATTTCACGTTAATCTTATATTGGTAACAAGAAAACGAATGGTTAAAAATACAATTATTTAATTGCTCGATATTTCTATACAATTTTATAAAAAGCAAACACGTATAAATATTTATGCGATTATCATTGCAATATTTATTCATAAAATTAATTTCACTGCGATTTCATTTTAAACCTTAACTCCGTCTGTGATAAATATCTATTCTGACATATATTTCTGTAATAATTTCCTTTACAATTCATCCCAATGAATGAATTATTCAGAAGAACCTTTCCATACTTATAAAAACAAGTTCTAAGATGACAATTACGTTAGCAAGTTTTTTATAACATACTATTTTCAAATAGCTAATTAAGTTAGATAAAAAAAATGACCAAGATTTGTAACAGACATTTTCATTATTGAAGTGGAGAACTAATATAAGACACGCAAGCACCTTCATTGGCTTTGGAAATATGTACAAAATACTTTTTTTTGAAAAATAAAATACATTTATATTTATTAAAAATTAATAAATAATATTCTAATTCTGTAAATCTGTACAAACGTACAGATTTCTTGGAAGTATTATGTATCTACATTTTATACCTTTTCTTGATCATTTTTATATCTAAATAATGAATATTTACGATATATATATATATATTAAGAACATTAGCGTATTATATCATCTTCCTTTTGAAACTGCTTCTATGTCCTTCAGTAAAGTCAATTATAAAAGTACCTTTCAATGATTATTGTTTCTAACTTATACAACGACTTAATGCGATTATGATCGTGATCCTAGTACATTATTGTATCGGATAATTATTATAGAAAATGTAAATTAGCCGAGCTAATGTAAGGAAACCTGTAGTAAAGCATCATAATTATATCGTCAAATATATAAAAAGTTCTTGCTTAATCCTTTATGGAAGAGCTTGCATAATATGATTTCTATACGAGCCGCTAGTAATGGAAGAGTTAAATAAATAAAACACTTCTAAATAATTACCCAAAAATACCAGTTTAAAAATTAATTGAACATAAAAAGGATATTATTTATAATTTAGCACGATCACACATAATAAATAATAAAAGAAAATTAAATTTGAATCGAATGAAGCGCAGCTAATTTGTCTGACAGTATTTGCAATAGTATTTTAATAAGAGACTAATTACCACTAATGTCAGTTTCGGCCATCTTGAACTCTGCTATGGCTATAGGCAATAAGAATTTCCGAGAGCAGTCCTTTAGTTTACTTCCAGCCGATAAATAACAGCACCATATCTTACTTTAATCACATGCTTTACACATAAACAAATTAATTAATTAATAAATGCTATACAAAATGTATTTTCAAATAAAAATACAAATTTTATTGAATAATATAATAAGTTGATAACTAATAATTGTTCTTTTCATTTGTTTCCCTGATTTGATAAAAGTTTTATGTTGTATCCTTATGTTTTAATTTCAATTTCAATTGTTTACATTCGAAAACAGACCCCTTCGACCACAGCCTTTTTTCCAACTTCAATTGTAGGTAAAACTGACATATGACTCTAAAATAAAACATTTATGTGTTATATATAACTATTAACACACATTTTCTGAAGAAAAGAATATTCTTTTTTTTTAATGTATTACTATTGATGTTCGTTCATTAGAATTCATATAGCCTATGATCATTGAATTGGTAGAATAACTCCAAAGAAAATCTCCGAGTTTTTCCTGAGGTGAATAACGAATTGCAATAACTCCACCTAATTTCTTTTCGATTCCATTTAAGAATCTAGATTCTAAAAATAATCAAATTCTTTTAAATTATTAACGTTAGTAAAAAAAAAAAAACAAAAAAACAAATGAATATATGTTTGATCAAAGTTTCAACCTATAAAATTAATTTTCATAGCTTGATGCAAGCTAGTTGTTGGACAGGATGTATTTACAATTGCTTCTGCTATTGATCTAGCAAGCGTAGTACGAATGAGATGTTCCCCGCAACCTGATGTACTTGTACCGACTGAATACTTATCCTTACACGCCCAAGTACCACATCCCCATACTCCAGCCTAAAAAGAATTAGGCTAAGAGCTAAAATGGTAAAATATGTAATATAATCTCCTGACAAATGAAAATTGCAAATTTAACGAATTGATTAAAAAAGAATGAGTGATTGAGAAAGAGAGAATATATCAAAAATTAAATGAAATTGTTGAAAATGGATATAAAATTAGTATAAATATCAATTATCAATTACATACTTGACCCACTCTTCCTGGGTATTTTAAAATAATACCACCGCTAGAACAAGCCGATGCTATATTCCCATTTTTATCTACACATATTGCCCCAACTGTATCCATTCGTCTTTTAGCATACTGCAAATATAAGACAAAATCTTAAAATGAGTAATTTGTTGTTACAGTATTAGTTATCAATACCTTATGAACTTCATTATCACTATTTTCTACTTGTCTTTTATAATGCTTGTATATTTTTTCTGCTTTCTCTACAAATGGATAAATACATTGTGAATAAAAAATAATATAATTTATACCGATATGATAATACACTGAATGATCGATTAATGAACAGTTAGAATATTGTCTTTGAATGAATTATGTTTGTTAACCGATCACCCACTGTACCTATTTATTTACACGTACTTGATATTAATTGGTCAGGAGATAATATTTGTATACCCATTTCTTGTGCCCATGTATGCGCTCCATGTCCGACCAAAAAGCTAATAAAAAAATAATTCAAATAATTGTAAATAAATATATTGATTAATAAATATGAATACGAGATTTTTTTAAATCTACCTCGGTGGAATTCTTCCATATCCAATTTTTTTTGACTGTTGTTCGCATAAACGCTTAGCAAGAAAGACCGGATTTTTTATACCACTAACCGCACCTATTGCACCAAACTGCAAATTAGTACCGTCCATTACACTGGCATCACATTCTACCGTTCCATTAACTGTAAGGTTAGAACCAAATCCAGCATTTGTCAGAGGTGAATCTTCTAACACAATTGTAGCATCGACCACTGCATCTAGGGCACTACCACCAGATTTAATATTTTCGATACCCTAAAATATTTATTTTCATGATTTAGATATATATAAGAAAATCAGTAAGGGATTAATACAAATTTGTAAATGTAGAATTTAAAAAGAAACTTACTATTTTACAAGCATCCCGACATAACTTTTGATATTTGTCTTTAGTAGAATCAGAATGCTGTCCTGCACCTATATTTACATATAATAAAAAATATTAGTTTTTTGTATGATATCAAAATTCGTTCATTCACTATATAAAAACAATAACAAGTAAATAACCTACCAACGTGGACAGCAATAAATCCATGATTAACATTATTCATTGCATAAATCACTGTATCAGTTTTCTTAGTTTCTATTTTTCTAATCTATTACGATTCTAATTCACATCAGACGTAAATAATTTCAACAAATATTCACAAAATCACATAAAGAATATTAAACAAATTTTACATGTCTACCAACCAAAAAACTTATTACTATTTACATATTCTTTGGTACTGCTTCCGCCATTTACATTCAAATTACAGTTAACCAATCAGAAGCTGAATTTACGAAAAGTGCTGGTTCATTAATGCATGTTAATTTAGATACATAATTTAAATTGTATTTATTGCATTACTAATTATATATATTTCGAAATATAAATTATTTATGTACATATATGTGTGTAGAACGAATAAAAAAAATACACTTACAAAATCAATCTTTTTGATCTTCATTTATATATACATATATTAAAGCTTTTTGAATTGATTTAATTTTAATCAAATACACATTTTTTATTTACTATTATAAATGACATCAAAATTTTGCCTTCGAAGAAACCTTTTTTAATTGTTTTAGAGCACACTTAGCTGCTGTACATTTGGCAATTCTATAATTTCTTCCGATTCCTTTAAAGACACCTTTATTAATAACATCCACTGATACTCTCACTCTGCGCCCATCAGCCAATTTTTCTGGATTGCCGAATTTGGCTGTTTCTGGTTCTAATTCTAACAATTCTCTAATTGGAGATTTAGGAACATTTATACTGAATAATTCTAAGGAAAAAAAAGAAAAACATTGTAAAATTCGCGTTAACTTTTTCTTTCTCTCTCTAAAAGAAATATAATAAAGTGACTTACCAATTTCTGATTTCATTATTTTATAATAAACGCTCCAAACAGCATCAAGAGACATACCACTATCCAAATAAATTGCACCAGCTAAAGATTCAAAAACATCACCTAAAGCTTTTGGCACTTCGATATCTTCGGCTTCTTCAAACTGAGCTCCTCCAATTAAGTAATACTATTTGCGTGAAAAAACATATTGTATAAATGATAAATATATAAGTAAAATTATATTATAATTAATTTTGATTTTAAGTATTAAAAACACATATGTATAAACCTCTTCACTAATAGAATGTCCATTCGCTTCTTGAATTCTTACAAAGCGGTTAATAACGATATTTAAACCAGGTGAGAGATGACGAAAATATTTATGGAATCCACATCGAACGGCCAACGAAGCAAATATTGTATTGTTTACCAATGCTGATCTTAAATCTGTTAAAGCACCCGGTGAATGTTGTCGAGCATCCTCATACAAATGTCTTGTTATTAAATAATCTAAAAAAATGATGAAGATATTTACACTATTTTATACATATATTGTTATTAAATACTGTTTAAAATAAATAAATACCTAAAACAGCATCTCCAAGGAATTCTAAACGTTGATAACAATCTGTTAAATTGTTTAGTTGATAAGATGCATGTGTGAATGCTTGTAAAAGATAGCTAGCATTGTTGAACTTATATCCTATACTTTTTTCTAATTCATCATATCCATCGAGCATCATTTTTAATTCAGTCTCCAGATTAGGAATGTAAGTATTTAATAGATTTTGCGGTTCTTCTAGTTTCCCATATTTAGTCTATTAGATATAAAAAAATTTATGTGTGAAATATAATTTAATAAAGTTTATTAGAAATTATTTCATTTTCTAAATTTTATACTTACTCGTACCCAAGTGGTTTGACCATATTTATTAATTTTTTTCTCATAAGGCGTAGTTCCTGGCTGGAAATCATCTTTCGGTTTGTTTTTTTGTATGACGCAAATTTCTTCTGATGGTAAAACATGAATTCCTAACCAAGTCATGAACAAAAGAGCACCTCTTGGACCACATGCAATTAAATACGCACCGATCAATGCTTCTACGCAATCAGCGATACTTTTATCTGGAATACTGTGCTGTGTAATTAAATTGTATGGCATGTAATGTTGCAAATTATCTAGGTTTTTTTTCTTTTTCTTATCAGTTTTATATAGTTCATTTTGTCTAATAACAAGTTTTTCTTCCATTTCTTTAACTAAATCAGATATTTCAAGTGACTTTGGATGCTCTGTAGTTGGACTGCTGGGTTGGTACCACACAACAGAGGGTAAACCTGAATCAATTAAAGCATTTTCGAACTCTTTTGGAACATAATAACAAGGTGGTAACCAATTGTCGTGTGGCTCAAATTTTGTAGCTATCATATTTTCACCTAATTCTTTTTTCTTTCCTAATCTATACAAATTTAAATTGCTAACCTGAAAAATATATATAAAATATTAATAAAAAATAAAGCCAAATTTATATAAATATATATGTATATATATATATGTATATATATCAATGTTGAAATAATATTTTACATGTTTCGATCGTAAATGGCTAAGTTTGCCTTCATGAATATTCTCATAGGTACAATATAAATATGTTGTTATTGCATACTTGAGAAAAGAATCACCGATAGTCTCTAAACGTTCTAAATTGATTCCATCATTAGCATTAGACATAGTTAAAGCTTGTAAAATTAAACTAGGACTTGGTCCTGGGTGATCCTTCAATTCTGGTTGACAATCAAAACTAAAAAGATCATTATTTTTGAAATACGTTCTTTTTACTTTATTAACTTCCTTCTTCATTGGTGGCTTGACGTAATCTTTAATTAATATTTCATTATTAAACCTCTCTACAATATTTTCTATGTAATTCTTGTGTTTATAAGATTCTTTTTTAACTTCCTGTGATAAACACTTGCGTTCTCTACTGACTTCAGTTTCGTGTTTTTCGTGTTTTCTACTGACTTTAGTTGGTTTTCTCATAGGGATGAAAAAATCAGATCTCAGCAATATTCCTCGAATGTTTATCGCCTCCTTGTAAAGTTCTTCTGTGTGCTTCCAAAGTAAACCTTCACCGCTTCCCTCGACATATATCCAATATTGGTCCATATATACATGATCTTCTTTTTCTAACGCTGCCAACATTTTTCTATTCCTCTCTCGTATTTGTATTTGTTCCGGATCCTCCACAGCTTCGGCTGTATTTGGACTCATATAAGAAATTCTTAATCCTTTACTTTCGTTCTCGGAACTATCAGACACAATACTAGCAGTATCGCTTATTGAATCGGCTTTCTGTGCAGATTCAGGATGACCAAGCTGCAACTCCAAAATATCCCATGTAATTATTTTTCCTACCGATGCCACCTTTTCACTTTCGCATAATGTAATAGATTTCATATCATCTGTAACCATGTCATTTGACCAAACACCAATTTCCATTTCACCCTCTTTTGAATCAGTTTTTGGTGCTGTATCATCATTTTTATCAGAATTCATAAGACTAGGAGGATCAATCTCTAGTTCTTCCATTTCACTGATTTCTGTACTATCAGTCTCCTTCTTTTGTACATACTTGCTTGTAGATGCATAAGATTGTTTATCTTTCTCAGCTTCTTTCGATTTTTTTAATACTTCTGCCAAACTCCATCCAAAGTTTAGCGGTGACCATTCAAAATCTATAAAGCAATATTGCATGATTATGCTACATAGACAAAAAAATGATATTTGTTAATTATATACATACCTGGATTCAAATTAGCTTTTCCTAAATTAATCATTTGTGCAACTTCACAACGTATTTGATCGGCAAGTAATAATGCATTAATTCTATATAAAATACATGGTAAACAAACTGCTTGTCTCCACAAAGAAGCTGGAAATGGATGAATTGCGCATAATTCAGGTACAAGAATTTGTTTTTGTTCTAAATTTTCTCTTTTCGCTCGTTTTGTTTCTTCACTACTTGTCGGCAATGCTACACCTTTACGATTTACATATCTGAAATATGTTTTAAAAATAATTGAAAAAAATTGATTACTTATCATACAAACGCGCTGTATAGTTAAATTATGAAAAGAACATTTACCTGGGAGTTAAAAAATTTAATCTAGCAGACGTATGGTCTACATCTAATAAAGGTTGATCTAAATTTTGTATTTGTACATTATATTTCTCTAGATAATATTCTTCAAAACTACTGTAATCATCACCAGGAAATGAAGATTTTGGATTTAAATTAGTACAAATTTCAGCAACATAAAAATACTAAAATGATAGAAATATTAATTTAAGTATCTATTTACAATAAACACAGTGGGTGATTGATTAGTTAACAAGCATAATCCATTCAAAAATAATGTTTGTTTATCGATCACCTATTGTATTTATTATATATTTGTTTAGATTGATAATATATACCTGTGGTTGATCTTGACTTCTGTACCATGGCATGATTACAGCATCATTATATTTTGACGAATCAAATGTGAATTCCTTTCTATTTTCTTCAGGTACTTCGGTAGGAAATGTATTTCGATTATTATAAATACACTCCAAAAAATCCCAATCAATATTAATATCGGAATCTTTATGTTTAGCAACTGTAATTACATAGATTTAATTATTTGTTATTTTGAACAGAGAAGTGTAATTTTGGCTATTAAATTTGATATTGCAAACCGAATTGACATATTTTGATTTACAAGGTAATGAAAAAGATATTTCATGCATTTACCTAATTTAATTGGTACAATAATATAAGAATTTTCTGAAACATCCATATCAAAGAGCATTAAATATTTTTGCAATCTTAACACATTTGTGAAAGTGTACTGAAGAAATGTAGCTATTCTTTCTATTTGAATGTCAGTTAAAACTATAGTCTTTTTAGATAATTTTAAATTAACGTGAACTTCACCGGATCTTGTATAAATAGGAAATGGGCATAACTGAAATAAGATACAGATAATATTAGTTTGGATTAATAATATTTGCATTGAAATTATTACCTTCGGTATTTTTTTAAGCGTGAGAATACCAAAACCTATAGAGGATTCTTCCGGAGGATATATTTTACGTCCTCTTGTATTTTGTTCTTCTGGTAAAGGACAATTTAGTACCATGTTTACATGATATAGATATGATGGAATACCAGCTACTGGTCTGCACTCTGTTAATACCTTTGCTGTCTGCAATATATAATTTAATATTGTTGTATATATTTGATAAGAATTGATTTGAAATTATCAAAGCAATACCTTTTTGTCGTAATATTGCCTACGTTTAGTTGTACCAGGTCGAGCTTCTATCTCATTTAATTCATCTTCATCTGGCAAAGCAGGTAACTCGGCATCTTCGGGTTTGGCTTTAAAATTTTCTTTTCCGATAGGTAATAAATTATCATCTATTTCATCTTTTCTATGCAATTCAATACAAAATTGTAATGCAGCCATACGTCTAGCCATAGCTCTATTAGGCATTGGATAAGACTAAATTGAAATAAATCAATATGTATTGTATATTGAATAAAAATATTTGTTAAGGTACTATTTATAAATCTACATGAAAATAAATATTACATACTGTAATAACGTATTTCAGTGGTGAATTTATAGGCAATCGTAAACTACATGTATAATATGTTGAATTTTGTTGTGTTACAGGATTAATAAACCATTCTGGTGTTAATCTTGTGAAAGTATCACTGGGTAATTTTGCGCAATATCTAGAAACAGAAATGTCCTTAAACATTGCTTTGATAATACTAAAATATAATGAAATAAGTCACTGCACAAATAAATTACTTGTTTATTAATGAAATAGCCGAATTGAAAGTGACTTTAGCTGCATCAGGCGTATCAAGTGGCTGAAAATGTGGTATCATATCAGCATACATATCTGCTTCACGTTCTTCTTCCTCAGTTGGCTCAAAGCTTTCAGTTTTTGATAATAATAACTACAAAACGCATTGATGCTCTTTCATTAAAACTTTAAATTTGTATTGGCATTGGAATGAATTGTCTTAAAGATTGATATTTAAACGGTGTGTGGTATATATAGATGTAATTATTAATAAATAATATATAAGAAACAGTTTTTTCTCATTAATATTTTCAATTTTAAACATAAATAGAAATTTAAATATTATACTTTAATTGGTTTAAGCATTATATAAAATAAATAGATTTTATTGTTTTTTAAATACCTTTTCTGTAGCACCAAATAGAGAAAATTTCCAAATACGACTAGCTGATATTATTTTCGGTAACAATAATACATGTATCGGATCCAAAGCTTTGGCTTTGGTCTTACATTGCACGTAAGATTGATACTCTTTTGGAAAGTCGTATCTCAGTACCAAATTACATTTTGGTATATCAATACCTTTAAAAATTATATTCAACTTGGTATATTTCCTTTAAATGTATTGTCAAAGAAATAATTTAAGTTAATTTAATTAAGATCTAGATACGAACCTTCTTCTAAAATCTTAGTTGATACTAATAAATTACATTCGTGCATTCTAAATTTTTTGAGAACTTCTTCTTGCTTTTTCTGTTGTATATCTACATCTTGAAAATAACCAAAATCATCAGAATTATTTTCGATCACATGAAGACAAGAGATAAAACTAAACCTCTCATCATATTTAGATACTTCCTATAAAACATGAAATATTAAAAAAAGAAAATCATATTTTATTTTGTTTTTACGTTATTTATCCTTGCGATATAGAACATAGTATTTGTTTTCATAAGCATACATTTAGAAAAGATGATAAAACTTTAGCAGTAAATGCTTTATTTACAAATATAATTCCGCATAGTAAATCAGGATCCATGATTCCACGAAGATATCGATGCGTTCTATATGTTCTTCTACGGAAATCATCGGCTTTTTTTTTTCCTTCAGTAATTTCCTTAGGAACTATTTTTCGATTACGTAAAACAAATAATGTATGTAATAAAATGTTAAATACTTTAACTGCCACATTGATCATATATGACCAGCCATGGTTTTTCTAATGATGCCACAGTGGCCATTGGTAACTAAAGCGTTTGAGCTACTTACAATTGTAAAAGCTAAATGAAAATTTGCACTTAGTGTATTTTGAACATTACTGCTAATAAGAATATACTTTGAGATAAAAAGTGTCCCATTGAGCAATTAAAAATGTTATCTTATATCACCAATTTATTATTATTTTGCCATTATATGCTTTGAATAATAAAAATATTACCGTGGCGTCCTTAGTAAAACATGTGATTTCAGCGTGGCAGTCAAAGTGTTAAATAATAATATTCAATTAAATCATGGAATATGTTTTTACCGGTAATCCGCATTGTATCTATAATATCTTTATATTTGGAATAAAACGGAGTGTATATTTTTAATACATCTAAAATTCGATGAATTTTCGGACAACTAAGTTTATATGCCTTATCTTCATCCTCATAATGTTCGAATTCGTATTGAAAAATAGCTCTGTAATTAATAACGCAAATTAATTATTTTATTCATCAAGATGATATATCGTGGAATTTAATTGATATATTGTATAATATTTTTACCTTATTTTAGTAAAAGTTGTTGTCATTAAATTTAAGAGAAGAAAACTCCTTTCGTAAGGAGTATTAAGTTTTAACTTTTCTATTAGTAATAAAAGAAAAAATGCTGCACGATCTGCACACCATGTTCCAAGAGTTTTTAATATAAATAAAAACTCACTTATTAAGTGGCATGGTGTGATTGTGGGATTAGGTATTTTTTTAATTTCCTCGAGAAATGAGTCTGCATAAATTTCAGATGGATCAAAGCGATGGTCTTCTAAAAAATCTCTAGCATCTTTTACACATTGTTCCATTAGTTTAGACAGTTCATCCTGCTTTCCTTTCGCATATTCTATCAGATATTCTTTAGGTTTAGGACAATACCTATTAGCAGGTATATATACAAATAAAGAAATAGATAGTATATGTATATAAATATTATATATGTACACAAATAATCTATTATTCATAATTTATTAGTCATCTAAATTATTTTACCTGAGTATTGATATTATTTCACAATTTGATTGTAGTTTACATCCGAAAGCTTTTTCCGCTCTATATATCTCTACTCCGAGCCTTCCTGGTTCTAGTGTTAAATTATATAAAGGTACGGCTATACCAATTATTCTAGGAGCATTTATACCATATGAAAATTTTCTTATAATAGCACCAACAGTTTTATCTTTTATGAATTTATGGCAGTTATCAATTATGAGTAGACATACATCATAACCAACGAGTATTTTTCTTTTAAATAGAGACAAGCATACTTTAGGAGATCCTATTAATACCTAAAATTAAAATATATTATAATTATATTGTTATACGATGTAAATAAGCTTTAAATGACTTATGTTTTAATAATATATTTTTCTTATTTTTTTTTATAGAATACGCTGGCATCATTTGGCTGGAGAAACCTCAGACACTTCGTAAGTATCTATCAAAATAATAAAATGTCTATAAAATCTATAATTTACCGTGTAATTTGGGACTTCTTTTCGTAAATTTGTACATTCGTCACAGAATAATGCTTTGATATCTGTAAACTGATTGATATATATAGTTCGCAGACGACATCTTTCTTTATCTAATATCATATAAATTATGTATTTTCTCCTACTTCCACCAAAGCTAGATAAAAAAAAGCATAAATTATCTGTTTTGAATTTTATACGGTTTCAATCTAATAAATATTTTCTTTCTCTCTCTCTCTCTCTCTCTTTGAAGCATTTAATTCATTTGAAGCGATTTACCTCCTGTTATTCGTAGCATATTCTTGCACTAATTTTAAAGCAATAAAAATCTGATCATAATTACTTTCCAAGCAAAAGATAACATTGTCTCGTTTACCTTTATAAAAGATTTCTACCTAAATATTTAAAAAGAAAAAGAAAGAAATACAAAATTATCTTCTTATTATAATTTGATAAAATGCAATGTATTACATATCATAGATAAGAAAATATTTAAGTAAAACTCACTTGGTACTCTCGAGGAGTATAGGATTTGATATGAATTGGATCATTCACTGGAAATGCCATGGAATCTAAAGTTATTTTCTTAAATATAGTAGAAAGTATTTCTCTTCTTTCTAGCTTTTCTGATCGTTTATTTTAAACGATCTTTTATATTAGTCGTTGATCTTCAGTTTAAAATTTTAAATTAGGCTAGGATCAAGGACACGATACACTATAGAAAAAAACATATACTATTTCTTAAAGTATACGATTATAATGAGTACTCACTGAATTTATAAATGCTCACTCCTATTAATTTAAAGCATGTACGATTTCAACGACACGTACAGACAAAGTATAAACTATAAGTGCAATAGGGGAACCAAGGAGGAGAACAGTATTCCCACCATGCGACTACAGTGTCGGTATATATACAAACTTGTTAGGTTATAACCGTAGCTTATAATTATTAATTTTTGTTATTATAGAAAAAAAAATACTTACAACGATAATACAAAGATGACACAAATTCTACGTGTATTTACCAGAGTACTTTTAAATCATGGATTAACTAATATATTAATGAAACAAAATCTTAGATCCGTGATAAATTTAACAAAATATTATTACTCGTCTGAAAATTCTTCTAATGTTAAGAATAAGAAATCACCTTTGTATCGTCAATTGTATTCTAAAATGATGACTTGCGGACCATTGTCCGTAGCAGAATATATGAAAGAAATTTTAACTCATCCTAATGTCGGTTATTACATGACAAAAGATGTTTTCGGTCTTAAAGGAGATTTCATAACTTCTCCAGAAATATCTCAACTGTTTGGAGAAGTGTGTAATTGAAATTAAATTATTTCTTTTTTCTTGATATTCATTATTATATAATTATGTAATATTTTGTAGATAATAGCTGTTTGGATTATTAACGAATGGATTAAAATTTCTAAAGATCCCTTTCAGCTCATCGAGTTAGGTCCAGGAAAGGGAACATTGATACAAGATGTTTTACGGGTACATATGTTAGTTATAATCTTACAAAATAATTCTTACTATTAATTAACAAATGTTATATTTTATAGGTATTTAAAAAGTTAAAATTTCTTAACAAAATATCTATACATTTAGTAGAAATCAGTCCAGCTTTATCTAAAATTCAAGCACAAAATTTATGTACACATATAGAAGAAATTAATCTTGCAGATTCTAAGACACAAACTAAAGAAAATTCTATAGGTCATTATAAAAAAGGTATTACAGAAGACGGCATAGAAATATATTGGTATTATTCGGTTACGGATATTCCTAAAAAGTTCAGTATATTTCTTGCACATGAATTTTTTGATGCGCTACCAATACATAAGTTTCAGGTACTTGAAATGTAGAAATATAAAAAGTGTTTCACTTTTTGTTCTTACTTGCATCGATTCACTGCATATGGTTGTTGCAATCAAATTTTAGAAAACAGATCAAGGCTGGAGTGAAGTCTTAGTGGACGTGATTCCAGGAATAGAAGAAGAGAAATTTCGTTACGTATTATCCAAAGGGTTGACTCCTGCAGCTAAAGTTTATATATCCGTATATTTTCATTTATACTTATATATATAATTTATTTTATTGATATAATATATATGAATTACATGAAACCAATTATATTTCAGGAGGATGAATCGAGAGATCACGTTGAAATAAGCCCTCAAAGTATAGTTATAATAGATTATATATCGTCATTTTTGATGGAATATGGAGGTTTTGCTTTAATTATTGATTATGGTCATGTAGCTGATAAAACAGATACCTTCCGTGCTTTCCAAAAGCACAAATTGCATGATCCCTTACTAAATCCTGGTTCGGCTGACTTAACTGCGGATGTTGATTTTTCATTGATTAAAAAAATTGCACTAAAAGATAACAAAGTAATATCTTTTGGTCCAATAAGTCAGAGAACATTTTTGAAAAATCTTGGAATCGATCTAAGATTAGAAATGATTTTAAAGAACTCAACCGATGTTCAAAAAGAACATATATTGTCAGGATATCACATGATAATGGATGCTGATAAAATGGGAGAACGTTTTAAAGTATTGTCGCTATTTCCTTACGTTTTAAGTAAATACATAGACAAATGGAAAGTCGATGGATTTAAAAAAGAAAATAAAAATTAGCATTAACAAAATTAAGAACAAATTTTTGAAACCATTATATTCCCCTCCCTGCAACAGTGCAACTTTTTCTATAAATTAAAACTATTTTCACGTTCTGTATTGCAATAATTTCTTCATATATACAGACCGAGAGTAACCTCTCGAGTGCAAAGGGTTAAATATTAACCCATTTATAAGTCGACATAAGTTCTCCAGGCAACCCCCATAGATTTTTCTAAAATTTATTTACACAATTGTTACTTAATTAATGTTTATATTTGTCCCATGTATTCTTAAAATTTAAGACTTTCTCCCTTTGTTGTTCAAACGTTTCCCTTTTTGGTTTTCTCCATAAATAATGATCCAAATCTAATATTCCACCAATTATTTCCTAGAATAAAGATTAAAAAAAAATTAAAGAAAATAAAAAAACAAAATGATTTGTTAAATGTATAAAACTAATATACAATATATTTTCCTTATAAATCATAAACAGAGCGTTGATTTACCTCAGCAAAATTGGTCGGAAACATGCGTTCATCTTCAATTACATGTGCATATCCATCCTTATCTCCAAATTGTACCATAAAATATGGTAATCCTTTTGGTATTGATCTACGCAGATCCTTGTTTTGTAAATCAATAATTTTTTTATTGATGTTCCATTCAGTTTCACATTCTAACAAAGCTTTCTACAAATAAAATTAATTATTAAAAATATTGTTAGACAGAGATCTTTCTGCTTGATTAGAAAAAATACAATTTCTTACCTTGAAATACATGGGTGCTAAGTCTGCACTTTCACTGGGTAATGGAACACATTCCAATTGCATGTGTGGAAATTTATGACGATTCTTATAGATTTCAAAAAATATTGGAGTTTGTTTGGAATCCATAAACATTTTAATTAATGTTTGTTTGAAAATCTAAGTGAAAAATGTATTAATAAAGAGAATTTTTATGGATTTAAAAAAAAGCATTTAAAAATCATTTATATATACCTTCATTTTCTCCCAAATGTCTTCGTCTAATTGCAATTGACAAGATACATGTTGTAAAGGTGTTAATATACAATGTCCAGTTACTAACGATACTCTGGTCGGAAGACTAAGACAGATGTGTGAATCCATTGTAACAATCATATGCTTGATCATATTTTTGGATTCTATGCACCACGAACATCCTTCCAGACTTTTCGATATTCTTTTATGTTCTTTAATCGCCCTCGCTTTATCTCGATCATCTTGTCTACTGTCCGTATCTGCTCGTGCAATTTGTTCTTCAAATATATCGTTCATATCCATGTTCTAAAAATATAAAAAATTATTTATAAGTACAATCGCATTTTTATATTTTTGATAATTACAATAATCGTTAAGAATTGTCTACCTTAGATGCAATTTTAACAAACGCAGCATTGTCATCATCCGCAGAACGTCCTTTTTCGCGCTGAAACTAATGATACAATGTTAATTTTAATATTTTTAATATTAATTTCACATTAATTTCACTATTTTCTAATTCTTACCAGTTGATGCAATGAATATTTATCGTCGTCACCGAAGTAACGAACTCGTTCACCAGAAACATGTGTTTCCACGTTCTTATTCTTTTTAGATTTAGTTGAAGACTCTTTAGGTTGACACCTCGGTTGTATGGGTCTTGTAACACCTATTAGATAAAATTTTGTATTAGAATAATGATCAAAAACAATAAAAACATTAAAATCTAATATTAGGTGTATATCATTACTTGTACCTTTTGAATCTGTTCTTGAAAGAATAATATTTTCTGTTTCAGAATTATCTGCTTGATTTGAAAATTCTCTTGCTTTTTCTAATTGTTCCTTCAAGCGATTTGCCAACTCCTAAAAAAGATATATGTTTCATTAGTAAGAATATTTTATAATTATATTGCAAGTATTTGTGTAAACTGTGTTATTTATAATTAATGTAATATTTTTTATCGTACATTATCACCCATTATTTCAGCTTTGATAATTTTTGCTCCTAATTTATTCATTTCTTCTTTGGTTAAAATTTCATTTGATTGTGTGTTTGTATCAAAAACTTGATCGTTCTTTTCTACAATTTCTTTGGTAATTGTTTCTACATTTGATTCTGATTGATTTATAGTACCATTATCTTTTCTCCAATTTTTTGTACGATGTGAATTTGATTTACTCGAAGCTGATATATAACGATAATCATTATCATCTGTAGGTTTATGATAATTTGGTTTACGCAATGGTTTATCAGACCTATAAGATTCATATTTTTGTTCATAATCCCGATTTCGTGATTTATACCAAGAATGATCTTGTTCCGATTCTCTATATCTATTAGAGTATCTATCACGATAACGACTATTATTAAATTCATAATTTTGATTATACTTGGAGGATGATTGTTCGGCTTCTGCTATCATTGCATTTATAGTTTCTAGAGACTATGTAAGAAAATAAATATTAAATATTAATACAAAATATCAGATAAATATCGAAGAAATGTAAATTGTTTGTCGATAAACTTACACCCCATCTTTCTGCAGCTATTTCTTCTAAAGATTTTCCTTCCTCCAGAGCTTGTTCTCTAGCACGTTGCAATGATCTTTTTAACCAAATAGGATCTATTTTTTTTTTATTGACTGATTTGTCAGGTTCATTTTGAGGTAAACCAGTACCACCATCTTTCCAATACGGATTTAATTCCTTATTACTTTGTCCTGGCTTATCAAGGATTGACGAAGTACTATTATCTTTTTTCTTTAATTCCTGTTTACCACTTTGTAAGTCAGACCGAGATATACATGGAAATAAATTTCCAAGGGTCATCCATTCGTCTCTCTTACAAGATTCTTTCATATTATTATCTGAAGTAGTTTTTTGTACAGATTGTATAGTTTCAATAGTTTTCTCAACCCAAACTTCATTGTCACTGCCACTACTACTCTAAAATATAATAATATACATACAAAAGTTATAGAAATTGCAAATGGTATGGACACAATAAGACTGAGCATTTTATGAATTGATATTTTACATTGCTAGAAGCTGAAGGACTACATTTTATCTTCTTCTTGCTCTTTTTATTTTTTCTTTTACTATGTTTCCTTTTTTTATCGTCTAAATTCTTATGTGACTTTTTATGTGAAGATAATTCTTCATCAGATGCCATGTTAACCTATAAATTATTACTATTTATGTATATAATATGAATACTTAATTTATAGATATTTTAGTTTATAGAATAAAGATATAAAACGTGCATATATATATAAAAATTCTTACCAATTAAATAAATTGTTAAATACTGAAAAGATATAAACACAACACTACTTTAAACATCAACAGTTACTCCTCGACTGATTCATGCGCTTCACTGACAACGAGTGCGCACGCACAGACGTTTAGCGCGACACATTTGGAGAAAAAGAGAACTAACATGCGCGAATTTCTTTTTTGAACGAACAAAAATATGTAAGTCGATATATATTATTTTATTAAACAATATAATAGGTAAATAATAAATATTAAAACCTGTTTTCATATCTTAATCAATATTTATATTTATTATATAAATTATAAAACATAAAATCCTTAATAATAGTAGAACTCATTAAAAACGAATCAATGCATAAAATGTATAAATACGATTTTAAAGTTACACGGTAAAAAATAAAAAATAAATTTATCTTTGAATAAAATCTGACTCAACTTTCCATGATGTAGAATTCGTATTTTACGAGAAATACAAATAATATGTAAAAGTTAGAAGAATAAAATTATAGTTATCAAAGATAAGAGTAATCCATGGGTATATACTGGCCCTGAGTATAGTTAGTTGAATAATGAACCGACAACGCTTCTATAAGTCCTATGCGTTTGACATCAAGAAAATTACATACCCTCGATCCCTAACAATAAGTTTTGTTTTTCAAACCATACCTTATTTGCGTGGCAAACATAACTGGATGATTGATACTTGTTTCCTTCTTTTTGGTTCTATGCAATCATATTTTCGGATAAATGTAAATCCTCTGTGATTATTTTATGTCGACTCCTCCCAATAAGACTTCCTTTTAACTTCGATCACTTCAGAATACTTGGTATTTTTGAAACGCTATGGACGCTTTCGATCACCCCTACTATAGGCTCAATAAGAGACTATTATTACTTGTAGGACAATGGCCTTATCAGGATTCCAGTGAACATCATTTTCGTGTTTTCATAGTGACCCTCGGATTACTTAATTTCATATTCCCACAGGTAATAAGAATAATATCTTTTTATATTGTGCCTGTGTGTGTGTTCATTAAGTCCCAATTACATACTATTAGCTATAGATAACATTACTTTGCACCTGTAACGGAGACGTTGAAATTATTATCGAATCTATGGCACCTATTTCTGCATTAATGGTATGCGCTTTTAAATACTACACCATTGAATTCAAGAGAGATAAAGTAAGTTTCTTGTACTACATTTTTTGTTTATAATTTTAATATATTGTCTCTCTCTCTCTCTCTCTTTTTCTTTCTCTCTCTCATAGATAAAAGAACTTCTGGAACATTTAATAGATAATTGGAAATTATGTAGAACTAGAGAAGAATTGGAAATTATGCATAAATTTGGTAGAGAAACTAAATTACTTACTTTTTGGTATACAAGTAAGATTACAATTTACTAGAAATAATATAGAATATCCCTTATTTTCTGATATATTACATATTATTAATAATATATATATTGTTTTTTTGAAAGCATACATATATACATGTATGACAATGTTTCTCGTATTACCATTTTTACCATGTATCATGGATATCGTAGTACCATTGAACGAATCTCGTTCTTTAAAACCAATATTCAAAGGTGAATACTTTATCAACGAGGATGAAAATTTCTTTCCAATTTATTTCCACATGAGTGTAACTATAGTGATTGCTATAACAACGTTAATTACAGCAGATAATCTATTTCTTATGTGTAATTCACACATTTGTGGTATATTCGCAGCAGTTGGGTAAGAAAAACATAATCCGTGATCGTTCTAATATTTTATGAGTCTCAATGATGTGTGATTAATTAATTTAATTAGGTATAATTACAGATTTCGTTTGGAAAATTTTTTAAAGGATCAAACCGATTCCATATCTTCCTTAGATCATTTATCAAATAATAAGTGTTTGGAAACTATTCGGTATTCTATAAGAAATCATGCAAATGCTTTAAAGTTAGTATACCATATATTACACACACACATATATATATATATATATGTGTGTGTGTATATATATATACGCGCATGTAATAATTAATTATTATATTTAATATATTATATATTGTGTTTATTGAGAAGGTTTGCTGAACTCATTGAGTCTTGCTTCTCAATATCATTACTTCTGCAAGCTGGCTTAAGTTTGATTTGTATGAGCATCTCTTTATATCAAGTAATTGTTATAAATATTATTTCTTTTCTTCTTTTTCTTATTATTAGGAATCGCTTCTAATATCTCTGTATTCTTGCATAGATACTAATAGTCTTCAAAAGATCAGCAGAATCGGTGAGGTTTGCCATTTTTGCCTTTGCTCAATTGATTCATCTTTTCTGTATGTGTTATCCTGGTCAAAGAATGATAGATTATAGCACCGATATACGTATTAAAGCGTAAATATAATATATTCATTTTTGTTACATAAATATATTAATTATTTAATATAAATCGCGCATATTTATTTATTTCTAGATACAATGGACTATGGTATAAAGCACCATTGGCAATCCACAAATTGTTTATATTAATAATACGAAAAAGTTTGGAACCATCTTGCTTGACTGCTGGAAAAATATTCGTATTTTGTTTGGAAAGTTTTGCTACAGTATGAACAATAATTATTACGAATATAAATAATCCACATTTAAATAATTGACTATTAATATTACTTTGTTTTTCTTTTAAGATTTTACAAACTTCTACTTCATATTGTATGGTAATTTCATCCGCTCAATAATTATAAATGTAATAACATAACTAATAAATATTGTAGTTTTTAAATTTATAACGTTTCTATTCACGAATAGAATGATCATTTTAATCATTAAATTTGCGTGCTAAATTGTGTGTTATAAATTAAATAATTAGAATTTTTATAATTGGATATTTGAAGTTTTTATAGAAAGAAAAATAAATAAAAAAGAATTTACCTTAGAATAAAATCTTCGATTTTCTTTCCCCGACGAAAGAACCGAAATGATAGTATAAAGAGACTAGTATTAGATACGTACTGGGTTAAGAATCCAATATCGAATCGGTTGAATAATAAATCGGTGACAACTACTTCATTCCTTGTACATTTTACGTTTGACACCAAGAAAATTATATATCATTTTACCTAACAGCAAATTTCACTATATGTTTTTAAAGAAAAACACATCTTACCCATGTGTTAAATTCGTTCGAGGGATGATTTATACTTGTTCTTTTCTTTTTGATTCTATAGAATCATATTTTCAGAATAAACATACCTTATTTCTGATTATTTTATGTCACCTTCTCCCAATAATAAGGGAAAGAGTCTTTCATTTTGGATTCTTCGATAACTTGGGAACAGTTGATGCTTTTAAAACACCATGGATGAACAGATTTTTGAACATTCTTACTATAGACTTAACAAACGTCTTTTGTCATTGATAGGACAATGGCCTTATCAAGATATGATTGAACGTCGTTTTCGTATGTGCATTGTGATTAGCTTGTTGATTAGTTTTACTGCTTCTCAGGTAATTTATATTTACACTTCTTAAGTAATATCAATTTTAAATATACATCCACACGTGTTTATTTATTAAAAATATTTGTTTAACTTGTAAAATGAACGATAGATATCCTTGTTATTCACTAACGGAAATGTTGACACTTTTCTTGAGATTATACCTGGAATAACTTCGGTATTATCGATCTTTTCCAAATATTCTATGTCTTATATATGCAGAAATAAAGTGAGTTAACTTTATTTTCTCGCATTAAGATCAAGATATATATTAACGTTTGATACTATATATTTTTCTTCTTTCATAGATTAGAAATCTTTTCGATCGTATAATAGAAAATTGGAAATTATGGGAGTCCAAAGAAGAGATAGATATCATGCACGAATACAGCGAGGAAGGAAAATTATTAACTTTCTTTTATACCTGTGAGATTCATGTAGATTATTTATACTGTTGTATCGCATTGAGATAATATTAATATATTTATATTTTTGTCTATTATATAGCTTATATATATTCGTGTATGACGTTGTTCCTTATAATGCCATTTTTTCCATGCATTATGGATATAATCATACCCTTGAACGAATCTCGTACTTTGAATCATATATTTAAAAGCGAATATTTCATTGACGAGGATCAACACTTCTTTCTAATCTATTTTCACATGAGTATAGTCATCGTTATCGGAATAACAGTGTTAATTTCAACGGATGTTCTTCTTTTGCTACTCAACTCACACGTTTGTGGTTTATTCACAGCAGTGGGGTAACTTCATTTTGTTTAATATTATCATTTTCTTGTTTTTTTTTGTGGTATAACTTTATTGATTACAGATTTCGTCTGGAACATTTGTTAAAGGATCAAATTGATCCACAAATTTTGTTAAACCATCGTTCTCGAAGGATGTGCTTTGAACACATTGTCCATACCATTGAAATACATAAAAAGGCATTAGAGTTAGTAGATATAGGCGAACAATTTTATGCAATTTAGATAATTCGTTATATTTAAAGTATTCTTCTTTTTTTTTGTATCCTTTTGTTTCTTCTTTTTGATTTCTTTTTTTTATAAGGTTCGCCGACCTCATTGAATCTTCTTATTCGTTTTTTTTACTTTCCCAAGTTGGCTCGAGTTTAGCGTGTATGACTCTTTCTTTGTTTCAAGTAAGTTTTAAGTATTTCTCTCTTTCTCTTCTTCTTTTTTTTTGTTGTTATTAGATATAATACTAATGCATTAAATTATATTTTATTATCTTTATAGATAGTAATAGTGTTTAAAACATCTAGCGAAGGGTTTAGATACATCGCTTTTACAGCTGCACAAATTGTTCACATTTTTTGCATGTGCTATCCTGGTCAAAAATTGATTGATTATAGCATCGATGTCCGTGTTAAAGCGTTAGTAATACAATCAACAATAACCTTTTCTTATTCTGTAAATATTTCATTTATGATATTAATCATTTTGTTTTAATATATTATACAGGTATAGTGGAAAGTGGTACGAGGCACCAATTGAAATACACAGATTAGTATTATTAATAATTCGAAGAAGTCTCCAGCCTTGTTATTTAACTGCTGGAAAAATATTTATCTTTTGTTTCGAAAGCTTTTCGACGGTATGTATGTATATAAATACAAATAATATACGTACAAATTGGTACATTTAACAAGTATCAATTTCTTTTTTAAGATCATGCAGACTGCTACCTCGTATTTCATGGTAATTTCAACGGTGCATTAATTGTATAAATAATATTAATTATTAGTAATAATATACAATGCAATGTTTCTACTCATATAATAATAGAACTTTGAGTTATGTTACCTGTTGGTATTGAGTTAATTATTCCTAATAATCCTTATGTGATTTAAAATCATGAAAATCTTCCTTTTTGAGATTTAGATTACATTTATATTAACTAGAATAAAATGTAATTAAACAAGCATTAATTAAAAGTTAGCCGAAAAGTAAGATGAAAGCAAAAAACTATGTATAGGATAAGGTACAAGTGAATATACTTATCCATAAAAGGAAAAATCAATGAAACAATAACTCGAGTATGCATGTAGCATGCAACAAACATCTATAGTAGAGTTAAAAAAAAAAATAAAATTATATACTTTCAAGCTCTCTGTCTCATTGAAATTATTTTTTCCTCAAGTCAGTTGAAAGCAAATTAATACTTGTCCTTTTTCCCCTTTCTCGTTCAATCATACTCAATGTATGGGCAACAGATAGGGGTTTTCTGTAAGAAGAAAAAGCTCTGATTATTTAATGCTGATCCGCCCATCAAAAGGGGAAGCTTGTCCTTAGTTTGATAACTTTAGAATGCTTTACGCTTTTGACACGCTATGGTCAGTTTTGAGGACCCTTACTATAAAGTTAACAAACGTTTCCTAAGGCTGATAGGACAATGGCCTTATCAGAATTTATATGATCGTTTTTTCCGTAGGTGCTTTGTGAATTTCATATTTATAGGTTTTGCTTTTACACAGGTATATCATAGATTTAAAATAAACCTGTGTGTGAATGTGTGCGTGTATGCATTTAAGGGAATTTAAATTTACAATTAGTTATTGTTTTAACTATAAGATTATCGACAGATAGCATTGGTTTATACCTGTAACGGAGACATCGATGTGATACTTCAAAGTGTACCATTTATATGTGTTTTTATAGCTATAGTAATTAAATATTACACATACCAGCTTCAAGAAAACAATGTAAGTTTTCTTTGAATTCATTTATTAGTTGAAAGACATATAATAAATACTTTAAAATTTCTTTTACATTATTTTTTTTTTTAATATTAGTAACAATAAATGTAAAGTATTTTTGAATGTAAAAATTACTGTTTCAGATACAGGATCTTTTGAAAAATATGCTAAACAATTGGCAAATATGGAAAACTCGAGAAGAAATTAATATCATGCATGAATTTGCAGTCGAAGGGAGATTCTTTACGTTGTTCTACATATGTAAATATTTGATACAATTTTATTAGAAAATATTTTTTTATTTTAGATCAAAATTCATTAATACCTTTTTGTTGCAGCGTATATTTACACATGTATGGTATTGTTCTTAACAATGCCACTTTTTCCACGCTTCATGGATATTTTAGCACCTTTGAACGAGTCTCGCCCTTTGAGAAGTATTGTTAAAAGCTATTACTTTGTCGACGAACAAGAATATTTTTATTATATTCATTGTCACATGAGTATTGAAATTACAGTTGGAATTACGGTATTAGTTGCTACGGATAGTCAATTTTTGACTTTTAATTCACACATATGCGGCTTGTTTTCTGCAGTAGGGTAAGAAAGCATTTATTTTGATTTATAGAAATTTTCATTGATACTTTACGATTAGATTCATTCTTGATAACACTGTAGATTTCGTCTAGAACATTTGTTGAACGATCGGCTCGAGTCTGAAGTTTTATTGGATCATCAAACTAGACAGATGTATTTCGATAGCATTGTACATTCTATTAAAAATCATAAAAGAGCATTAGAGTTAGTATAAGTATAATTAGAATTTAAGTTTATAGAAAATTATTTATAGTTGCTTACACACAAATGAATTTACTGCTTTTTGTAATTTATTGAAATCTTTTTTCAAAAGGTTTGCAAAACTTATTGAATCTTCTTATTCGGTATCTTTTCTAATGCAGGCTTTTATGGGATTGGTATGTTTGAGTATTTCTATGTTCCAAGTAAGTGTCCTATATACTTCCTTTTGTACTCATAATTTTAAAACAAATCTTTTTCATTCTTTATATTTATCGTTATACGTAGATATTAATATTGTTGGATAAAAAAGCAGAAGCATTTACATTTTTCGTTTTTGCATGTGCTCAATTTACTCATCTTTTATGTATATGTTATCCTGGTCAAAGAATGATAGATTACAGCACTACAATACTTTTTAAAGCGTGAGTTTATCTAATATCATAACGAAAGTATTATATTAATTAATATTTAGAATAAAAAATCTATACCTTCTTGTAGATATAGCGGATTATGGTATGAAGCACCAATTGAAATTCATAGATTATTACTATTAGTAATACGAAGAAGCCTAGAACCTTGTTATCTGACTGCTGGAAAAACATTCATATTTTGTTTAGAAACTTTTGCGAAGGTAGATAAATTAAAAAAAATCCATTTGTGTGCCGTGCTTCACATTCATTTAGCAATTTAGAATATTCATTTGTCTTTTTTAAGATTGTCCAAACCTCTGGGTCGTATTTCATGGTAATTGTATCGACGCATTAGTGAATGCATACCTAATTCATAGCTAATGATGAATGTTAAAGGATCGTAGTAGTTGTTAAATATAACAAATTTTCACACACGCCTTTTCTTTGAAAATATTTCATTCGTATATATCGTAAATATATTGATAAACTATTGATTTTCTCTTCCCGAAACCTTCTTATTAATTTATTTAATCACTAAGTTAATGATTTAATAAAATGAAGAAGAACGTACCAAGCACGAGTATAGATTTCTTACATATGAAGAATGGATTTCATCCTAAGAAACAACTGATATTTCCTGAAACACCAGCGACTATCGTATACTTAAAACAGAAATGCAAGCTACCGAGTAAATTACACGATAAAACAACTTGCTACATTTTACGGGTTTGCTGTAAAGATAAAATGTTATGAGTATTTTCAACTCTAGTTTCTAACATAGACATACAATTAAAATAGTCTCGTTTCTAAACTAGTACAACGAGACGTTTGAAATGAAAGACAAAGAAAATGTTAAAACTTCAGTCATATTACTAATTATTATCTACGTCAAAGATAATAATAGCTTTTGTATAAACTCCTCTTTGAAATACACAGAGGACGCGTACGACTTGTAATGAGAAGCATGAACAAAGGGTGGTTCTGAATATTTTACATGAAACCGCCTCCTCTTAGTAAAGGGAAGTTACCCTTATGCTCCTTAGAAAATTTCGTTTAGAATGAATCGTGTCTTTGGCGTAACATGGATATCTTTGAGGGTGGCTTGTATAATTTTAACTATCGTCTATTATCTTTTATTGGATTGTGGCCTTATCAAAAGTCTCGTTCATATCGTTTTTATATGTCTAATATAATGTTATTGTCCTTTAATTTACCTCAGGTGATTGATTATTCTTATTCCCGAATATCCTGTAACAATAAACATTAATTAGATTAATATTTGATTTGATTTGATATAATATTAATTCTAGTCTTTAAAATTATGGACTTCAAGAGATTTTAATCTTATATTAAAAATTATTCCTTTTTGGGGTACTGCAGTAAATATGATTATTAAGTATTATACGTGTCAATTAGGGTTGTCTAATGTAAGTGTGCGATCATTTCAATACGATTAATTATAATAGAAATGTTAAATTTACTGTGATTTTTTTTCTAGATAAGAGCGTTATTTAATAATATTATTGTAGATTGGCAAATGTGGAATTCAGAAGAAGAAATAGATATTATAAAGAAGTATGCAAAGGCAGGACGGTTGAATAGTTTACTATATGCAGGTAAAATTCATTTCTAGATCATACGAATTATTAAAAGAATATTTGAACTTCTTCTAAGAATGTTTTTCTTACTTTTTTTATTAGGATATGTATATTTTATCTCGACAGCATATTTGGCTATGACTTTCGTGCCATGTTTGATGGATGTAATTGAACCTTTAAATGAATCTCGTCCTTTGACACTACCCTTTTTGTCTGAATACTTTCTTGATCAAGAAGAACATTTTTATTCACTTTATGCCTTAAATGTTTTTTCACTATTATTCGCTGTTACAGTTTTAGTAGCTGTTGACACCCAACTTATGATCATTACTGGCCACGTTTGCAGTGTATTTGCGGTTGTAGGGTAAGATAATAAATGCTAATTTGAATTATTTAGAATTAGAGGTTCTTCGATTATCTAAAAATCAGAAAAAGAGATGATCTTATAAATCATAGATATCGTCTGGAACATTTTCTAAAAGATGCTCATACAATAGACAATTGGAGTAATCATCGACGTAAGAAATATATTGAAAATCTCGTGCTTTCCATTAATGGTCACAAAAGGGCTATAGAGTTAGTATAAAAACAGAGATCGCATGTGACAATTAAATTCACATTTTTTAAATAATTTCTTTCTACTGAAGGTTCGCCAATTGTATCGAATCTTCGTTTTCATTTTCTTTGCTGTTACAATCCGGTTTCAACATTATTTGTATGGCCATTTCTTTATATCAAGTAAGTCATTTTTATTTATATTAATTAGGTTGGTCAATAAGTAATGGTAGAATTTTTTTATATTGGAATTGTCAACTCAATAAAATAGTTAAAATTGCTGATAATTATATAACAATCGCATGGACGTTATAGATAACCGAAGAAATGAGCAATCAATTGGCTGAAATGTTAAGATATGCTGGTTTTATACTTGCTCAACTATTTCACATATTTTATACTTGTTATGTTGGACAGACGATGATAGATCATAGTATTCATATAGGCGAAAAAGCGTAAGTTAAATTAAAATAAACAAATTAGATTTTTCTTATTATAATATTTTTAGATACAATTCAATGTGGTACGAAGCACCAATGGAAATAAATAAACTACTATTATTAATAATGAGAAAAAGTATCGAACCTTCGAATTTGACTGCTGGAAAAATCTTCGTATTTTGCATCACAAGTTTTTCATCGGTAATTTTATTTAACTTGGCCAATTTAAGTACAAATACAAACAAATCTTGTAATGTATTATTTTTTTCTTTTAAGATCTTACATACATCAGTCTCATACTTCATGGTACTATCGTCTGTACAATAATCGTAAAGGATCTTAAATGACTTATACTTTTTATCATATAATAATAGAATATAATGCTTCTAATTACCCGAAAAGAAACCATTTCTATATAATTATTAAATCTACAAAACATACTTGGATACGTTTAAATGGGAAGACCTACTCACCCCCCTGTATTCTCAAAACGTTGTTCCTTCTGACTATTACTTGTTCCGATCAATATCACAAAACCTGGCTGACCAACACTTCTGGTATTATAAAAAAGTACAAAATTGCATCGATTCGTCGATCGTTTCAAAAGATGAACAGTTTTTTAACGTGGAATTCGTACGCTGTTCAAAAGATAGGAGAAAGAGTGACCAGCGATGGACAATACTTTGAATCATAAATGTATAACCAGTTCTTTACAATAAAGCCTCGAATTTAGGAAAAAAAACGGCGGGAACAAAGATGTACACCTAATAACAAAACACATTAATTCCCTGAATGTATATATACATTAGGGAATAATGTATATATATCTTAATCAATTTTTTCGAACACTTATATATAACATAATTTGATATAAAAGAAAAACATACCAACAACAAACAAATATTAAAGAACAACTTCACACACGCACATTTCTAACAGTTTCTTTCTTGGAATCATCAAAGACAAACGACGAACTAACGCGAACTGAAATAAGGTGATACATATAATTACAAGTCGAAGTATCCAGTCAAATGATTAATTGATGATGAAGTAGTACTTACATACTTGTTAGAAAATGACGTTTCTCGTATCATTGATTGCTCGTTACAAAAACGTTCGCTTCAAAAGAAAATCAAACGTCCCCTATAGAAGCAATAATTAAAACCTGTCCCTTCCGTTAACTTCATAGAAAGAAAATAATGAACTTACATAGATGCCTGTTATTTATCTGTCATTTTTCAATGATTTAATAACTCGTTTCTCTCGTACGACACGGGTGTGCTTGGTATCCTTTAGCAGAAAAGGTTTTTGAATATTTAATTAAAGAAACGCCCATTACAAAGGGTAGTAAGAGAATTTTCTTTAGTTTCTTCTAGAAATTCTATTCTTTAGAATGTTTTACAACATCATACAGAGATATGGATATTTTTCAACATCATTTCCATAAGCTTAATTATCAATTATTATCCTTAGTAGGCTTATGGCCATATCAGGATAATAAATCACGTTTATTCCGTGTATATTTTCTAAACGTCGCAATGATGTCTTTCAATATAACCCAGGTGAGCACTGATATTTCATCTATAAGCACAATAAAATAAATTATATTTCATTTTGTCACTCATTTTATACAGATATTTCAATTGTATACTTCTAAAGGTAATTTCGATATAATTATTGAAGTTGTACCAACTGTGGCAACAATGATTAACATGACGATCAAATATTATACCTATTACATTGGTATGTTCAATGTAAGTTTGTGTAACAATTCTAATAAGATTTCAACGAGTTTGAATTGCTTTATGGTGTTCTTATTAGATAAGAAAACTTTTGGATAAGATGATGCTGGATTGGAAGACGTGGAATTCCAAGGAAGAAATAGAAATAATGAAGAAATATGCTGCAGAGGGACGTCTTTATACTCTGGCATACACTTGTAAGATTTCATATATCTTATTTCGTAAGATTATTTAATATATTTTTTTTTTTTAAATAATCTAGATTATATTATTGTTTTTAGTATACATATATATCAGTACGATATTATTTTTATCGATATCATTTTTACCACTTCTTCTGGATATTGTTTTACCACTGAACGAGTCTCGTCCTTTGCAACCAATCGTCTTGGGAGAATATTTTATCGATCAGCAAAAACATTTTTATTTCATCTTCTGTCACATGGCTTTTACGATTTTACTCGCTATGACAATTTTTATAGCAACAGATACTCAATTCTTCGTTTTTACTTGTCATGCCTGTGGAGTGTTTTCAATAGTGGGGTATACAAATACTGTATTTTTACTTCATGAATTTCGTAATAATCAAAATCATATATAAATAATTGGTAAAAATGAATGAATTTTAGATTTCGTTTGGAACGATTAATGACAGATGATAATACTATGAACAAATATTTCGATAAACGAAGATATTTCAAACATGTTGTACTATCCATCAAAGGCCATAGCAGAGCTATAGAGTTAGTATAATAAATCGAAATACTCATAGCTATGACGTTGACTAGTTGAGAATGACATTTTTTTAATGAAGGTTTGCAAATCTCATCGAATCTTCTTTCTCGACTCCATTGCTTATACAATGTGGAATAAATATAGCTTGCTTGAGCGTCTCCTTATATCGAGTTAGTTTATCCTTGTTTACTATTGAAATTAAAAATAAATAAATTCAGAATAATTAATGATTATTAAACGAACTTATACAGATGAAAACATTACTGGACATATCCACAGAAATGTTTAAATACATTGCATTTTTGGCTGCACAATTGTTTCATATATTTTGTATTTGCTATTCTGGGCAAAGGATTATAGATCATAGCAGTGAGACCTTATTAAAAGCGTAAGTGTAAAACCAATTAAATGATAATAGAATACTTAAGATGATTTTTTGCATACTTTTAAAGATACAATGGTTTATGGTATGAAGCACCGATAGAAATTAGAAAATTATTACTCTTGGTAATAAGGCGAAGTATTGAATCTACTCGATTGACGGGTGGAAAAGTATTTGTTTTTTGTCTAAAAGGTTTTTCAACGGTAAATTAATTACCTTATCATACACATTAATATCTTTCGAATAATTAATGTTAAGTAATTCCTTTTAAAGATCGTTCATACATCTACCTCATACTTCATGGTGCTGTCCTCGGTAAATTAATTATTGACAACAATAATAAATCAAAACCTGGACTATCACAATTTCTTCTGTAGCACTTTAAATGAATGATACGAAAAACGTAAATGTAAATATCTGAAAATCAACTACAATGTAGAAAGAAAAAGAACTTGTAATTGTCCTTTATAAATTGTGTGTGTCCCTCTGAATAAACAGTACTTTTCAAAGTAATGTAGAGACACTATATACTGTTAGAAGAATGTACGTATACCAATACTGCTGAAGTAGATAAACTGATGGTAAATCATTACCACATGTCATGTGCTTGTTATCAAAGTAATACTCTCACCTAAGTTTTATTTCTTCAACCAAAGACATTTATTTCTTATGACAATCCGAGGGAGTTCGAACTTATAATTAAAACTTGTAAAATTCTCCCTTTGTATGACTACATAGATGTCTATGACGTGATAGAATTTCAATACTACACTAATAATTATCTCGTATTCGTGATAATAACAGTTGAAGGGGACTTCTACTTGATATAATGTCTGCCATATTCTTGATTGAAATCTTCTTGAATATTTAATGTAGGGAAACTACCCTTTAACTTCTTAGAAAATGTTCTTCAGACAGCCTTACATTCTATCGACGTTATGGATATCTTTGAGAATCGTTTCTATAAACTTAATTATCGTCTCTTATCTGCTGTCGGTTTGTGGCCATACGAAAAATCTCGTTTACTTCGTATGTGTATTGTAAATATTCCAGTCTTTTTGTTCAACATAACACAGGTAACTATTTATTCTTCTAATAAATTCTAGAAAAATATTTGACTTATCTGCCTTATTGATTTTAGTTTTTTAAAATATGTACTTCCAAAGGAAACTTTGATATACTCAAAGAAGTTATACCGATTTTGATAGCATCATTAGCTGCCTCTATTAAATATTATTTCTTTGATTTTGGTATATTCGATGTAAGTTTATAATAATTAAAATATTGAAATATTAAATACCAAATATAATTTACTTACGTTTGTAGATTAAATTACTCATGGATAATATGATTAAAGATTGGAATATGTGGAAGTCCAAGGAAGAAATTAAAATTATGGAAAAATTCGCTCATTTAGGAAAAATGTATACTCTTGGATATACTGGTAGGAATATCAAAGACTTCTATTTTACGCTGAAAAAAAGAAATAAAAAATTTATTGTAATTTTCTTTTACTTTCTTTTGTGCTTCTAGTATACATATATATCATTGCATCACTTTTTCTTTTGGTGACATTCATACCACCTTTAATGGATATAATTATACCTTTAAACGAGAGTCGTCCTATGGAATTACCTGTCTATGCCGAATACTTTCTTAATGATGAGGATTATTTTTACTTGTTTTATTTTCACATATCTCTTTCGATAATGATTAATATTACGACTTTAGTTGCCACTGATACTCAACTTATGGTCTTTTGTTGTCACGTTAGTGGTGTATTTGCAGTCATAGGGTGAGAATGAAATTTGTGATTAATTTTCTTTTTACTACTTTGAGTTCTTCTACTTAAACAAGATACATTTATTTATTATAGTTTTCGTTTGGAAAATTTCTTGAAGAAGGACATGAGACTGCATGGATTGACTGATCTTCAAAGGAAAGAATGTTATAAACATGTTTCGCTATCTATCAAAGGACACAAAAGAGCTTTAGAGTTAGTATTATAAAAGAAAGAAATTATGTTAATTAATTACGGCAATGTTTTGTCGTGATTAACGAATGAATTTTTTAAACGAAGGTTCGTCAAGCGCATGGAATCGTCATTTTCGTATTCCTTACTATTGCAATGCGGCTTGAACGTTATTTGTATGAGCATGTGTCTGTATCAAGTGAGCCTCGATTATAATTTACATATTTTCTTTTTTTTATTATGTTTCTCTTCATTCTCATAGAAAGAGTTTTATTTTTTATTACAGATAGTAGTATTGTACGGTCAATCTGCAGAAATAATTAAATTTATTGCATTTGTCATTGGTGAGTTATTCCATTTATTCGTTGCTAGTTTATCAGGTCAAACTATAATAGACTACAGCAGCGAAGTTTATTTCAAAGCGTAAGTAAAATGTAGCTGATTGAAGCAAACACAATCTGAAATAAATTAATAAATTATTTCTTGTATTTATAGCTACAGTGGTCTCTGGTACGAGGCACCTATTGAAGTACGTAAATTACTGATATTGATAATGAAAAGAAGTCTTGAACCTTCTCGGTTAACCGCTGGAAAAATATTTACCTACTGTCTAGATGGTTTTTCAATTGTAAGTTAAATTTAAAATAACAAATGTATATATTCATTTAATCTTTTTAACTGATCTTAAAATATTCTTTAAGATTCTGCGAACTTCTAGTTCATACTTTATGGTACTTTCATCGATCAAATAATTAACTATTGATATTTATGAGTTATTTATTAGTTGTTAAAATATTAAAAAGCAATTTCAAGTGATTATCAATTGTCAATTGTCATCCATGACATTTACATGTGTATGTCCATAATTCACAAAATGGTAGATTATTTTTCAACCTCTAATTCAAGAATTTGTGATAAAAAGGACGAGAGAAATGATTTTAAAAGTTCTATGAGTACATCTGTGATTATGAATCAATTGTTAAAAAAACAAGATCAAATTTTGTCACCTGAGGATATAGCTTCTGATGCTTTGACAAGGTGTTACGCGATTTACTGAATAAAAAACAATTGTTCTTTAAATCTTGACGAATAAGAATGGTTCATTGCAATTCTCTCTTTTTAAGAGAATTAATCTTATTAATAATTTATAAATAGTTCACCTTTCTAGTCTTTCCAGTGAAACCGAGGGATGCTGGAATAATCAACGATACATCAAAACTCCTATCCATTGGTTATCGACACATCAAGTATATATATCATAATACTAATTGATTGATTTTGTCCATCAATTCATCATAAAATTATTTTCACTCCGAGCAGACGTATACTACGATTGCATCTTCTTCAAGTGAAATCAGTCCAAATTTACAACAAAAATCAATCGTACATCGATACGTTTCACCTCAACCACCTTCATTTAGGCAAGGCATCATTGACACCAATACTTTCAGATCTATAAGAAAAACAAGATCCATGATATTTCCTAAAAGTGTGACATTTTCGTAATATTGTTATATATTAATAAATAATATTTTAATATATTTCAATATATATATTTTTATCGATCTAAAACTACATATAGTAATGAATACAACTCGGCATAGAAGTCACAGTGCTTCCACTCCAGATTTAAAAGTTGATCACCAAAAGGCAGTATTGGTAACAGTATTACCTAAAGAAAATATAAAATGGCGAAGAATGTATAGAATATGGACTTTAATATATAATATGCATGTCATAGAAATTACACTTGATTGTATTATTTTGGTGGGTAAAATGTTTGTTAACACTCTACAACAAATACTATATAATTATTATCTTTAGGTAGCAGGATTTATTCATTTGGCTGCAGCTATAATTTTGGTGGTGCACGAAAACCTTATACTGATGATAGTGAAACAAGAAATACATACTTTAATACAAACAGCTTTTATAATTTTATCTTTAGTACTCTTAATTTATTCTATTATTGTACTTTATTTTCTTCGCAAAGGACGACAAAGAAGAGCAACAGTTAGTTATGACATAAGCATTGCATCTCATTTCTTTTCTATATTAAACATGTATTTCTTTTCTTTAGCATGCAGCTTGTTCCTTAATCATGGCATTAATTATGCTATTCGTTGCTTCCATGCAAAATAGAGTAGAGACAAATATTTTAAAAAATGTGGAAATGAGTATGCTCTCAATGATCGATTCAGAAACAATTTACCTTTCTTCGTCTATTTTGGATAAATTTCATATAATGGTATGCGCATTATTTTCTAAATAAATTAACAATGTATGATCACTTGATGAATACTTCATAAATCTATTCCATACGAAAAAGTTTAAATGTTGTGGAGCAAAAGGAAATTTGGATTGGTGTAGAGACGAAAAGTTTTTTAAAGAAACTAATTTAAAAACCGATCAGATAGATTCTAGAAATCTTTTAGGTATTTACATTTGCCATATTCCCATATCTTGTTGCACGTCGTCTATCAATGAATATAATGTATCTGCGGTATCAAACAGGTAAAAAAATAATGACAAAGACCGGCGAGTATAAATTTCTAATATAAAACTATAACGATTATTATATTCTTAGTCAAAAGTTGTGTTCGTCTTACCCAACGCCATGGAATACCCATCGTCCTGGATGCTTAACACCATTGAAACTTGAAATATATTACATGGGCACAATATACAGAGTCATATGCTACACAACTATCACTGTATTGGTAAATATTTCATTTTTTTTTTTAAATATAACCTTTTGAAAATAATTTGAAATTTCTTGTACAGCTTTTATCCATGGCATCTTCAATACTTCTCTGCATTTATCCATAAAGGAATTATAGCACTACGAATAAAAAACATACAAAAATAAGTATTTCTTTTAAATATAAAATTTGTATCAATGTTATGTACCATGCAATAAACGAAGAGATATCTCGAGCTAATAATTTAGTTATTATCATCCACGGAAAGAATATTTTACACGTCTAACGTAAATCTAATTAATTTTTAAATAATTAATGTATAAGCAAGCATATATGTATAAATATTTTAATATATAATAATAAACTACTCATAGAGAACTTTCCACCATTTTCGCACACTCTACTACTCGATTACGAAAAGGGTGTCGCTCTACCAGAATCAAATCAACCGCGCCAATTTTAGAACGATTTAAATGTTTCTTCTTTTTGATTCTAAAATACATCTACAATATAATTCTTCTTATGAATTACCATCGTTAAAATATTCTTTCGTACTACTACTAATAAATTTTAACGTTCTAACTTAGATGCAAAATTCTAAATGAATATAATAGCGCGAAAGTTGTTATTAAATAAAGTGCATTCAAAATTAATTCGTAAAGAAATCATTCGATTGCTTTGGAGATTGAGTTCCGATTATATCCTTCGATACAATTTTCGATTATTTGATAAGTAAAATATACAAAATTTCATTTTTATTGGTAATAAAGATATATTGCAAGCGATTCGTCTAATCGTGCAATTCATTCTAGCGCGCTCACGTTCTCGGCAAGAAAGAAGAGAGACACAAAATACATAAATACGTGCGTCGACTTATTCGATCTAGCAGTCGATCACGGAACGCTTAGGTGTGCATTTATCGCATTATTTTAACATCAAAACTGTAAAAGTGATACAGAAGTTATTGTATGTCGTGATACACGTGGATCTAAAAAAAAATTTAGAAAGTATTGTGCATTACAATATCGTGATCATTATAAAAAAAAAATAAAAAAACAAATATAATAAAAATACTAAAAATATCGAAAGCGTGAACATAACTACTTTTTATAAGCATAGAATAGTATATAAATTATAAGTTCATATTTTTTTTCGTTATTCATAAGAAAGCAAGAACATCGAAAACACATTTCCTCCACCAGAAGAAATATGTCGTACTTCGGAACGAAACTTGCTGTTTTTATGCTTGTGTGTGGCATTGTTTTCAGTCAAAGTGATAATAGAGAGATCGATAATTCAGACAAGATCGTTTTCCCTGGACAAACCGGCCAAGATGACATCGATAATGTAAGAAGATCTATAGAACCTTCGAAATCAGATGACGACGTATTATCGGTAAATTAATATTTACGTACAATATTTACATGCTTTCGTCTACGTGCAACTAATTAATACAAAGTTAATTGTATCAATAACAACAATTACAAAATTACATAAAGAAAATTAAAAAATAAACAAGGCTATACATTATTAAACGTAATAATATCTCTTTCTGATGTAATTTCGATATTTAAACAAATCTTTCATAGATAAATAAAAAATAATAAAAGAAAAAAAAGAGACGAGGAAAAAAGAAATGATCATTAAAAACGCCGTTGTCATTCTAATTGGAACTCTTTCCTCGAAATGCTGTTTACAAAACATCTACGATTTACAAAGCTTTGCATTTGTAACTTGCGTAATCCTTCCCGCGAAAATTGGATCTGTTTAGAATTTCGTTTTTTTCTTCATCGACACGTTATTTATTCTTTTGTTTTGACGTTACTTACACGTATTTGCTTACACGATTGCACAGTTGCACAGTAACATAGTTATTCAGATACAGAGTGTACCTATAAGCAGGTAGACAGGTATACTGATTCGATTTAAAGGTTGTTACGTGAATGATATTGAATGTAAAACGTGTCTTGTTTCATTCCAAGAGAAACGTTGATTCGTTTTCTATTTAGACCCAGGATGACGTCAAAGGCCAAATTGTAGCTAATGTCGAGGACATATGTACACCTTCGATTACCTAGTAGAATGTGCAAACGTGTATTAGTATAGATGTATCATACTTGTGAATTCTTTTCACGATGCCGACCATACTCTGTTCGATATATATAATACTTAATTATCCAAACGATAGACGGTATAACAATTGTGTAAATTCCATATTTGTCATCACGCATACTATACGTTTTTTTGTCATTGATAAAATTCTTATCTACTTTTAAAATATTTCTCATAATTTTCTTGGAAAGTCATCGGAATTATGTTTCGTCCAAAGTGAAAGTATGCATTCGTTATTTTCTTGTTTGTTATATCATCAAGTTGAATCGATCGAAATGTATACACGTAAAGAAGATTTGTCATCTATGGATTAGTAATTGGATCTATACAAAAATTATAAAATATATTAATTATAACTATAAAAAATAAATTAAAAGTAAAAATTGTATTTAGGATCATACATACACGTTTTATATATTCTGTTTTCTGTAAAAATTCAATCGTCATTGTTAATTACGCATTATATATTAGTTTGTTATTCAATCGTTGGAAAAAACTGGATCAGACAAGTCACGATCCCGAATGATCATCAAGTTGGCCGATTATCGTTAATCTTATCTAATCTAATCGTTGCAGCTTCCTACAAGGACGAAGGAAGTTTTGCATTCTTGCTAGATTTGAATTAACCGGATACATTAATCCGTGAATACTGACTAAGTTTATCACCTTCGTTTAAACGAACTAGCATGGCATCTTATAACACTTGAACTTTGCATTCTTACACTTCATTTCATTAGTATAATCATATTATTAACATGTATGTATGTATGTAATTACATACCAAAGATATTTCATCGTTGTATTTATGGAACATCGTTAACAAATGAATGAATGATGTTTAAACAATTTGAGTCTTCTTTGCATACCACACGTCATTTCAAGTTTGATAAGTACTATTTCCAATTCCAGTTGAACTGTCCGTAATTGTTTCTTCTCGCATTTCTTACCTGCAATAAAATATTAATATTAATAATTGTTCTATGTATTTTAATTATTAAATTAATACTCACAGAAGAGAGGAATATTTTTGCAATATTATTTTTTAGATATTTTTAAAGTAGGAAGTCGTTCTCTTTGTATAAACAACTTATTATATTTATTGGAATATATTCAAACGAGTTCAAAAACAGGTTCTCCTCTTGATTACCGACCGGATTTTGTGGTTGTAGACTTTTGCTAATAAGAAAGTACGTATTTTACCAGAAATACTGAGTTATTCTTTGCATCGAATCTAATAATATTACCAATGTAATATTGTTGATCCTGGAAATATAATATTTGAATTATAACTCTCATTATTTTCACCTGTACTTGATAAGTTTAATTGATTGTATGCAGTTAAAACGATAAATATGAAACACGGAGTTGTTTTAGTACCGGTTCAATTATTTTTCAATGTCATCGTCATACGTAAGACGACATCACAGATCATTGCATTTACCAAACGTCCTTCGCTCAATACGAGACTTATTTTTATTATAACGCGTAATGATGTTATCAAGAAACGATCTAACATTGCAATTATGCACTTTTTTTATTTTTCTTATTCGAGAACAAATTAATAATCTATGAAAAAATTTTGATAACATCGTATCATAAAATATTAGATGATTAAGTAAGAAATGTCCGATTTCGAACTGAAAGTAATCAGTGTAATCAGATGTTGCATGCTGCTCAATGACTTAATATATTTAAATTACAGATCTTGTTAATTACCATTGTAATTTATAATAATTCTCAAAAAGATTCGTCTAAAAATATATTTTTCTCTAGTTTTTTTTAACTTTACGGATTATTGACCTAAGAGATCGATTTAAAAGATAATTATCACCTTAGTCACGGCAGTATCCGCGATCGAAGGCGATGACTCAGAAATTGGTTAGTACTGGGAATACCCTGCTACTGGTGGATCAACTTTTATTTTTAATATTTTTTTGTTCTTGACATTTTTTTTTCTGAAATCGGTAACTTTACGTATTTCTAGCTGTAAACAGAAATATATAATATATGTATGAGGAAAAAGGAAAAAGATGAACGATAAAATGACATGTTTAGTGAGATAAGATAATTTGTTCAATTTTTGAGAAATCTTTTCCTACAATTTTGAATTGCAACATTCAAGTACATTCCTTATTAGGTTGGTCAATAATTAGTTTCGACATTAATTAATAATTTATATAAAAATAAATAACACAAAAGTTTTTTTTTATCAATAATTCTAACATTACTTATTGGTCAACCCGATAGATTATCTTCTGATAGAACTAATCCATCTTGGAGATAAACTCTGAGAAAAACACGAAGTTTTTTATTGATGATTAATAAAGTAAATAGAGAGAGAGAGAGAGAGAGAGATAAATAGTAGTACTGTAAAGAGTGTACTTTATGATCTTCTTCTATATGCTTACAATAAATTATCAAAGTTAACGATTTTATTATTGCATTTGATAAGAAAATTAAAGAAACAGAGACTATTATTCGTTGGTAGATTTAGTGTATTATACACATACATATGTACGTACGAGGGAGAAAATTCTTGCGTGGGTAACACGGTAAAGTGCAATTTATAAAGTAGACAATAAGATTATCGTTGGGAGTATAAATGCGTCACAAAATATTGCTAAGCATGTGAAAGAATGTTTTTTAAAACGTTAAGAGTTATCTTACGTATCTCTTTTTCTACCTCAGGTATTATTTTTGTTTTATTTTTCCTTCGTTATAAAATATATGACTGACTTTTCAAAAGAATATGTGTGTGAATTGCGGTAGAGTAGCATTTACGAGGAAAGAAAAAGACTATAAAATATTATCGATATTTAAGAGATCTTTGAAATAGTTGAGTATGTTTAATAGATTAATGCGTGTGACGAATATGTGATTTATCCAATGAAGAATAAAAAAGTTAAAATGACCAGACAATAATTTTTACCTATCTAACACGTTATTTAATATATAAATACATAAATAAATTTACACTTAATTATTTCTAACATTTTGTTATCTTTCTAGACTTCATTAAGAATTGCTCAACAAATAAATTCGATGTCATCGTACGAAGAATTTCTCAAATTTATCAATGTGCCTCCAGAAAAAAAAATTCTAATAGCTGGTAAGCATCTGATTTAATTAATTAAGTAATTAATTATTATAACAATGATTTAATGTAGAACTTTTTTTTACTTTTTTTTTTACGATACCAAAATTAAAAAAGGAAATTTGCTTTGCTATGTATTTGGTGCTGAATGTGGAGTTTATTACAAATTAAAAAAAAGAGAAGGTAAATATTTTTAATTACGAATAAAATACACACACGTGTATCCAAACGTTATCAGTAAAAATATGAGATCATTCTATAAATTATTGCCATGTGATATCTCTTCTAAATATCTTATTCGATATTTCTAATCGTTCTAAGATATAAAAAGAAAGCGAGAAAAGACACTTTCAAGATTTTTAATTAGGCTTGCAATTTTACATTTTGAAAAATAAAATCATCCGAAGAAAAAGTAATTGATTTAAAAAATGAATCATATGAATTTTTAGCACACCCTATATTTTATCGTAGTCTACTCGCTTGGTTCGTACCAAACGTATCTTCTTGCTTGTGCTCACTCTAATGGTCTTGATCTCATTGGTGCCATTTCCTCTTCCAATTTTATTCTATTGATGCTCTTCTCTCTTTGTACGTTCTAAAGCTTCAAAAGATTGCACAAATCACCTTCATTTTAACACATACATGTATACGTACTGTATGTATCATAATCTTTCTTCTTTAGAAAACTTTATTCAAATTTATACTTCATTTGTCCTTCTTCTGTACGTCTTTTCGATTTCAAAAGATCTCGTTTTCTAATTGAGTCATATGCATACAAATTAATATTAAAGATGTCTAATTTTAAACTAGACGTTCTTCTTTTTTTTAATCTGTGATTTCCAAGAAGATATGGGAAAGTGGCTTGCGAAATCACATTCGATATATATGAAAAAGTGAATCATTAAATGGATTATTACCTGTTCCAACGGTTTCTCTTCATAATCGATGCTGGCGATCGGTTTTAAGTGTTCGTCAATGATATTGCTTGGAAATATTTATCAGCCATATTATCTGCCACCTGAAAATAAAATATTTAGTCGGTATATATTCAGTAAACAGAAATACTTAAAAATTATTCACGAATTATTATTTATTCTGAAAAAAATATTCATAAAATATACTGACGAAATAAATAATAGAAATAATTATTTAAAAGAGGTCAAATTTTAATTACAGAAATTTGATTTTTAATTAGGTAGAACCGGAGGTAGCGAAGAAAAATCAAACGCGGAACGACCAAAGCCAGCTGGCTGTATGCCGGAAAATCAAACAATATCTTTGAGACCAGAAAATAAATTTTCGACATTTTATTATCCTTCTTGTACGAGAGTCAAAAGATGCGGTGGATGTTGTGGACATTATCTACTCAGTTGTCAACCAATTGAAACTGAAACTCGAAATTTTGAGGTGAGTCTTTTGATCGATCCAATATAAATTAATTATTTTCTGTTTAATACTTCATTTTTAATAATTCATGTTTCTTTTTTAATATGAAAGGTAATAGTTTCGGAACTCAATTCAGATTTACAAGTGACATATAGGAATAGAGAAATTATCCCGGTGGAGGAACACACGAAATGCAAATGTGACTGCAAAATTAAGGCAGAGGTAATCGTCGAGATTTAATTGTATTCCGCATACGAACAATTTCCATTTTTTTGTAGATCTTTAAATAGCTAACATGCGACTTAAAAATGACTATATTCTTTTTGCTTAATTGATAAACTTCTTTTATTTTATATTCTATCCTGATATCAAATCACAGTGTCGAACGAAAGCATGCTGTAATAAAAAAGTTAATACCAATGCGTTTGATTAATGCTTAGCTTGTTATATTTTAAATACATTTTATTATTTAAATAAACATTATATTATTATATATAATTCTTAGCATTGCAACGAGAAGCAATCCTACAGAAGGGACGAATGTAGATGCGTTTGTGTAAATATCGACGAAGAAAACAAATGCAAGGCAAATGGAGGTGTTAAAATCTGGGACAGTGAAACCTGTACGTGTGCTTGCAGAGAGAGCGAAATATGTTCGACAGGCTTTTATTTCGACAACAATACGTGCAGGTGTGAAAAACAAAAATAAAAGGAAACTGCTAAACGGAAAAATTCTACACTATTAAACGTCTATTCTTCTCTCTATCATTATCTTGTAAGCTCTCAAATGCACGAAATGTACTTATTTCATATTTATTTTATATCCTTTTCTTTGGTAAAACTTTTAATTACACTTAATAACTTTGATCCTGGATTATATAGAAGAATCATAATTCTGAGCAACAATCAAAAAGTTTTATAGCTGTCGTTCGTTGTTTATTAAACATTTACTGATAACAAAAGTTTATTAAATAAAATGCATTCATTTGACTTCATGAGTGTTTAATTGAATGTATCTTATAATTAGTATGTAAATTTATTTATGTATAGTAAATTGAATAATGTATCCCTGCTTAGAAGAAAGATACAACCTCTCCAATCTCTAACATAAATCTGTAAATATCTTTTATCCTTCTCATGTATCCCACAATCTACTATTTATTTATATTTGCGTCCTACAGAACGTGTTTTTTTGTAGTTTTTTTCTCGTCGATTTAGCTCTTGTTAGCCTCGTTAACCGGTAACATTTTTGAAAAAATAATTATATATATATATAATTAATTATATGCATAAATAAATGAGTGATAATAGATAAATTACAAAACGGTTGTAAAAAGTTGCATAAAATTTACCGAGTATCGTTTGCTTATAATTCTGTAATAAACGATGAGCGACGTCTAAAAACTCTTGATTTTTATTAAGGACGATTGCCTTGACATTATACTTTCATGTCAAAACCATTAAGATTATTTAGCATAATCAATAGTTGTAATTCAATACATTTTGTCTTTTTTTTATCTTTTTTATCTCTCAGCACTGAATATGTATTTCTTTCCTCTAAGCTTTCTGTATTCATCATCTTTTTCTAAAAATTATTTAACCACTAATCTTACTGTTATATTTAATACTAATATTATCGATTTAATTTCATGCCATTTATTTACATTATTTTTAATATATGTTTAACATTTATTTTCTTATTAACAATTACTTATGATTAACATAAAGTTATTAATATCTTATCAGCTGAATAATTTTCTAATAGAAATAATATTTATTCAAGGTGTCGACAAGTTCCAATATTATCAAAGTTTGGTGATATATCTAGAAAGACCGGATACAGGTTCGGACAAACTGAAAGGCCTGAAAGCGTACCACCTGTGATAGTAACTTTGGATGCGTCAGATCCAAGACGCAAGCATAAAGATGATCCAGAATATAAATGAAAATTAGATTAATTGAACTTGGCAAAACGATCAATGATAGACAGCTCCTTTTTACCTAGTAACGCTTATATTTATGAGACTTTCATACTCATATTATTTAGTTAATTAGATCGCTACCATGCCGCAAACAAGAGATTTCAACCACAGCCCAGAACTTATTTTTCACATTGCTTACAGTCATAAATGTATGACACTAGGCTCTTAATGCTAAATGGTGTGTCACAGATAGATATGTGATACAGGTAGCGGACGTGTTAAGCTATAAAATTTCACATTTAGTATTTAAATAAGCATTAAGTATTACCTATTTAATTATTGTTATTTGGCTTGATATGCTGCATTTTGACATATCATAGAACTTTGTGATATAGTTACAAATGTAGATACTATTGTATAAATCTTATTCATATTATTTTTTATCTTTATTGCCTAGATGTATATAAAATATATTCCAAATATAATTAAATATAAATAAATATTTGAATTATACATACATACAAAAATAAATATCATTTGAAATTAATATAGTGGAAAGAATATCCTATATCTTAAAATTACAAAATTTAAACTATCAAAATACTAGAATATACTTCATCACAGAATGCATTAATTCCGGTATACATATAGTCATCTAACTAAACCTTATCTTCAGATGTCTCTAATGCTTTCGACAGACGCTCTCTTAATTTTTCTTCAAAATTTGTAATTGTCATTGTTTCTTTACAGATTCTTTCTTTTCGTTCCTTTTCAATCTTTGCTACGTATAATGCCAATGCTTCGTTGACTTTTAAAAACTTGATATGATTTTTCTGGATGGATTCCATAGACTTAGTTATAGATTCTAGAATAATAAAAGTATTAAAAGCAAGTTAATCATTTAGAATAAATAATACACAACCTTTAAAACAACAAACAATAATTTCATTAGTACGTTCCTTGTTTTCAAAGTTGTCATTGAAATATTACAATTATTCATAACCTATCATTTGGACCAAATAAATATATTCCAAATAATTGCATAATCTTGCTATTGAAGATCATTTTCATTTTAATGATTTATATATTAAAGACAATAAATAACAGTTATTAAAGTTTAGAATGGAGCTTGTAATACATACCAATGGAATATGCAATTTCGTCTAATATTCGTTCATCCGAGTCTTTAAAATGTTTGTTTATTTGTTCTATTATATTATCCTTTCTATAATCTATATTCGAATATTTGTGTTTTATCGGCTCCATAATGAAAATCTAAATATTTTTAAGAACGCACAGAGAACTAGAACGAACAAAACTGTTATGCAAAATGGACATCTATTTCCCGCTAATTTTACTGACTACCTAATCAAGTACATATTTATAAAAAACCAACCGTAATAACTATTCAATTATTTTTAACGTAATAATTCGTGTATAATTTTCTTTAATATACAATGAAGAAGGAGATAACAATATAAATTAATTTTAAATAATCATTATATATACGATAAAATATGGAGAGCATGAATTTAGTATTTGCTCTTTTGAATTTGATAGTATATTCGCTGTGGCGCGAATATATAAAACAATTATTTTTATTTGAATTTAATTATGTTATTACTGGTGAAACTTATTGCAATTTTATATATTTATATACAAAAATATGTATAATATGAATGAGTAATATTATTTTATAATCTAATTATTGATAAATATAATGTGTTAAATAAAAAAAGAATCTTTAAAAACTAGTTCGTTCTACCATCTATTGAAAAAAAAAGAAACTTTCTTTCTATTTTCTTCTTATATTATTGGTAGATGGCGTAGCATGATATTTTTTTGTGAATTTTAAACGAATTTATAACATAATAAAATGTAATTTAATCCAAACAAAAAATATAAATTGTTCAATTATAAATTAAACAAATTTGACCTAGTATAAAAAAACATACTACTTAACATATTTACGTGTTAACCACATGCTCATTAACCTGACAAAAGCAATAAATTTCAAGTGTAATTTGATAAGTATAATAAGAGTCATATATAAATGATTCATATTGTTGCTAGCGTAAGCTGAATTAGAAATATTTCTGACATATAATTGACTCACGTTGGAGATTCGAAAATAATAAGAGCGCGAAGATTGAACATATCGAAACCATGTAAACGGATGTTACATCGTTACGTGTCGTTTGCAATTGCACACGTACACGTGTAACACATAAGTATGTACATGTATATTTACATACGTACAAGATATATGCTCCGATAATACGAAAGAGTTAACATACGATATTATAACGATGATGAACGAACTTCAAAAGGGTGTAATTATCGTCAAGGTTCAAGGAAAGAAGTTAGCCCGTTTTATTCGAGACAAGGATCGATATGTGTTTATATTTATCGTTCAAGAAGATTCCTTCTTTAGCGATATCTCATATATAGTATATACTTTCGGAAAACGTGATCTAGATAATGTCTTTTCGATACAACACGTCTAGATGATTTATTTTTATTTTTATATTATATATGCTCCGTTTCAATCATTCCGAGAAAATCATTATTGATACACTCGGTTAATCTTCCTGAAAGGCAACAATTATTAAATCGAACATTCTATTATCTTTCTTTAATACATATCTATACTTATGCATTTTCTGTTCTTGATGATACGAATCTAATGATCATTGATTAGATTTATACTTTCTATTGTTGTTTTTATCAAAATATTAGGCATTCGTAATTTTTTGAAGTTAAAATGAACAATTGTATCTCGAAAAACAATAGAGATATCGATTGATCGATACTGCAATTCACGAGATGCACGTATACGTGATTCAAAGGTGACTGTGATGTAAAGAGGATAAAAAAAGAGGAAAGGGAAAGAGAGAGAGAGAGAAAAAAAAGAGATAGAAGCAACAAACAGTAGCTGGTCGAGACGCCGATTCACGGCGCCATTTTTTTGCGCCACCCGTTATAATTGCTGGGGCCTTGTCACTTTTGCCGTAGCTCGAGCCGCATGGCTTCCCCTACATGCACTGAGGTATCTTGTTTCTAGGTCGCCCTGTGCCTTCTGTCGGCTATCTCAAAGACATTAATTAAGATTAAAAGACGACAAAAAGAGCAAAAAAAAAGAAAGAGAGAAGAAATCAAAATGGCTGACGTGCTTCAACGTTCTCTCTTTTTTCATGACGTAGTAGGTCAAAACATGAACTAAATTCTTTTTTTTCTAGAAAAAAAAATGTAAAAAACTTGTAATATTATAAATAAATTAGTATGATCAGGAGATACGTTTTATTACGTATTTTTAAGTCAACGTGTATATATAAATTTAGCAATCATTTGGTAAAGGGTTTGGTCTATAATGATACATATAACGTTCCGTAAATAATGTCTCCTTATGTACACGTCGAGTTGATTTGCCCCACTAACCTAATTTTCTTATCAATTTTTCATATTTAGCTAGCAACGACAAGCAATAAGGATTCCTCGTAAACGTTGTCGATGTATTTATCGATAATGGTAAGGATAACGTTAATGTAAAAAACAAATACAATTGTCGCGCGTTGAAAGTAATGAGCGAATGTGTGAAGGCGGGAAATTTAAAAATTCCAAGAAGGTCGAGCATGAGAAGGGAAGAAAAAAAAAGCATAACTCGCCTACATATTTTACGCCACTTTCTTGCGTGTACGCACGCGTCCATATCTTTCTCTCTCTTTCACACTCTTGTACATTTCAAGGTCTTCGCGAGAAGGTCCATGCAACAGCAAAAGGAGTAGCAGCAAGAGCAGCAGCAGGAGCAGGAGCGGCAGCTCGTACGAGTTCGAACGGTCGTAACACGGTAGCCAACACGGTGGTGGGTTTAAATCATATTAAAGCACGTCCAGGACGCGCGAACCGTAAGCCTGGATTACGGGGCTACAGGCGGTTTCAACCTTCCAACATCGGACCCACAATATAAGCCCAACGTATTTCTATAACGCTGTAATTCGATCGTCTTAGAAAACCAAAGCGAGGAAGAAGAATAGATGGCAAGGGGAAAGAGAGAACCAGAGATCGGAAGCTACGCGTGTGTCGAAGATTTACATATATATATACACATATATGTATGAATATAATACATATTAGAAATTTAATATTTCTTTTCCTTGTTAATTTTAAAAGATAGATGCTATTATTCATCGAATCTGAAGCGTGTATCTTTTAATTAATTATTATTAGTAATTAATTGAAGTTAATTTGACTAGGTCAGTAACGCCATCTTGGAATTAACGATGTATCGATGATTAATCGATTATTTCAATAATTTTTAAACTGTTTGAAATTCAAAGGTGTAATTAAATAGTTTATATATTATTATACATATTATATATGTATGTATATATAGAACACACATAAGAGATAAAGCGATCTCGTGGAAAGTTACGAAGCAACGTGGGCAGTACGACGGTAGAAAATGGCGTGGGTCGTGACGGGTCCAGGTGGAACGTGTTTATACAAGATAGGACTCGATAAAGCATCGTCGATGCTAGCAAGAAGAATACCGAAAGAACGAAAGCGAAAAGATTTATATTTTTCTCTTTTTCTTTCTAGTTTTGTTGAAGTAAATATTAATTCCATATTTTCGCATGGTTTCTTAAAATTCAACATAGCGTCTTGAGATAATTTAAATAGATTTTTGCAAATGGGAACTTAAATATTTTATTTCACGATATTTTTAAAGAAAAAGAATATTTTTCAAGACATCGAAGAGAATAATCGAGTACAAAGCTTGCGTTAGAGGTATTGAGCACGATTTTATTCCACCTACGCGGAGTTAGGGAGCTATTTACATGAGAAAGATAGAGATAGAATGATAGCGTGAGAGAGATAGATTATTCGTCGACGTCGACACGCGTGTCGCATTAAACGCTATCGTTTTAATCCTCGTTATAATTTATCGGTCTTCTTTTAACAATGTCACGAATATGGCTTATGCATTTTTTATTTGAATATTATTGTTGGAAGTAGCTTGAATATTTTAATTCGTGTACATACATGGTTCTAATTTTGAAAAACTTATTCCCTCTATCTCACACTTTTTATATTTTCCTCTTTCTTCTATCAACCATGCAGAGTATTATTATCATTAGTTATAAAGAGTGCAAAGAAATGCAAGAACAACCGTATGGTTACCTTCAGTACGTTGTGCGGACGTAAAGGATCATTCGTAATGACTGAAAATGTGAACGTAAGTCCGCGTAGTTAGGTTTTTCCTTCCTTACATTTCTTTCATTTCAACCCGTGATTCCTTCTACGAGCCTTGATATAATTTACCAGCGGGAAGACTTTTTATACATTAGGACTTTTTCGACTTCTTTATACTGCGAAAAGAATTTTCATATATTATCTACGTGCATGTACACATATTCATATTTGTAATACATGTAATAAAAGAAGAGAGACAAAGTAAAAAAAAATGTATAAAAAAGAATGGTGTAAGCGAAGAGGCAAAGAGAAATGACTATCCAATAGTAAGAAAGAAAATAAAAAAGATGAAGAAGAAAAAGAAGGAAGAAGAAGCAAGAGCCGCAGAGTCGCTCACAAAGCGCTCTGTGTTTACGAACTATCCGTGGCTCGTACGCACTAGTTGTAAATTACCACGTGTCCAAAGCGTAATGCTCGCTTTTACTATTCCACTTTAGACCTGGTAAGCTTCGTGTGTCGCATTCACCCTTGATAAAACGCGTACGCTTAACTACCTATATATATATATATACGTACTTATATACGTACTTATATACGTACTTATATACATGCATAATACATACATTCAACTGTACACACATATTTATATATATATATATATATGTATGTACAAAGGAGGTAAGGTTGGAAGGAAGGATACATGAGCGAAGCAAAACGTTTAACTACCATAAAGCCGAGCCACGGTAAATCGGAAACAAGACTGTATAAAGGAGAAACGCGAGTAAGAAGTAGAGAAAATTGTAGGCACCTAGGCTTCCAAGGAGGAACGCTGGAACGCGCTCTAAGAGTTTATAAAATAATCGGCGAATCCGATGGTTTGAGCGTATATAACGTGGGCGGTTGTAATGAGGAAGATTTCTGAAAAGAGAGAAAGAAATATTTTCATTATAAAGTGCTGACACTCGAATTGTTTTTTTTAAATTTGCCGCGCATGTCATCGCTGTTTTAGTCAAATCAACAACTCGCAGATTATTTAAATAGTTGTTGATTTGACTTTATCAAAGTAATGTTAATATGGGCGCCAAATTTAAAAAAAGTACAAAGCTATATGCATTTATATGAGTTATAAAATCAAAGTATTTTAATATTAGGTATTTTTGTTTAAATTCTAATTTAATTTATCAAATACGAGTTCTAACGACGATTGCAAATGCAATTCCCTGAAACTTTCTCTGAAACAAAACTTGACATTCAAGTTGAGTATCAACCCTCCAACACAGAGAATCTCCTCTCCCCTTTAGCCATAGTAAAACAACGTGATATGAATTTTGTATAATCTTTTCTCCCATAAACCGTCTCGTATGTGTATACTTTCCTATATGATCGTGAATTATGGAAAGAAAATGCAACGACGTGCTAGGCAAATGAATTGAAATCTCCCGATCGTTTTCTTCACTCGAACCCCTCTTTACCATACCCATTACATAGTTAAGTAAATCTCGCGGCTTGAAATTCCGCTAAATATTACGTGAGAGAACAGTGATAATAATAAAGACGTGACGTTAATGAACTCCAAGTTAAACTTTTACCAGGGGTAATGTTTTTATTTATGGAAATCAGAATTTAAAATGGTCTGCCTGCCTGTCTGTCTTTCTATTTGTCTGTCTGTCCCCCTCAACATTCTTCTCTTTGTTATCTCTATCTTTTTTTTTCTTTCTTCATTTTCTCCAAGTCCTGTTATCTTTGAATAGATAAGAGGGTAGACACCGCTTACAACTTCATTGATTATTGTCTTGTAACCTGTAAAGGATAGAGCACTTATAATGAATAGAAATGTTTCCCGGGAATTTTGATTAGATTATTTAAACTACCAGATTAAAATAGTGTATAAATATACAGGAAGATATTTTGCAAGAAAAGGAAAATGTGCAAGAAATCAAAGTTAAATGCAAGGTGATAAATACAAAACCATAAATATGTATACCACAGTGATACCACAAACCCCTTCCCCCATGGCTGTGATATTTCTTCTCTTTCTTTCTGAAGAAAGCAATAAGAAGGATGTTTGAGAGGAAACGAAAAGAAGGTAGAGGGCAAAAAGGAGTAACAATTTACGAGTCCCCTGAATTTACGATTTGGCGGGTGGAGAGAAAGGAAATAAAGAAAGGATGAAATAAAAAGCAAAAGAAAGAAACAAAGAGAAAGAAAGAGAGAGACGGACAGACGGACAAAAAGAAGTAAAAAGGAGAAAGAAAGAAGAAAAGAGTCTAGTGGTGAAACGAGGTGGTTAACTCGTACTCGAGAATCGCTTGGTAACTTCCAAGACTCCGTGTCGAGTACTCAAAGAGTAAACTCGAGAGCAAGAGAGAGAAGGATAGAAAGAATACATGATGATAACCACGTGGAGTCAGAGTGAAGCCGTAAATGGTAACGCGAGAGGAAGATGGGACCAGCAAGCAAGCAAAAGGGGGTAGAAAACTAGGTGAGTGTGCGAAATCTTCTCTTTCTCTTTCTTTCTTTAGAGATCATTCGATCGCAAATTTATAAGATTAAACCGGTTCCCTTAGTTCTCCTCTTCGATGCTCACGATCTTACTTGGGTTACTACACACCAACGTAGCCAAAGTAAATTTAACAACTGTGTGCCAACGTTTTTATCTCTGTCTGTCTGTCTGTTTGTCTACCTGCCTGCCTGTGTATATTTGACACAACGTAACAAACAATATCGTGGATAAAATAATATCGTTTAGATGTCTCTCGTGTTAAAGATGACTCGACAAAGGTAATACTATTTGGAAGTAACAATACTCGTTTTCGCATGGGAATTAGTCATTATTTTCAATCGTATAATATTAAATTATTTATTCTTTCTTTCTCAAGGTAAATAAAAATTCATTCAAGATCATATTTAAAACAGTATCGAATGAATCCTAATTTATACAAAAACGAACGCGTTCTCAAAAACGTGCTTATAAACTGAATGTTTCTGATAAGTTTAGAGAATGAAAAAGAGAGAACCTTTCTCGGGGAACAACCTTTTTCTGTCAACGTCAAATCGAAGGAAAAAAAAAGAAAAAATAAAATAAAATAAAAGACAAGTTAAAATAGAAAAAGAAAAGGGGAACCGAGGAGAATGATCCAAGAGATCGAGACTTTCGTGAATCCGGATCCGTGGGTCGAATCCGATCCAGCATCTCGCGTGTCGAGACACGCTTCGCTCAACTGTGTTCCTTCCCTCTTCCCTGTCCCTCTTACTTGTCCCTCTTCCTCTCCTCCTTCTCATTCTCTCTGTCTCTCTCTGTCTCTGTCTCTCTCTCTTTCTCTCTCTCTCTTTTGTGTATTCTTTCACGGTCCCTCCAGTCCCTCTTGAAGAGTTTCTATCTCTTTCTTTCTTCCTCACTCGTGTGTTAAGTCCACCATCTCGCTCTTTCTCATTCTGGATTGACCAGTTGTTCCTTTTGTTTTTCACTAACATGAGTGAGCAAGCGAAAGAGAGAAAAAGAGACAGGGAAAGAAAAACAGAGAAGGAGAAAGAGAGAAAGAGAGAGAAAAAAAAGAGAAAGAAACGAACTGGATGGGTGTACGAGAGAGGAACTGAAGAGAGAACATCTCTTGAAGAGGACCGTATTTTCTCTCTTTTACTTCTCAAAGAATAAGAGAGAAAGAGAAAGAGAATGCGAGGAGCAACAAGAGCAACCGTGACGCCGTACAAAGAGAGCAACGGATCTAAGAAAGAAAAAGGAGGAAAAAAACGGGCCTTCGGGGCAAACGGAAAAGGATAGGTCGTTGGTTTGGTTGAGAGGGCAGAAGAGAAAAGAGTGAGAGAGAAAAAGAAGGAGAGACATGTATATATACATAATATATATATAGGTATAGTAAAAGAAGAAGGAGAAGAAGAAGTAGAGGAAGAAATAGAAGGAGAAGGAGAAGAAGAAGACTCCAGGGATGTAAGGTGCAAACCTTCGTGCCTTATGTCGACTGACACGGATTTGATGATCAAGAAACTAGTTCTCATAATATTTGACTATCTAGAAATTAGTCCTGTTAGATCATTCATTATTTTTTCCTAAACATTTTGTAATTTTTCATCTGTCCTCGGTTCTTAATAAAATGAGAGTTCTGATCTTACAATTTTATCCCCAGAAAGTTTATAAAATTTTCAATTTTCTCGCTCATCTTCTTGGTGGATCATTTTATTCTTCTTCTTCTTTTTCTTCTTCATATTCTTTTTTTGTTCTTAATGCAAACGTATCGAAGAAGCACCGGCTCGCATCTTCATGTTACTCTGTTGTCGAGAACGAGTTTGACTTGAAGTTCGATCGAAGACGAGGGACGCACAGCACTAGCAAGAAGCAGATACATACACCGATCGGACCTAAAGAAAAGGAACGACCCATATAATTGATCTCGCTCAAGCAACGAGATACGAAGTGTTAAACTTATTTCGTTGCTCTTATCCGATCGAAACTTTGGCCTACTTTTTCTTTTTGTTTTGTATTATTTTTTTTCTTCTCATAGTTGTTATAGCATGTTTTTGTTTTTACAATTGTTATATTAATTCAAACAATTTCTTGAAATGAAATAAATCCAGCCAAGATCCTTCTCCGTTTCTGTAAAAATGTTATTACACGTTAGTTATGCATTAATATAATTTTTGTAGAAGATTATAATAAAATGTATTTTATTTTGATTTTATTAGATAGAAAAAATGAGCTACGTTTCTCTTTTTTTTCCCACGTACACGCATACGTAAGCAATTTCACTCGCAGAAGATATTTTTCTACTCTTCATAGAGGTAATTACGTTAATCCGTAAACGGGAAAATAGTTGCCGTGCGCTATCGAATGCATCGCCAGGAATATATGACGCGATCAAAGGTCGGCATGCAAATTACGGTCGGTTAAGGCGAGTTGCCGCATTACGGTAATTACCGGTTTTGTTAAGTACAGAAATAAAAGATCAAAGAGAGATACGTTATAGTCCTATCGCTTTGTAACAGATAAATTGGTATGGAATAATTGGAAAGAAAAAGTTTTTCCCTTTTTTTTTTTATCAACCCACAGATAGTACACTGATTTAGGATCCTTTGATTTCATTTTGATTCTTTTCCTTTCGCTAATAAATTCACGAATTTATATTGTAGATCTTTAAGTAGAAATTATTTCATGTTCAATAATTCAATAATTGTTAAATGAATGAGATTGAAAGCGATCATTCGAAGATACTGAAAGAAAATATTTAGTTAGACAAATCTTTGACAACTTACATCAATTAATTTTGTTTTCTTAGAACATTAAGTGCTTGATTGATCGATAACGAGAATAAAATCGATGTTTCATTTTCTTCACGGGGATGCGTAGAGGCATATAAAAAGAGGAGATCTCGTGTAGCAAAGAAAACGTAAAGCCGGCTGTAACGACGGATGTGGTTGTGGCACGTCTTCCATTTCTTCTCTGTTTCTCTCTTTTTCTTTCTTTCTTTTGAGAGATATGTAACTTGCACGTTCATAACCGCAGTGCTTCAATGACTTCCGTAATTTGACTCGTCACCTGCCTGTCGTTCGACTTAAATTCATTCGATGTGAGAGGAACAGAGAGAAGCCAACGAAAAGTAGAGCTAAGTGTAACGGATCTTCACGAACGTTAGACGTTTAACAGTTAAAACGGTAACATTTCAAGTCATCTTCATTTCCATGAGACGTGTTTGGTATCTGTAATTCAAATATACATTTTTTAGTTTAAAAATACTGTTTTATTTTAATTAAGAATATGTTGTATTGTTTAATCAAATGTATTTTGGTTTCCACGACTAATTTTATATTCATAAATAAAAAAACTATATATGCCAGCTTTGTATTATTCGTAAATAATTCATATCATTTATATAAAGAACCACCTTATAATCGTTATCGATAATACGTGACGATAAATCCTCGCTGGTATATAGAGAGGGAGAAGTATCAAGATGAGTCTTGGAATACAACTGGCCTGGGATGACTTTGTGATTCTCTAGTAGGAGGTGACGCGGTCAGGACGACTTCGGTAATGGGAGGTAGAGATTAGCCATTTTACGAATCCTTCTTTTTTTCTCTTGTGTAAGATAGAAACATACAAAATAAATTTTGATAATTTATCATATTAACGACTATATCGTTCTAAAAATATTGAAAAAAATATATATTAGGTCCACTATCCTAACTCGTTGACCATCAATGAACTTAGAATTCATTGACCGTGCACTTATACACGAACACTCTATCTCTTTCGAGATAATGTCTATGCATAATCAAACAATTTAAAATGTTCCAGTCTGTTAATCAATCAAATTATCTCACTAATATCAATAAAAAAATCCATCTACAAAAAGAAACATCTGCAAACAATAAAATTGTGAAGAAACAAATTACTTTTGCCTACCTAAATAAATTTTCTCAGTATTACCAAACATCAATCTTTGTTACGTATAATTTATCTACTTAAAATATATGTAAACTAAAGAAATATGTAAAATTTCTCTCTGTCAGTTGGTCGGTCCGTCCCTGTTTTACAGCAAAAATGGTGAAGAAGAGTGTGAGGAGTAGAAGAAGGAAGAAGAAGAGAAGGAGGAGGAGGACGGTTGATGAGGAAAGAAGAGGATGAGAAAAAAAGGCAGAACTGGCAAAAGGGGCAAAACCGCTCTCTCCCTTTCCTCCTTCCCTTTTCCTCTCGCCGCGCCATTTCTTTTTCCAGTTTGCTCATCTCTCTCTCTTTTTCTCTTCGAACTCCTCCTCTTTTTCTTCCCTCCTCCCTCGCCTTCCCATCACAAGTCTCATGGTGTAGTAATGGTACAGTATGGTAAGACGTAGTACGATGCAACGTGTGTGCATCGACTTTCGCCGCTTACGTGCACGTGTGGCTACTCCAAAGCGTCGTTTCTTCTTTAAAGAAGATGAGCAGAAGGAGGAGGAAGATGAGAATGGCGTAGTGTTGAAGAAAGCAAGCTGATAACCACTCGATGTCAAGGTCCTTTTGATGCAACACTCTTCTTTTATACGCATTTCTTATCTTCTTCATCTAATTTATGAAAAAGAACTTTTCTCGACATTTTTTGCCTGTTCATAACAAAATAAAAGAAAATAATTATTATGTGTTATACAAAAAATTATTCCAGACATATCATATGAATCTGTAATAGTTTAAATTGGTACGGTATTATTTTTAAAGTTAAAAAAAAAAGTACCAATCTCTCTAATGAATCTTCGGTAAATATTGAAGTAAAAAAGAAGAAAAAAGAAGCATTAGAGAAGTCTAAGAATGTAACTTTACAAATCTTCCCGGATCTCTTTTTGCTTCTTCTACTGGTTACTGTTTAGAGCAACAAGAGATAGAAAGAGAAAGAGAGAAAGAGAGAGAGGAGACAAAAAGGAATAAAAGAAGAAGGAGAGTAGAGGGAGAGATGCGGAACCGGAGAGAAAGTGAACCGGAGAAGAAGAAATAGAGAGTAAAGAAAAGGGAGAGTAAGAGCAACAGCAACCGGTGTGTACTGCTGACCACTGCCTCGCAAGATTCAGAAAAGAAGAGCAGAACGAGACACCTCCGGGAAAATGGAAGCAAAACAGGAAGGAGGAAGAACAGGAAGAGGGGGAGGAAAAGGGAGAAGATAATCAAATAGAGACGCACACGAATGGCGAATATAAACATAGTGAACAACGACTTTACCTTCAGGCTTCTTTCTTCTTTCCAACTTCAAAGAAAAAGAATATATAGTAGCTTCTATATCCTTGTATTTCAATCGTTATATATATATATGCACCATAATATCCTTTATTCAGTAACTTTATTACATCCTTCCCATATTGTTTTTTTCCTTATTCTTCTTCCCTCTTGCAACAATCTCTTGGCCTACGATTTCAAGAAACCAGATATTCAAAGTGCTTTCTTTACGAAGTAAGTAAGTACATTACTGATTGTGAGTCTTGTTTGTTATTTGTAGGTAATATCGAAGACTATTACTTATCCTTATTATTATTATTATTCGAGGAAATAGATGTAATTTAAGTGTCTTCTTGAATGAGATTGTTAATCATCAAGAGAGATGATTGCTCTGAAAATTACTGATCCTACTCGGATTCTTTTCAGCGTTATCACATTAATCAAGATCTGATTATCATTTTATAATATTAATTAATCTATTTATTATATCTTCGTCATTTTTCACCAATATCTTAGTGGTACCTTGATATCTGAAGAATAAATAAAAAAATAATATAATTCAATAAATGGTTTAATTAATTTCTAAACAAAAGTATAAAGGTGTAGCAGGCAGATTGAAAGCTTACGAAGAGAGTATCTCCGGTAGGCAAGAAGAAATTCAGGGAGCTCAAATTATTAAAGCACATCCTCTTCTTTTCTTCAAGGGGAGGTAAAAGGTAGAGCGAGGGACAATAAAAGAAAAGAAAGAGAAAGAGAGAGAGAGAAAGGGTGACCGGTGCTAATACGAAAAATGGTAATCGACGTCAACGTCGGAGATCGGAACTGTTGATTTAAATTGCCTAATTGTAAGTTCCCTTCTCTCGGGGTGAGCTCTCTTGGCAGAAGAGATCGGTAGTCCTGTTGCTGCTGTGGCTTGGCTTCGTGCCTGCCGGTAGCCGTTGCACGTAATAGCGTTCGAAACGGTGAGAAAGGGGAGGAGGATGAGGAAAAGAAAGAGAAGAAAGAGTAGAAGGAGGAGTTGAAGGAGGAAGAGGATGAGTTACGTTGAAGAAATAAAAAGTACAAGAGGAAGGAGAAGAAGAAGAAAAAGGAACAGAGAAAAGAGAAGATATTACGAGAGAAAGAAAAAGAGAGATAGAAAGAGGACAAGCTTGGCTGTTAAAAGAGGACAGGTTTGCAGAAGTCTCCAGGAGGTACCAAGGAGGAGGATATCAGAAGAGGAGAGATTAAAATCGTCGAATCTTGCGATGCCCTCCTCTTTACTGAACAACCCCCCACTGATCCTGAAATCATTCTTTCCTTCCCCCACATCTTCTTTTCTTCGTTCTTCTCTCACACTGACAGTAAAACTTCTTCTACGAAGAGAAAAAAGGAGTATATGGATACAATGTAAACTTGTGTATGTTAGGTTGTAATTAACTCGACTCTCTCTCTTCTTCTTGACTTGCTACGTAGCATATACCTACGTTACAACGGATGGAAATGATGATTTGTTATCGAGTCTTCATCGTCTTTCTTACTTTTTATAATTCCTTACCTTGGCAGACGAACGATAGTCTGAAAGAAATAAAAGAGTCGATTAGAATCTTAGATGGTTACTTTTTTAATATTATTTTTTCTTAAATCGTTGTAAAAAGTATAGACGACGACAAATCATGCATTTACGTATTTTGTTAAAAGAGATAAAAAACAAGATCGACGATCCGAAACATTAACCTACATTTGTTTATTCAACTATATTAAAAAATCAATTTATACACCCTATAATACCAATACTTTCGACTTTGTCATGAATGATAAATAAAAAACGACTTACTATGTATAATTTCCCATTAAGCGTACGGAAAGGTTAAAGTATCTTAATACATAGCAGCATAAGACCTTTAGCCAGGTCTCAACATCGTTTCTTCTTACATCCTGCGTTTCAATGGCATTCTCAGCAGTAGTAATACAATGTATATACTTTGTAAAGAGGAGGAAGAAAGGAGAAGAGAAGGACGTTAGGTTAAAAATCCTCTCGTATGGAGTCTTGATTTGACGTAATCGCCTTTACTTTAAGTTGAGTAGCCAACATACTACCAACCAACCAGCCAAGACACACCTTGTAATATACTTGCAGAATGCATCTCTTCCCTGTCTTCTTATCCGTCTACTTTTATCCTTTTCTTCTTCTTCATCGTGTTTTCTTTCTCACTTACCTAGAAACCCTGTATATTATAGGATTCTCATCGCGTTACTTTTTAAAGATTCTTGTTTACTTACTTTTTTCTTATTCATCGTTTCCCGAGCAAACAGAACACCTACGTTAACTGGTATTATTTTTTACATAAAGATCAATGGAATTCATTCGATTCGCGATTAGATCGATTCTCCTTCTTCTTTTTTCGGTTGTTTTTCTTGCCATTCACATTCTTGGTAATTTTGTTTGAAAGATATTCACGCACAAGCCAAAGGCCTCCTTTATATTCTAGATCTGTGGCCTTGCTCGAAAAGAATTCGGCTGTGTTGCGTAACGTTGTGTTCGATCTAACATTCCGAGAGCGTTAGTGAAATGCGTTTTCTAAAAGTACAAAAATATTTATCTATTAATTCTCAAATATTCAGATTTTAATTCAGTTAATATTTCTTCATATAATAAGAAGTACTATAACAAATTTTATCTAATTATTATTTAAAATAAAAGAGCAGAAAAAGAAACAACCCGAAACTTTTCAACAAAAGCATTCAATTCGGCTGGTCTTGAAAGGATTTAGTTTTGTCGCTAAGCATTTAAAGTGGACACTTTATTACACGGACGAATATTCGAGGGGTGGTAAGAAAAAGAGAGAGAAAGAGAGATCCTTGGCGTTTCACAGTTGTGATTTACACGTCGTAAAGGGTACGAGCAAGACTCCTCGTGAGCGTGTTAATACGCGTGCTTTCAAGAATGCTTGCGACCACTTTTCTCGCGTATGCGTGTCGGTTATGTCGTAGACGAGTAGTATAAGTATGTATAGCAGTATAGTGACGTCACTAATGCAGGCTTTTACAAGAAGGTCAGAAAGATCATATGGTCGCACGAACGAGGGAAATAGAGAAACATAGTGTTAAAGAAGCTTTTAGAAATGTCATGCAATTCTTTGCTCACATCTGAAATACTAACAATAAGTTTGGACTCACATATCTACAGGGTGAGTTAATAATTACTTTCATTTAAAGTACGCGTGATTTTATATTTGCTACTAGTAAAAAATATATTTTAAATAAAATGTTATAGGTTTAATAAACGCGGATAAGGTGATTGAAATATATTATAAGTTAGTGTTTAAATAATTTTGGAATATATTATAAAAAGGATTTTTTTGTTGGAATACTGAGTTACTGTTGACTCACCCTATATATTATGTTTATGTATATATGTTGACGGATATATGTGGATAATAAAACGTTCACAGTCTCGAGTTTTGCTTCTTGAAAAGGCTAAATTATGTGCTAACATAAATACAGGATTAAATATAATTTTCTGGAGAGAGAAGAGCGTTATAAGGAAAGAAGTCATTTTTTTAAAAGAGGATTTACACTCTCTCCTTCTGGATAAACTTATTTTTTTTTATTAAACTTTGTCATCCGATTGTTTCAACATTTCTCTTTCCTCTTTCCTTTTCTTAAAAATTACGGAGGAGTCGCATTGAAAAATTTCTCGAGCACGAGGCCGTGGCGATTCAATTAACTGCGGGTTAATAATGGTCACGGTGAGAGAAGGAATCCTGACGTCTCTTCGAGATGAGGAGGACGCTCTCGAGAAATAAAGGATCCGAAAGGGGATCCAAAGAAGAATAAGAATAAGAATAAGAGGAATAAGAAGAATAAGAAAAAGAAGAGGAGGGATTCTCTCCCTCGCACATCCCGCTCGAACCATGTACGAGAGATTTATTGGCGTACGGATTTGCATTTTAAATATGCGAAGTGGTGTGCTGGATGTTAAGCTGCCTCAAAAGAATATTCACCCTCTTCGACCTCGTCGCCATTATCTTCCCTCTTTCTCGCTCTCACCCTTTTATCTCCTCTCTTTCTTATTATTTCTTTTTTTCTTCTTCTTAAGGGTGCATGGGTGTACTGGTGCAAGATTGCAAAGATTTCAGATTATAACAATAAATGGTCTTAATTATACCTTCATAATAACATATTATCTTCTTTTTTATCTTGAAGGGTACAAGTTATATCAGAAAATCCTTTTTTTATTATGTTCCTATATATCCTATATATTTTATTTTGTTATTGATTATCCTAATCATTTGGTTAGGCCAGCAGTAATTCAGAATACTAATTAGCATTTGAAAATATGCCCTCGTATGTTTAATAAATCTGTTTGATCTACCGAGTAAAACACGTCGTTGCGTAATCAATCAGCTTCCACCTGTACATACAAAACACACAGAAATATATACATGTATTTAATTATTCAGAATTATTTTCAATTCCATTTCTTGTTCTATCGCTTAGAATTTCACATTAAAAAATACCTTTTCTTTCTATTTTTTTTCTATTTAATTTCGATGATTTCAGGTATATCATAACGTGTTGTCTTGGAAGCAAAAGCGGTAGCGAAAAATGGTAGAGACGAGAAGGTAGGTATATTTTTCAACTGGACGGACGTCACTGATAAATTTACGCCAAAGTATTTTGAAGGGTTATTCCAAGCGTGCGCGCGCGAGTCTACAAAAGCGGCACTGAAACCGGACGGCTGCCGGTCTTGTTCCATTAACGCCGTTTGGCACTGGATCAGAAATCATGAAGAAAATAATCCTTTCTGACCATCTCTTCTCCCTCTTTCTTTCTTTCTTTCTTTTTCATTTTAAGTTTATAAATTTCATGCAATCCGGACCAAAAACTGACCTAAAAATGAATATATAATTTTAATGTATAGGTCATTGAACGAAATTACAATGGAACAAAAGTATCTTGAATAAAAATTGACTAAATATAAAATTCAAATAACAAAATGAAGAAGGATTATTTGTAGATTATTTTGAGATCTCATTCATTATTCATTCACTAATCCATATATCCATTCATTCATTTATTATTCATCCACCCATCTATCCATCCATCCATCCATCCATCCATCCATCTATACATAAATATATCCATACATTTTCGTTTGACGGGTATTTGAAGCGACCTTAAATCCGTTTCGAAAGGATGCCAACGAAATCACGCGGATTGGTCGCCGGACGTTTTGTCGTCGGACCGTGACAGCGGCTTAAGATGGGAGTCGAGAAATGGGGACGAACAAAGGCTTCGAGTAAAGAGTGGAACAGAGAAAGAGAGAGAAAGAACAAGAACGAGAGGAAGATGCAACCTCTCGTTCAAACTTAAAAGAGAAAGAGAGACGGATTCAAACTTAAAAGAAGAAGAGAAGAAGAAGAGAAGAAGAAGAAGAAGAAGAAGAAGAAAAGAGACTGAAATCTTCGGACGCGAGAGCTGACAAAATAAAGGAGGTGAAAGAAGACGAAAGAAAACAAGCGAGCCCAACAGAGCACAGAGAAGAGAAGAAAGAAAGAAAGAAAGAGAGAAGGTGGAGTGCGAACGCGAGAGTTAGTTTTAATATTCCTACGGCGTGGCTCTGCACCTTCTTCTTCGACTTCTTCTTCGTGCATCGCCATCACGTTCCTCCCCTTTACTTCTCCCTCCTCGCCCCCTCTCCTTTTACTCCTACTCCTCCTTCCACCGACTTCTTCATTCTCGCCAGTTCTCTCTCGACGTCTTCTTCTTCTTCTTCTTGTACTTCTTGTCTTTTTCTTTTTCTTTTTCTTCATCTGTCCACCCTCTTTCTCTTATTCCTTTTTTTTCTTTTTTTTCGTCATCTTTTTCTTCTTCTTGTTTTTATTCTTTTTTTCTTTTTGTGCTTTCTAGTCGAAAGCCGTACGACGAGGGGAAGGAAGAGGGACGGGTACTGATGATGGTGCTGGTGCTGGACCAAAAGAGGAAGACACTCTTTCAACATGGAACGAGAAAATCAATTTAGTCCACACGCCATCACCGCCGATTGATTCCGCAACGCGTGATTCGAATAAATCGATTATTGTCTGTGTGGATCTACTTGGTTGTGTCGTATAAATTAATGTCAAACGTTCCTCTCTTTTTCTATTTTTTCTTCTTCTGTTCTCCTCTCCCTCTTGGATTCTCATATCTATAAAAATGATTCATTTATTAGTAAGAGATTCGTCGACAGTTTTACTTCTTAAAAATTATTAAACAGAATGTACAGTTACTTTACACAATTTATTTCTAATTAATTAAAGCGTTGTGTGTGTTGTTATTAAGACATAGCCTTTGTTTGGAATAGAAGCGTGTCAGAAAAATGTTTGGAAGCTAGTAGATTAGATCGATTGTAATTGCAAGAAGAAGAGACGTAATCGGATTCCCTTAGCAACAGTGTCGTCGTCGAAGGTAAAGCTAGAAGTCGGTGCCCCGGCGTGTGTACTCGCGGTGTCGGATAACGAGACGACGCTGCGATAGCAACGATCTCTGGGTGAATCTAGCCACGCTCAAGCCTCCGGCTTCTTGCCCGACCAACAACCATGGGGGCATCGACTTTTTCGTGTCACGCGACACTACCGAGTTTCCTCTTCCTCGCCTAATTCTTGTTTCTTTTTTACCTACAAACATCTTACATTAATATCACATTAATAATAAACAGTCTACAATATATATATATATATATATATATTTATGAAATTAATTGACATTAATTAATATTTTCTATTGGCCCAAAATTGTCGCATTTTAATGTAAAAAAAGAAGTTATTTTAACAAATACAAAAACATGCATATAGATACTATTTATTAAATCATAAGTGTAAGAATAATCAATTCAAAAGCTAATTAATGTACTAAGGATATAAATAAAATTGAAAGGAAGTGTGGCTGCTAATACAAAAGGGAAAGTTTATAGAAAGAGTATATCGTTTCTGGGCGATAATGCTAGGATGTTAGCAAAGCAGTAACTACTACCTTGCTGTTAGTTTCAGAATTAAGTTAGCGGTTGAATCGACATGGCAATTCGTTCCTATCGCTAGCCTCGATCGACGTTGTTTTCGCCCAAATGATAAATGCGCTGCGCTATTAAAATGGCCTTGGCTGCAGAAGTAGCGTTCGTATAAAGAGGAGGAGGAGGAAGAGGAGGACGACGACGGCGACGAAGAAGAGAAGGGAGAGGATGAGAGGATGAGAGGTCGCTTTTCTCTCTTTCTCCCCCTCTCTCTCTCTCTCTCTCTCTTTCTCTTTCTCTTTCTCTCTTTCTTTCGATCGTGACTAAAAATGGCGATGCAGGTCGAGCCTCTTGCCGAGGGCGGATCGAGATCGAAGCCCGCGGTAAGATCGGCCGCAGCTGCGTCAGCGTTTTCACGGTCGTCCGGATCGTCCGTCGATGATACTGCACCAGCCAAAGATGATATTTCGACTTTTTAAACGCAATTGTACATATCATAGATTCCTACACTTTTTGCTGTTTTATAGAAATGATTTTTTTTCGAGGCTCGATCCATGTTGAAATACTTATGTCTCATATGTGTATGTGAATATTTCTTTCTGTTTTATAAAACAAATGAATGATTCAAAGAAGGAAACTTAATTGCAATCGCAATTTTGCAAATGAAATTTGATCTACGCTAGCATTCAATTAAATTTCAATTGAAGTCAATGAATTTAATTTCACTTGGGATTGATGTTAAACGTTGAAATAGAAACGCCTTGAATCTGGTTAACAGTACTCTTTCGACATTGACAAAAGTTGTAAGAATATTCATCAGTAATTTCACGAATTTATGAGATAGATAGAGAGAAGAGTGGTGACGTATATTTCAATGAAAACAACGCCATCCAACATCATCACCACCACCACACAACACCATATCACGTAGTCTTCCTTCTCTCAGAAGATTTAAAGCGATCCTCGTTAATCACAGCCAAGCTTCTCGATAAACTTCACGATTATCGTGATTGCCGGTGCAAGCAAGTCGAGAGTCCAACCGAACCCAGAGAGAAGCTGTTGGCCCCAGGCTGATGTACGTGCGTTTAATGCATACGCTAAGAAAGCAAGCGCAAGAGGAGCTAGGCTCCAGAGAGTATGTACTCGCCACAGGTGCAACGAGTCCTGATGCATTATCAAGTTGTTCGCTTCGAAATTTTCGCAACCCTCCTTCTTTCCTATCCTTTTTTTCACTTTTTAGTTATCTTTCTTCTTTTCCAATCTTCTTTGTTTAACTCATCATTTTAATTTTACCTAAAGCAGAAAAAAGTAAACGTTAGCAATTAATGATCCTGTTGAATATTATAAGTTCATGATTAAAACAAATATATTGAGACCTAGAGTGTTGTATTAATGATTTGTACACGAATAAAACTTTAAAAGAAACAGATGATCTAGTGATCATGTTCGCTCGTCTCATTCGAAGATCGTAATTTACAATCAGAGTCAGGACCATGAACGAGAGACTTATAATTGCGCTAAATAACCGGAAAGTTCCTTTCTCACACTGTCGCAAAAGAAAAATAAATGAAGAGCGAGAGAGACAGATCCCTTTATTACGATATATGGTTTTCCATGATTCATTACTACCATACAAGACTATGCTCGTCTTGCTATCATATAAGAATATGCTATTTCTTCTTCTTTTGTCTTTACTTGCCATTGATCTTATTGTTAGTTAAAAATGTATTCGCGAATTTAAATTTTAAGATGAACTCTATTTTTAGAATTATTAAAAATCGATTAAATTACATGATAAATAAATCATTAATGTAAAACCCTAAGTTAAGAGATAAAAGAAGATTTTATGTACACAAAAGTTGGCCACCCCTGTTCTATAGAATGCCCGGCTTGATTATTATTTTGTATTAAAAATGTTGAGCTTGTTAAATTAAGTATTTTTGGAGTACTTTGTGCAATAAAAATGTGGACAATATTTATTAGCCGATTGAGAATATGTATGAAGATAAAAAAAAAGAGGAAAAAATATAATATGAAATAAATGTGCCAATGGAGTATAAAAAATTGTCAAAAGCCGTTGGAGTTGAAAGGGACCGTGTCTCTTTAGAGGCGTGGCGAAGAACCATTTACAGGTAATAAAGAGTAAAGTACAGGACACATGTTGAGCACGAGATTGCTCCTATATACTAACCCGTTCTCTTTCTATCCTTTTTCCTTCTCTTTTTCTTAATCGCGCGAATATTCGTTCGCGAAGCTCAGTTCCACAATTTCTTGTGCGAGTTCCAGTACTTTGTACCGGAGCGTTTTCTCTCTCTTCGGATTTATCCTGTTTCTCAGAAAGAGAGAAAGAGAAAGGAGCTTCTCTCCACGCTACTTTAACACCAACGTTTCCACGCGACGCTGAAGCAATTTCTGCAGCAAAGTCATTGCCTGGCAATTACAGTTTCTTATTCCTCACCTCGTGTATCTCTTTCTCTAGGCTGTCTCTCTTCTTTGATATCGCCTCATCTTCTTCTATCTTCTATCCTTTATCTTCTCTTCTTTTCTCTTTTCACACGATATTATCTTTCCTCTTTTTGTGTCTTTAAAAGGATTAAATGGATGTGAGCCTTGAAAATCTTTTTTTTTTCGTTAAGAAGTTCATTACCTGTACATAAGATTTGTTATTTGTATTATTAAGTGTGAACTTGTGTTATACGTTAGCAATACTTTCTTCTATAATCACTATTATTAATCATTCTCAAAAATGTAGCAGAAGACTTAAGAAAATAATTAATTCTTACGATAAATCACAAATTCATAACAAGTAAGAAATGTAAATAAAATAACAAAGTATATACTTAACTTTAAAACCGCAATTGAGCTAACAGTTCTATTAAATTAAACGACGAGCCACAAGGTTCTTCAAAATAATATTCCAAGAAAACGTTATAAACCTTCAAGATCATTTTCATAGAATTCCTAAGAAGAGGGAACCCTTTGTTTCACCGTTTAAGGGTTAAGCACCATTAGAAGATGCATGTTTTGTGCTACGTCGTATTTCAAAGAGAAGAAGAAGAAGAAGAAGAAGAAGAAAAAGTAGAAGAAAAAGAAGAAGAAGTAGAAGTAGAGGGGAGCTGCACGAAGAGATGCAGGTCATTTTTCGATCATTGACCTTTAAGAGGGTAGCACGCTTCAAAAGGAAAGTTTTTCGTCGAGCTACCGTCATACAAAGTGTCTTACATGACGACTGATTATATTTTGTCCATGTCCAAATGTCCTTTCTTATAGTCTGAAAGAAAAATAAATTAAATTTATTAGCTTGCTTCCTGAAATTATACAAAAAATTTAACACTATTAACATGAGATTATTATGGGTTAAAAATTTCTAGATGACAATAAAATTGAATTATTCTTTTTTGCAACTTTTTTTCGACACTTTGTAAATGAATTATTATTATTATATCAAAGAGCATATCTGTTCGATTTTGTTCTTCTTAACAATTCATCAATGTAGAACTGTTGTAATAATATATTTCTATTACTTTCAACACTATAGTATATTAAATGCTGTGTTGCAAGAAGAAGATATATCCAGGAAAAAGTTCTTGGCGGTGGTCTTCCCACAATGTTGAACAACTACGGAGGGAGGACAAGACTTTTCCTAGCTCAACCGAACTCCTCTTCGATTTACGACTCGGACATAGAAACCATGATGGAAATTCTTTAAGAGGTTTCCTTGTTGCTATGTGAGAGACTGGGTTGCTTTACTCGATCCGGTTTCTAAATTCCCATGCTGGAATCATATAACAGTTTAAAGTAGCAATAGTTGTAATAGTTTTAAGTAGATATTACTGTAACAGTTTAACAAAGATTATAATATAAAAATATACAAAATATATATATATGTATATATATATATATATATAAATATATATTTAAAAAGAATTAATAAATTATGTAAGACTATAAAAAACAATCTGTTCTGCATAAAGGTACGTTCACCATAAAACAATCATAACTGAGTAAAAACTGAAGAACCGAGTTTTTCTCGAACAGTCATAAATTCGTAAAAGATTTAGTCTCGCTCCAGGGTGGAACCTTTACGATCGATCATTTTCGTAAAGTCAAAAGACATCTAAAAAAGAATTTAAAAAAAAGGGAAAGAAATACAAAAAGAGAGAGAGAGAGAGAGAGAGAGAGAGAGAGAGAGAGAGAGTAGCAGCAAGTAGAGAAGAGAAACGATCCGGTGACTAGCGAGGCGAATCGAAAGAACGAAGACACACACATACAGTGTGAAAAAGAAAGATAAAGAGAGGGGCCTTGGACCAAAATTACTTCGTGGAATGCAATCTCCTAACCTCGCGCAACTCTCGGAAGAAGAAACTACAATTGACCAGAGAGCATGCCCTGGTATGAAGAAGAAACACCAGCAGTAGCAGCAGCAACAACAACAGACGTAAGAACAAGAAAAATAAAAAGAAAAACAGTCTTGAGATTTCAACGTGTATCTATATCTTTAAACTGACCAATCTCTTTCTATCTCTGTCTTTCTCTTTAACGTTAATAAAGGCCAACTCGAGGTACGTAAAACCAACGAAGAAAAATACCGTGTTCGTTTCCTTTCTCATGCTCTATACTATGGCCTTTTGTCTTTATTTTTATTACCAAAGATTTCCGAACCGTCAATACCTTTCTTTAATTTTTTAATCTTTTTTTCAAGAAGGCCTCTCCTCTTTTTCCAGGTGTATTGTTGCTACCTCCTGATAATAATAATTTCGTTCGGGGTCTTCTCTTCTGTGAGAAAGCAATTTTTACTTTGACCTCGTATTTCGTTTTGTTCTTTTATTTATTTCTTTTTTAATACTTTTTATATCTTCTTTTTATATTTTGTTGAGTCATACAATTAATTACCTATGTTACGATATTACTTTTATTTTATACCATTTATTTTATTTTTTATTTTTAGAGAAGCTTTTTGCTTGATGTCTCTCTCTCTCTCTCTCTCTCTCTCTCTGTCTTTTTCAAAGAGCCTACTGATACTCAAGAGCGCGTGTCTCAGAGCCCCACATTTAATTCAACAAAAATCCTGGCGTGATATAAGCAGTGAAAGTTGTCCGCGTATCCTCACCCAGTCGGTCGTTTACTATTTTGTATGATAGATACACGCATACATGTAGTACATATGAATCAGTCTAGATATTATATAAAATGATATTATATAAAAAGATATTATATAAAATGAGAAATTATATAAAAAGAATGCATTAGTGTATTAAAATAATTGTTAATTAATCGTTGCAAGTGTCTATTGTTGTTTAAAAGCTTCGAATATATAATCTATGTAACGTCCCCTTCGAAATCCACCGTTGAACTGAGTCATTGTCCACTATACAATTACTTTTATTAAAAGTTGTTTATATGCCCTTCCAAACATTGCGCATGTGTGTAAAGGGAATGATTAATCTAATCAATAAAATTTCAGATTATAACGTTCTGATTTTAGTATTTTTATCTATTTTATGTAAATAAAAACAAGAGAAGTAGATAAATTTAATAAATAAATAAAAATAAATTTTTTGACATGAATATATATATATATACAAGACTAGTAAGATTATAATAATCACAAGTTAAGTCTATTTAAAAAGAATCTTGAAAATTTGTTCTTTCTATCATTTTTTTTTTATGAATATCAGATGATAAAACAACAACTGGCCAATTCATAACAATATTGGATCGTCTTTCTCTCTTGAACCCTGATCTTTTCATTCTCTAACTCTCTTTCTTATCATAATATTTCTCATAGTGAATAATATCGTTGAAACTCGCGATAACGAAGAGGAAGCGAATCTTCAAATTTACTATATTACCATCTCTCCTAGCGTTTAATTACGTCGCAAGATTCCTTCCCTATCTCCGTCTCGCTCGCACATTCTCATTTGCGATTAGATTTTGGCGGAAAATATTTATACAGCGAACTAGCGAGTAGAGCCAACCTCGCGCTATATAAATTGATAACCAAGAATGTGATAATGGCAACGCACACACGCACGAGATTAAGTCTTATCGTGTTGACCGTATAGGAGTAGATATACAAATACAATAAGTACCCAACTTGTGTGTCTGATATTTGCAGAGACTCCTTCTTGGTGTACGTGCACATAGATATTTCTATCTTCGATATTATTCATGGATGCGCAGCTTCCTCGTCGTTCAGTGTACGTATTTTGAAATATGAATAATTTATTGAATTCACAACCAGGAACCTAAAATGAACAAGATATTAACAATTTTGCAAATACTTCATCTAACAAAATAAACAACGTTCTTATTACAAATTTCATACGTTTTCTATGACATGAGTATACTTCATGACCGGCCCACGATATGGTAACTAAATTGAAATGATAAAAAAAAGAAAAAGAATATCCATTTAAGTTTGAGTGTATGTACAGCTGTGCGTGGACTTGTTTTAATTAAATTAAAGAATCATTAGCTACAAAGTCGTTTATTAAAGGCAGTTAAAAGAGCCGCAGTAATGGCGAACTCTATCAGATTTTATTTAATTCGCTCGATGGAAGAATATAACTTGTATATATGTATAAGGACCTTCCCTTTATCTTTGCCTGTCTCTCTATCTCTCTCTCTCTCTCTTTCTCTTCAATACATATGTACGTATATACATGCATACATACATATCTATGCACATTGCCAAGGAGGTCTCTACTCTAACGATGCGTGTACCAACGAGGTCGATGACCATCTCGTAAACAGATCGCTTACGCTCAAGGACGCCTGCGTAGTACGCAGTGTGGCTCCTCTTCTTACTTGCATACGCATAATATCGTTTTGTACTAACGATCGGATACAAGGAAATCCTTTGAATTTCCATACATGGCATCACGTTTAGAAAAAAGTGTCAAATGTGTATATATTTTATAAATATGCATCAGATATTTATTGATGATTTTTTTTGTTATTTATCTATATATCTATTTGATAATATCTGCTAGGATATTTTTTCTAAGAAATTATTTCTTTTGATTAAATAAAAAAATAACAAAAATAAATATAAATGCACTTTGCTTTTCTTCCTTAAAAAGAAAAAAAAATAATAACAAATGCAATATAATATTCAATGAACGAACGAAAAGAATCCCAATATCCAAACGAAACTGAATAATCAGACTCATTCAGTCAGTGTAGAAAAAAGCTATGAGAATCGTTGAGAACGCATCTTCGGAATAAATTCGTCTAAACAAAACCTCCGAGAGAAAAAAGAGAAGACGTATTGGTAAGATCAAGCTATGGCTCTTTTAATACCCTTTCTCTCATCCTTCAAATCTCTTTCTGCATACGAGAGAGAAATCGATCGACAGTTTTTCACCGGAGGTTTGCCTCTCTGTACTACCTTTTGGTCCACCGTGATGCGGAGCACGTAGTCATCCCTTTCCCTTCCCCTTGTGCCTCTACCCTTTTCTCTCTTTCCCTCCTGATCCCTTAGTCCTTCCCCGCATCCATTCGCTCTGAATCGCACTCTTTTTATTGGCCTCTTATCTTCGGCCGATGGTGAATCACCAGCAGAGCCCGAATACAACAGCCTCAGGGCAAAGAGGAGCAAGACTCGAAGAAGAAGAAGAGGGGGAGAGAAAAAGGAGGAGGAGGAGGAAGAGAAGAGTGATCCCAGTTTGCGTGTTGTGTTATTGCCGAGAGGTTTGTGTTCGTGAAATGGCCGAGAGGAGAGATACACGAACAGAAGAAAACAGAAGAACTTGAGTGGGGGGAAACGAAAGAGAGAGAGAAAGAAGTATGGACATGGTGTTGACCGGGCTTTGAACCCTGGTCCCTCTGGAGTACTACGCCGTAGTACGGAGCTTGGCCGGATTGGCCAATCCGGTCCTCTTCTTCGGAGCATCGGGTTCACTATCAACCCTACTTTCATCGTTTTCGTTTCTCTTTCCCTTCCTGTATTTCTTATATTCTCAACCCTTCCTCTTCGTACTTTTTAAACTTTGTCTTCTTTTCTTTGCTATATCTGCATAAAAATATGCTATTTAGTCACTATAAATATCATTATGTTTTATATAAATTACACACACACATACATACCATATATCTATGTGCTAAAAGATAAGTGTTCTTGAAATATGAATCAAACGGATTTATAACAGATTTCTAAGTTGGTTCCGTTATCCAGGAAAAGTCCAGTGTACCCCCTGCCAGGTGTATTGATACTGAACAGGTGGTAGCTACTTCTACTTCTAACTGATGTTGCTGATGCTGTTAGAAAAAACTCATTCCTCTCTCTTTCTCTTTACTGAAGATACAAGGAGAGAGAGAGATAGAGAGAGAGATAGAGAAGGAGCGAAAAAAGAATAAAGAGGAACTCCTGAACGCGTCAGTTCGTCCATACCATTTTGCAGACGAGACGAGAACGGCTTCTGGTGTTGAGCTTCCTCGAAGAAGAGTTGGAAGCACGGCCTACTACCAACTCTCTCTCTCTCTCTCTCTCTCTCTCTCTCTCTCTCTCTCTCTCTCTCTCTCTATCCTTTCTTTCTCAGCCTTGCGTTGCCTTGCTGGACTACACGATGGATGATCTTCTCTTTTCTACTTGCTTGCTAATTCTCTTTCTTTCTGTCTTTCTGTTTGTCTCTCTCTCTTTCTTTCTTTATATCTTCGATGGTGGGGAGAAAAACAGAGACAGAAGAGAGTTGAGCAGGGTAAGGAAGGAAGGAAAGGACCGTTGCACTGACCGGGCTTTGAACCCGCTATGTGGTAAACAACAGGTACGTTGCACCCGTGCCGCAATTTGTAAGACTCGACCTGACGAAGATCTCTGCACCGGGAAGTCTTTGCTCCGAAAATACTTAGCAAAAGACTTCCTAACGGCAGTGTACTCTATCCTCTTCCCCTCCCTCTTATCATATCACCCCTTCTCTACTCTATCAAAGCTTTCCCTATACTTTCTTCTTCAACAAACTGTTGATTGGAAACTTGACTTCATTTTCTTCAATCAAAACTTTGTAATGGCCTCTTCAACATCTCTAAAAATCAAAATTTATATGTATTTTAATTTGATTCTACGTGTATAAACAAAATATATTTTTGTTGACAACTTTTGTGATACCTGATGACCAATAAATTGTTTATGAATCCGTTCCAATTGTTGTGGTCTTTTCGTGGGTGGATTTAATAGGAAGACAATAGCGATGATTAATCATCAAAAAAGTTTTTTACTTTGTTTGTTGGATAAGGTTTGGTATTGTTCACCAGGAAATGGGCTATCGGTTTGAAACGGGGCCAAACGGTATCTTCACTCAGGAACGGACGTCATCAACTTCCGGTGTTGTTTAGACGAAGCGCCTAGCACTCTTTCATGACCGATCATGACTCGTCGTTTCGCTTACGAGAGATGGCGTAATACGTTCGTGCAATGAACACTTTCTATCAGGAAGAGAGAGGGAAATGAAACAAAATCTATTTCATATATTTACCTGCAAACTATCTATACTTTTTTTTTTATTATTTTCGCTGAAAAATATCGTCATTCGTAATTAGAAATATTTCCAATTGACTGAGATGATAATAAGTTCATTTTTCAAATGTTTTTTAAAAATTTATCAAGATGTCACCTTTAGATTTTTCCAAGTCAAACAGAAAAATACTTTGCTATTCGAGTGTTCTCCATTACCGACATTTGAAATTTGTTACTCGGTGAACCTTCGGCGCCACTGTCGTTGAATTACCAATAGAAGGCCACCTATACAATTTTTGGCGACTTTTTCAAAATTTCTTACACTTTCTATAATATATCATTTAAAAAATAAAATATATAAAATTTTAAATAGAAAGACACTATTTACCGAACACAAACAACATTTAGAGATTATACTATTTTCAATGTATACCCAATGTATTATCTTTGTCAAAAAAGGAGAAAGAACAATATAGCAGAATTATGCATATCTTCTTCTGTATATTTTACAAATAAAATTCGTGATTTTGCACGTTGTTATTATTAATATTATTATTATTATTGTTGTCACGTTTCTCTTTCCTCCACTTTAGCTTGTCAGACAATAAACACGCAACGCTTGGTAATAATAGTAGTAATAATATAACCGAAAAAGAAGAGAGAATATCGAGAGAGAGATAAAGAGAGAAAGAGATTGCTCATTTTGTTTCATTCTGGTTCGAGGAGGAAGTGGTAAAAAAAATGCATACTGCAATTCAAAGATATATAAGTATAAGGACAATTGTGTTGTCCACTGCGAAACCAGTTCATGGTTCGACTGCTCTCACGGTACCGATCCACTACCGGAATCGAGGTCATTTCCGGCTTACTACTTTGCTTTGGAACGGAGATTGAAGTGCAAAAGAAGAAGACATGATCGATCATCTTGATTTATATTATTTTCTTCTCCCTTCCCCATCAGTTTCTAATTTCTTTTTCTCATTTTACTGTATTATCAGCATCCAGTCAAATAATTTATATCAAAACAAAATTGTATGTATACCATTTTGTAATAATAATTGTCTCTACAATCTATCATTTAAAATTAAAAATTAGTTCTTCGACGTTAGTAAAAACAAAAAAGGTATGTAAGATAAAAGAAGTTTTGTAAATTGACTGGAAAGAAAAAAAAGAAATAAGATGCGCAATACATTTGGAAATCATCAATCAAAATGTCTGTCAGTGAAGTGTCAAACGATGTCTTTTTCTTTCACTTATCGATTCGAAAGAGCAAAAAAAAAAAAGAAAAAAGAAAAGAAATAAGCAAGGTTCTTCGTCTCATTGAATAACGAGTGCGAAATGTGAACGTATCGTCTAAAAATATTGTCGGGGAGGCCCAAGGTGCGCCTAGCAACAGAGATTGCATAGAAGCATGTAACTATAGTGAACGTGCGTGTTGTATACGTACTACATCGTCTACACGGCCGTCGTCGTCGTCGTCATCGTAGTCGCACAAAGAGACCGCGAGAAACCATGAAAATGAAAAGATAAAGAAAGAGAAAAAAAAATAATATGAGGAAAAAAAGAAAAAGAAAAAATATATTACAGAATTAACATTTAAATAAAAATGTAGCAACTTTTTAAAATAGCATAATAGAATTCAAAATAAATGTTTTAAATTGAATACAAGAATGTGTATATATATATATTCGTTCCAATTATTCTATCAATCTATAATTCTTAGATTTTTTCCAATTAAAAAATATCTCCGGATAAATTTAAACGCCTGATTCACGTAGTAAGTCATGTGAGCACTCTTTTAGTCACGTGAACTTACTACAATATTCAAATTTTACCGGTACAGCATTAAGAGATATATTGTGTCGAATAATTTATATAATTCTCATTTTTTTTTTTTTTATTTCAATTAATATTTCAATCTTATTCTTATGTTTTTAATCGAATAATATAGACGGACGCTTCTTAACTTCTTCATCTTCACGGCTTCGCGGTTAACAGGGTAATATTATAAGCCCTTAAATTCGAGTATGAAAAACGAGCGTAGTTTTTCTGTTTGTTTTATTTATAATCCAGACAAGCCGGATACGCTAATTACAAGATGATACGAGGAACGATCGATAATGATATCTTACTGAAATCGGTGAAGGTATATTTTTTTTCTCTTTTTTTTTTTATATCGGTCGAAGACTTCTCTCTTTCCTCTTTCTCTCTCTCTCTCTTTCTTTGTCTGTCTTTTGAAGAAAGATTGCTCTTCTCTACACCACTGTAGTAGGACAATTATCCTCAATCACGTTCCACGATTCGAATCGGATTGGTGTGCAGATGCTGCTGCTGTACTCTGCCTTCCATTTTGAAACCCGATATCCGATGACCGTTAAGAACCACAATAATAATAATAATAATAATAATAATAGTAATAATAATAATAGCAACAACAGTACAAAACGGAAGCAAAGTCAATTTTACTCTTACGTGTGTCGAATGGGAGTTTCGTAAAGGGTCCACAGTAAAAGAACGCACCTGTTTCTGAATTCTCCCAAAGAAGCGCGCATCACCGAGTCTCGAAATCTCACGAAGCACCTGTACACTTTGCTTACTAGTTCTTTTTCTTCATTTTCCTTTTTTTCAAACTGTAAATTTCAACCTCACCTTTTTTCCTGCTCAGATTTGTGCTATTTCTTCGTATTTTTCTGAAAATATTCTGTAACAAGGAACAATGGTAAGGATAAGAACGTGTGTGGAAAGCAAAAGGAATAAATGTAATTAATCAATTAATTAATTAACCTGGAGAAAAACAGGATGGCTAGGATGGAAGGATCAATTATTTCTCCTTTTGTAGTAACATTGGAAATTCCAGCTTTCAAACTTCTTACGTTTAAAATGACCATTCGTTTATATGGGATTTTCTGTAACAAGGAACAATGATAAGGAATAGATTGCAAGAAAAAGATGATAAGTATTGGATTAAAATTGTGAAGAAAAAGAAAATGGTTATGAAATGAAAAGGATAGACCTACTTTGTTTAATTGTATTTTTTTTTTTTGTTTCTTTTTTTTGTTTTCTTTTATAGATAATTTCTTTTTCTTAATAAACAATAGCCGCTGTAGTTTTACTTACTTATGTTAGTTTTCATTTCTTGTTTAGACTCTCTTACGATTACGGTTTATATATAATAATATAATATAATAATTAATACATTTATATATATTTATATATATATTTTATATATATGATATAAATATATATAATGTGTCAGATTTAAACATAATTGATTCTTAAAGATATACCACGAATACCGGTCTAGAAAATAGAGGCTCTTGGATCACTGGGAGTAGTTCTGTTCTTTTTTCTTCACACATTCTCTCTCTCGTTTGCTTTCTTTCTTTTTCATCCCTTATACTTAATACAGATGCTCATGTAATGCTCACACACGTCATATTTATGCACATTTCTGAACACACATACACACTGACACACTGACACACACACACACACACGAAAGAAGATTCTGCGAAAGAAAAAATACATTAAACTAAAATCGAGTATAATTAATCTAATTAAACGATTAAGAAGAAGTACATACTAAGTTATGTTTACTGAGATCACACTAATACATCACAGGGTTACATAGACATAAGACTTTCCACATGCTTTTCATTTGTTATACATATATATTTTTTTTGTTTTGTTTTTTTTTTTAAATTTCAATTTGACCATTTCCATTTTCTTCTACAATGGCAGACTTCTAATTAATCAGAGATTCTAAACACATTTTTAAATACATGGCCAATTAATTCTTGTACGCGTGTGTTAATACGTGCACGTGAGGTGTGAAAAATTAAAACATAAGAATAAAATAACAAAAACAACAGAGGTCTGCCATTCGTCAAATGCATCGATATGGGAGTAAAGAGAAAATATAATCCTTTCGAAATTACAACACTTATGTGTGGCTTGGGGATGATTTACGTAGAATAATTTACGTAAAAATAATATAATAATGTAATAATATTAATAATAATAATAATAATAATAACAAAGATTATTTTACAAATATATATATATATATATATATATATATATATATATGTATGTAAAGCTTCCTGGGAACAGAACTGTACGTCTAAAGTATCGATGACTCATGGTCATTTAAGTGAGAATTGGTCCTAGCTATAAATTTGATTAGAATAGAATTACAAAAATTGATCAATATAAATTGCAACAATAACAAAAAAATCAAGAAAATTAGAAAGAAATGAACACAAACGAGTATAAAATTTAAAAAAAAATAAAGAAATAAACGAAGATAAACTATAGGAAAATTTAAAAAAAAAAATAAGAAAAATAAATTTTCTTGTACGGACGCGCGCAGATAACGTCCATCTTTAAATGCAAAAGAAAGAAAGAAAAAAAAAAAGAAAAGAAGGACACGCAATTTTGATTCGACCTCTTGCCATGGCACTCTCGCGGAAGAAACTTATTTCTTTGTGGATTGTTTAAGTGTGTACGTTTTTGAAAAATACACGCACGTACACGCACACACACGTACATGAACTATAGTAATAACGCAATATGCTTTTCTGATATAATGATCTCTTTATCGGAAACTATACCTTTGTAACCGCAATTCGTATTAACTGTTTCTTTTTCTTTTTATCAGTTATAATCTCTTTAACAAGTTTTTAGGGGTTGTAAGGGTGGAGGATGGGAATCAAGTTTAGTGAAAAATCAGTAGGAAAGTCGGAGAAAAAAAGATAAATGGACTCTTTTATATACAAATATAATCTTGGATTATAACAGAAGGAAACACTTTCTCTGATATATTTGAAAAAATAAAACAAGAATTTGATAATTATTAATTATTTTTGTTGTTTTCTGATCTAATGAAAACAAAGTCCATTTTATCTTTCTTTCACTTTTTTTTTTTCAGTTAGCTCACAGTTAGCTTCGAAGGTACGAAAGAAAGAAGAACGCGGGGTGTGATTTGGCATCGGCTGTACTTTCATTATTCTTTTTTTTTTTTTTTTCTTTTTAATTATCGTACAGGAGATCAATGCTTAGAGAAAATATAAAAAAAAGGAAAAAAAAAGATATTTAAAAGGGTAACAAAGTACGGCTAAGCCTAAATTACACTACACAGTTAGCAATCATCATTGAGGCTTTGGCTGTTGTGTCTTTGAACGTCACAATTACCCCATACAAAAAAATTAACTTGTTCGCGTTAATTTCGAGTATAATAATTTCAAATCAATCGAAATTAACGCGAAAAGATTTTCTTTTCTTTTTTTCCTTCTGTTCTCTTTTTATTATTATTATTTTTTTCCTTTCTTATTTTCTCTCGTCTCTTTGTTAAGAAGTTTAACCTGGTCACACACGCGTAAAGTTCCACGAACCTTCGAGGAGGTTAAGAAAGGTCATCGAACGTTCGTGGAATGTAGGACGACCAAGAAAGACTTAGAAAAATTCTCAGACCAGCCTAAATTGCCTCTTTCCTTTCTAATACATATACACACGCACGCTCACAAACACATCATACGCACACATATTTTTTATATTTATATTTATATATGTATTTTTATATATATAGAAAAATATATACTACCGACATAGTTATATGCTTATAATTAATACGACGAAAATTCAATGTATTTCTATCTTTCAACTTAAATTTCTATATTTCATTATATATCTAATTCTCCTATAATAATCATAAAACACACGTACGCAGAATTTTGAAATCATACATCCACGAACACAACATACAGTCAAAAAACTCATTTGCATTCATTCATTCATTCATTCATTCATTCATTCATACATTTTTCTTTTTTCATTTACACATAACATACACACAACTCTTAATTTTAATTACAGCATGATCTTTCGTCGTTTATGTCCAAGAAAAGAAAACAAAACAATATGTTGAATATATTACAATAATTAATTTCGACAAAAGAAAAAAAAAGATTTATCCTTTTTTTTCTTCCTTCTAATCCTAAACAAATTTTTCCTTCACCCCATAATCATTCCTTTCAATCTTATCGTCACCGTCATCATTATCATCATCATCATCATCATCATCATTATTATGTGATCTTAAGTATGAATATTAATTATTATCATTTGTTATTACTTACATCGGTGTGATCAACATCCTCGTCATTTCACATATATATATATAAATATATGTACATATATTTATATAAATATGACCGAATCGTAGTTATTAATTTATTTTAACCCTTTTTTTTTTTTGACTATATACATATATATGTATTATATACATATATATATATATTATACGCTCTCGAAGATTCATCAATGTATACGAGAAACGCATATATGCATTTTGTGTAAAGAATGATAAATAAATGAGCAAAACGATTTAGGAAAAAAAAGGGTTAAACCACTTATGCAAGAAAAAGCCCATGTGAATGATACAAAAATATCCGACGACTTCAATGAAATACATACTTCCTTTACTTATTTTAATTTCTTCATATTATTTTTTTTCCATCAAAAGTCGTCGTTTCTCTCTCTATGTATACGTAAATATTAATATTAATATTGTTGTTGTGTCGTTGCTGCTGTTGCTGCTGTTGATATCGTTGATACTATTTTCTAGCTGTCTTATGCACCTACTTAACCGTCATTTTATTTATTCATTCTTATAGAATATCAGAATCGTATGTGAATACTCACGAACGCAAAAATGAAATTAATATTTTTATTATAGGGTAGAAAATAAAATTTTAAAAGATTATTTTTTAAAAAAAGGAGAAAAAAAGAATTATATATTAAGAGAAGAAAAAGTATCTTTTTCTCTCTCTCTCTCTCTCTCGCTCGCTCGCTCGCTCGCTCTCTCTCTCTCTCTCTCTCTCTCTCTCTATATATATATATTTTTATATATATATGTATAAACAAAAACAAAAAAAAAATGAATCGTAATTCTAATCTTTTCGCTGTTCGCATGTATTATTGGTTTTTTTTTATTTTCGTTTATCTCTGTCTCTTTTTGTCTCGTTTTATAGCTGACACGTGGATTCGTGGCGCTTCGATAAAATCTAGTTGAATGGCACAGCCTAAGGACCTCGCCTAATTTCTCTTCTTCACGCTTATTTTTTTTGTTCATGTCCTTTCCTTCATATTCGTCGTTACTTTATATCCTTATCTCTCTTCGCTGTCTTCTTCCATATTTAATTATTAATCTTCTTATTTACTTTCTATTATTTCCCTCTAATTTGATTCTGCTTCTTTCTTTTTTGTTTTTGTTTTGGTTTCTTTTTCTTTTTACAAATGTTAAATTCATTTCCTAAAATTTTGTAGGATGGATTATTAATTTGAGATATGATTTTGTAACCATAGACAACGCGAATTTTGGGCCATCGAAGAAACAGAGAAGAAGAAAAATTTCAGGCCGAGGCTGAAGGAGAATGCCGAAGGCTCTTTAGCTGCGTATTTGTCCTGCATTACGTGCAACCTTTTCCGGTGGTTCTATTACACTCTTCGTGCCACCGTTTAAGCGACGTTTACGGCTCTTCATGTAGTCTGTAATCAAAGAAATCAAAAAAAAAAAAAAAAAAAAAAAAAAAAAAAAAAAAAAAAAAACAAATAATTCATTAGTTTACAATTCATTTACAATTGTTTTCTTATCTTCTAAAAGGTAGGGGTCAAGGGTTCTTATTAAATCAATTACTCGTTAGACTTATAATTATGACTGCAGTTCTACAATCTAACTTCAGAAAAAACAAAAGATACATAAATTAATCTCTAAGTTCAGCAAAGGAAAAAAAAAGTAATTAATTTTTCAAATATCCCATTTCGTTCATTCATCTTCTTCTTTTTTTTCTTTTTCTTTTTGCATTTGAATTATTCTCCTCTGTCTCGAGGTAATTAATTATACAATTAATTAGAAATGAAATGAGATCTTTTTTAAAATGTGTTGAGAAATCACATTGATGAAATATAAAAAAGCAAAGTGAATAAATATATCCCGTGTATGTGTTTTATAGGAATGTACCATATGGACTACATGACGATAACGTTGTAACGAACAACTCGCTACGTCGTCGTCATTGTCGTCTGACGCACAGTTATCTCCAAAGAGTTACAGCGGTTTTTTTTTTATTATTCTCTTTCTCTCTCTCTATTTATCTTCCCCCTTTTTTCTAATTGCTAAAACGCAGCCTCCAAACTTGACCTCCTTGTATCGGCCTATGAACTTAGTCTCCTATGTTAAATGCACGCTGCTACTAATCTTCGTGATTAAAAAAGAAAGAAAGAAAAGAAAAAAAAAAAAGTAACAACACAACAGCAACAAATAAAAAAAAAACAAGCTTTCTAAGAGATAAAAACGAAAGGCAAACAACAAATTTTCTACGTAAAATTTGTATTTTAATATGAACCCATATAGTTACGAAATCGCATAGAAAAATGAATTATTTTCATCGTAAATAATATTTTTTAAACGAAAGACGACGATGGAACGAATCGTTGGAGAGGAAAAAATTTCCTGCAATGAGTCATGCAACATACGCAGTTAACTCATTGCAACCAGAAAGACTATACTCATAAAAGCTTCCACCAACTTTTATCCCCGTTTTTCCCCTCCTCATCCAAGATGGAAGATGAGTTCTCTATTCTTCTAAACAACATTTGGCCAAATTTTCGCAGGAAAAATCGATGCATCTGTTTTTCTATGTGTGCTAACTAGATGAGAACCAACGACCCCATATGGATGCGTGCGTGTATGTGTGCGCGTGTGTGAAAGGTATCGTGCATTTTGCGTTTAGTTTTGTTCCTGACACGTGACAAGAATTATGGCTCCGGTAGGAACGTCAATGGCAGTCGTCGTTCCCGTTTTACTACCCTTTGAAGTTCCCACAGGGTTGTACAGGGTGTTCACACCCTTCTCGAAACCCCTCTCTATGCACGCGTGCCGTTCGTATGTCGATTTTTCTCTTCTCAATCGAAAAAAAAAAAAAAAAGAAAAAGAATTTTTATTTTATTCGCAAAACGATCATTGTTATCGAACACGCGTTGATTTCTTTTTTTTTTGTAAATAGAATACTTTTTGTCATTCATTTTATCATTATTTTTTCTATTGCATAAATAATTTCAATATATTATACATCGTGTGTGTCGTAATTAAATTGATTTCATTTAAATTTAAGAGATGGAACTATTTATAATAATTTTTCTACAGTTATAATGTAATGTATCCTTACAAAAAAAAAAAAAACTTTATGCAAGTAAGACGCTTGTACATTTTTGATGACTAAAAATTGATAAAAGAAAGCAGCGGTTATCAGGAAATTACCGCAATTTTACCGCAACTGAGCGAATATAATTTCAAGAAAAAAAGAAAAAGAGAAAAAAAAAGAAAAGTAAAGAAAAATGGAAAGAAACGAGGAACTTAAAGATGATCATCTAGGAGATAAATCGATTCTATAAAGGCTATCGAACTTCTATTACTAGTTTTCATTTCCTCCTTCTCCCTCCTCTCCTCCCAACATTATTGCAACGATATTTTCCTATCTCTTCTCTTCTTCCACGTTCATTATATAGATTATATATATGTGGTACGTTCACCGGACGTCAAGTAAACAGGATACATGCACGAATTACGTTATTGTGAAGTCCACAATCTTTCCTACCAAGACAACATTTATTGCAAAAAATAGAAAAAAGAAAAAAAAAATAAAACAAATTAAAATCACTAGTATATAGAAATGATTAATAACGAACGCGTTATATAATTTAACGAATCAAATACCTTGCAACAGGATTGTTTTAACGATGAAAATCATTCAAACTAACGTTGAAGTTTCTAATCTCGAATCGATTATCGATTTAGGGGAGTGCATCTAATCGTACGATAATAATAATAATAATAATAATAATAATAATAATAATAATCGTCATCATCGGCACCCGGTGAATCTGATTCATACTTGCCAATTCGAAATCGCAACGTTTCGAGTGAGCATATGCGGGTCGTTTATATATACATATACATATATATATAAAAAAAAAAAGAGAAGGAAAAAGAAGGATGACGAGAAAGAAGGGGGGAAGAGGGGAGCCGAGTGCATCGTTGACGATCTTGATTTAAAATGCCGAGGACGATGACGAGTCTTGTGGGGATCGTGGCATGTTCACCCCCTAGGCTCTGCGTCACGATTGTGAGCACAGCTGATACCCCCATACAGACTGCAAACACATACACGCACACATATACGAATATGTTTATTCACTTACTTACACACAGGTATGCATTCGAAAGAGAAAGGTAATGCAATGGACGGCTGCACACGCCCATCGTTTCGAGAACAAAAGGTGTAGAAAAGACGGAGTACGACGTTCGATAGAAAAGGAAGGAAAATGGAGAGGTTATGGTAACCTACGGGGGTGGCTCAACAACCCCATATGGGTCGCTCGCTCCTCTACAGCTGACCGCTCGGCTCATTAATAAAGTACGTTACGAAAATCGTTCGAGACCCCACTGTGTTGTATAGATGTATTTTTATTTGTATGGGGGTGTACACGTGTATAAAAGAGAAAAAGCAAAGTACGTTACTCTAACCTATGCTCGTTCTACCGTGAACGGATTCGTTACAACGCGATCTAATCGATTAATATCTATCTCGTGGTGTCTTTATAATTATTCACTGAAAATTTATTATTTTTATTTTTGGATTTCATTACCGACCGATTTATGTATCTTTTGTATTTTTTTTCCTTTTCATACTTGAATGATAATTTATTTGTGCTCGAAATTCGTGGGAATGTTCAAATCACGTCTCTAGACAGGGTTGTAGTAATTCTATATATAAAAGTTAAATAAAATATTGCTTTTATCTTTCTTCTTTTTTTTTTTTTATAAATATATAGAATGACACGTTTTGTACGAAGTATTTCTTCTCTACCCTTGCAATTCGTTGACGCGCAGACAAAAATGGCACCGGCATCCCGCGGTGCAACACAAAAATATAAACACAGAGGAGAGAGTTTTCGTTGTCATCGCGTGCATCGAACAACGACAACGACAAGGAGAATGACTACGAAGAGTCATGTCCAGAAATAGTCACGTCGCGTGGGTGGCTTGCACGAACGAACAATAAATAGAGAAATAAACGAAAGAGAATTAGATCATGTGAGATACAACTCGAAAAGGAACAAAATGGTTGTCTTCTCAAAAAAAAAAAAGAGAAAAAGAAATAAGAAAAAAAAAAAGAAATTAAAAATAAATAATACGAGGCGTCGCGAATGATTATTCCTAATTAAACATGCAAATAAAATTGAAATGCAAAAGAAAAATTAGATCGAATGAGTAATTCTCAACAATAGTTAGCGCGTCACCAGACTTCCCGGCAATATTTGTCAACCTTGATACCACGTGCGTGGTTTGCACGTGCGATTAAATACCCTTACAACGCTATTATTTTTCATCTTCCTTTCTTTTTATTTCTTTTTTTTTATTTTTTACAAAAAGAAAAAAAAAATCTATCCTTCAACGAGCTAGCTAGATAACCAGTTGCAACGAGTTCTCGATGTTATCAACACGAGGAGGACGAGTAAATGACCATTTCGAAAGTAACAACGAACTTACGTGGAAGATAAAGCGGGAAATTTAAAAAAAAAAAAAAGAAAAAAAATACGAAAAGAAAAGATTTTTCTATTCTTCGCGAATGATAAGAAATATAATCTTGATTTTCCAGTATATCAAAGTCGTATTACAACGAGAAGATTTTAAATGTTACGATTAGATAGATCCACGGATAAAAAAATAGATATAGATCTAGATTAGATTAAAATTTAATTCCTCTAATAAAATAAGTTGAATATTGTTTCGCGAATATGACAAATAGAATAAGAAAAGGAATAAAAGAGATAACGAAGTATAAAACGATGATCAACTGTTAAACACGAAAAAACCAATGGTATTCCTCCTGTCTTTACAATTATACTAATCAACACGAGCGCGTACGATTTTTATATACATTATTTTTACTATATTTACTATATATTATTAACAGGCGTAAGATTTTAAATGACATTCACTGTATGTACTCTTTCTCTTTCTCTCTCTCTCTTTCTCTTGTTCTCGAACGATGATGCTCACTGCGCTTATCCGTGAAAAAAAAGAAATAAAAACAAAAAAAAAAAGTATTGAACCGATATCTATTTTTAACTTTATCGCATTCGGCCACCGATACACCGCGATGCAGATATATAGGAGGCACGGTCATAATAATCGTTAACTAAACTTTTCCGTCGGTGAAGCAAAAGTTTATTTCTTTCTTTTTTTTATTTTTTTGTTTTTCATTTAATCCGTTTATCCTCGTTCTAAATTATGATTGAAAAAGCAACAATAGAAATATTACGTATACTTTCGACGCGTATATATATGTATAAATCTATATCTGTGTATTGAAAAAGAAAATTATACAAATATATGTATAATATATAACAAATACAGGTAAATGCATAACGCACAAAAAAATATAAAAAAATACAAATGCATAAGTTACGTGTATATCTCGCAATAAATATATATACGTGAACAAAAAATAATGACAAAAAGAAAAAAGCGAGTGCAATTTCTTATTATTACGGACTGTGACTTGCGTAATTACGTAAATTGAGATGACCTTGCCGATCACTGGATTAGATTGACCTAGGCTGCAACATTTTATTGTTATCTTTTTCTAGACGAAAAAATTTATCGAATAAAATATTTATTTCATAAGAGAAAAAAACAAATGATTGTGACCCTTGAAATAAAATGGCGTGAAATCGCAGAACATTTATCTCGCTAAACAAACGATTGACGAAAGTAAAGAATATGGCTGCTGACCACCGAAAAAATGGCGCGTGACTGGTTAATCGTCAACTCCCATCGATTCTAAACGAAATTCTGCGATTCTAGGAAATAAAATGAATAATATTTCATAGAAAATATAAAAAAGGAAAGAAAATATAATTTTTAAATAAATAAAAAGGTATGTAAACGATAGAGAAGTATTGCAAATATATGCGCGAAACATGCAACGATATAAACAAAACTATTTCGCCTTTGAACCTTGCTTTTAATCGTCAAAGATACGCGCGTCATTTCAAAGAGATTAGAGGCGCGAAAATTAGAGGTTTGTTCGTTAAACGTTCATTTTATACACACATATATTCATATCATTTTCTTTCTTTTATATTCTTGTATATTCTTTCTATCATTTTTATAACTCTAATCGAGACATTTCTTTTTCTCTCTTCCTTCATTCTTTCGATAGGTGAATGAATAGATAGATATAAATAGATGGATAGATAAAAGAGAGATAGAAACGTTTTATTCTACGCTCATATAAGCCTTTAAAACAAACGTTTTCCAGCACTGATCGAGGTTACGCAATCGGCACACACACATTTATATAATCAAGAAAGATCTCTAAACGAAACACACACGATTGCGCTACTATCCGAGTTGAAGACATTTTTCTCTCTATCTCTTTCTTCGGAAGAAAAAAAATAAGCGCTTATTTCTTGCTGGAGAGCTAAACGTTAGCCATTCGAAAGCCCTTGACCACTCGAAGCAATTGGGAAAAGCAAAAAAAGTTAGATTTATGGGTGTCTCGACAACACTTTTTTTAAGCAAACGAAAGAATTCATTTTTTTTTTAACGTATTATAATTTAATTTAAGATAAAAACTCGATCCTTTACGTCAACGGAAAGCAACCAAACATTTTCCAAAACTTAAATTAATATACATGTATAACATGAATGACACGTCGCCGATTCGATGCAGTCAAATACAACGAACCTAATCGATTGAAATGTTGTTTCCTCGTTTATATCTCTTTTTATTTCTCATTCAATGGATTTCTTTATTTCTCGATATGAGTCACGTGTTATTTTTTTCTAACAGAAACTCCACGTGGTATACGAAATGAAGTACACAAAAACAAACGACTTTTTGATTAATTACGAATTCGTTGTGTTTACCATCCGACGGATATCTCGTCAATTGTACGATATCAATTAGATAAATCGAGACTTCATTCTTTACTTTATTTTGATATGCACGTGTCAAAATAAAATAACGTAAGCAAAGGGTTATATGTCAGAATGGTGCGCAATATTTGTAGCCAGAAAGATTTGATACATATAGACAAATAAATATGATAAAGGAATAAACTTACGCGTGATGGTGGTGATTTTTCTCGTGCTCATCGGCAAGACAGGCGTGGAAGGTTCAATAGTGGAATATTTCTTTTTCCTGGCACTCTCATAAGTGGTATGATCATCGGAGGAGGTCTCGTTCGGCGTACTTTCGCCAATTTCCGGTACTCTAGATCGTTCTCGTTGGGGTGGTGTCCTTTCGGACTTGGTATTTTCATCGACAACTTCTTCGGTAGTTTCAACATCTTCTTCTGCTCGCTGAGTAATCGTAGTTTTCTTCGACTTTCCATTGGTAATAATAGGTGCTGTTGCTATCGTCGTAGTCGAAGCTGCAACGACAACGACTGCAGTAGCAGTGGTGGCTGCTGGTGTTGTTCCTGTTGCCACCGCTTTCACATTGGTCGTTCCATTCAACGTTCGTTGGGGAGGCGTAGGAAGAAGAGTCGTAGTTTGCTGCTGTTGTACAACAACATTATTATCTTCGTATTTTCTTGGCGTCGAAGGTGCGTGTTTCCTCAAGTATGGCATACTGCGAAGCGCATAAGGCTCCGGTATGATATCCTTCGACGTAACAACCTCCCACTCGTATCTGGAATTAGATTTGGGCATTTCCAAGTGAAAGTCGAATCCCCATCTTTCGGTGTCCAGCAAGGATTGAGCGCGTAACTCGCGTTCGGCCAAGGCACGAGCAGCGGCATGGTCAACAGGACCAAACAGATCCCTTCTAACGCGCGCGAGAGCTGCTGTGCTCGGCACCGTTCGCCCTCCCCCTAAGTTCCGACTCATTTCCGTCATCATCGCCGGATTCAACACTCTTGCGCTCATATTTTTCGTTGTTACTCCTTCTAGAGCGCGCCAACGTCGCTCTCTCTCTCTTTCTTTTTCCTTACTTTTTTTTGTCCAATATATTACAATACTTTTTTTTCAAGCGTTCACTTAAAATAATTCACTGTCCCTCCGCCGCCCGCCGACACGACGTTCGAACAATCCGCGTCGTAATGTCGACGTAATGAAAATTTCTTTTGCCCGGCATAAAAGTCGTCTTTTCTTCTTCGTTCACTCGTTACCGTTCAACTCTTTCTTTCCCACTCGCACCACCGCCCAACAGAGATGATTATCCTTCTCAGAATCGTCGTGTCTCGAAGCGTTGAAATACTCGCGCCGAACAACAACCCGGCAACGCTGCGCGATCCACCGAATTTCGAATAATGGCCGCACGTTCCTCTTACTACCACTCTGCGCTGCTGTTCTTTAACTAACTCTTTCTCTTTCTTTCTCTCTTTCTCTCTCTCTTGAGATCAGAGATCAGCGAGAAGTTAACTGAGAACACACGATGTTATGCATGCAGTAATACGACTCCGATACCTTTCACTTCGAACGATTATATTCCAATCGGATTATTCTCCACGATCCTGTTTTTCCCAGCACATGAGTTTCTCCAAACGAAAATGCTCCAAGAGTCTAAGAGAGAAGCAGAGGGGGAGGCAGTACGCGGCGGGACACGGCGCAACGTTCGAACGCTGTTCGACAATCTGACAACACTGCAAGCGCAAAAGACGGAAGGCTGAAAACAAACTTCGAACGTTCACGAACGAGGACGAAGCCTTCGGCTTTTCTCTTTTTTTATTATATTTTCTCCTTCTTTCCCTTCCTTTTGCGAAAATGTTGATATTCCTATAACAATCTCACTTTCTCTCTCTCACTCTCCGTATTATTTCTATTTTTCTTTCTCTCTCTCACACTTTCCTCGTAACATTTTTCTTCTCACGTTAGAATACTCCCCGTCACAAGGCCCGCAAGAAATTTGATCCGGCAACGTTGTACGCACTTGCGCGCGCGAGACGACGACGACCACGACGACGACGACGGTGGGAGGAGAATGAGGAGAAGATAGAAGGAGGAGGTGGAGGAGGAGGAGAAGGAGGAGAATGACGACGAAGACTGGAACGCGTTGAGGCGCGCGTGCGAATTTCGAACCTGCTCGTCGCGCGCTTTTTGTGTTATTCGTATCTCAGTGACGATGACACACGCGACGACAAGAAAACACTTGCGAGATATTCAAACAAAAGAATAATAATTATCCTTAATCCTTTTTCGAATATGAAATTTCGCTTCGTATATATATATATATATGTTTGTGTATATATAAATTGCACACGGCCCGTAGGTTTCGTCGAACAACTCTCCGATGCGTTTATTAATTTGTCAATAAATTCCCGTCAAAGTTCGATTGATAAACAACGACGATCGACGATCACGATTAACCGTTATGTTTGATCTCTCGATGAAAATTTTGAGAAACGATAACGACAATGATGACGACGACAGGGTAGTAATCATAGAAACACCGAAAGACTTGCGTTTATACAATATTTTCTTTCTATCTGAAACGAGAGAAAATAGTTGTTAGCGGAATACAAGCGAACGATTGATGCGATTCGTTGTCTAATGCTCTTGTTACAAAAAATGTATAACGGAGATGCGCGAAAACGCATTAAACGCGTGTAAAGCGCCTTCTAGCGACTAACTGTGGTTCCTCTTGCTGCAACTGTGCGAGGTCTTCGTCGCGACGACCTCGGCCATTTCCGTCGCTGTCTCGGCCATTCCCGTCACCGTAGCGACCCCCACTATCAATATGCCCGTGGTACTCCCCACTTTTCCCTAGTCATCTCTTTCTCTGCTATGTATTACTCCGCGCAATATACTTTCTCACTCTTTCTCTCTTTCACGAAAGGAATACCGAAAGGAGGGACGCGAAATAACCGTCGTTTGAAAGTCTCGCGCCCTGTTGTATATTCGAGACGAGCGCAACGACGAGCGATCTTTGAAGCAAACTCGATAAATACCATATACATTCGTGTCTCTGTATACGTGTCTGTGTACAGTTATCGAACCTTTCCCTCTCCTACTCAGTCTACCAACCATATACATACACCTTTACTCTTCGCAACAAACACGAGCGAGAATACTCGAACACAGTTTCTCTCTCTTCGTTCAAAGGATTGATCTCACCTATTCTTTTTCTCTATCATCCTTATTCTCTCTCCCTCTTTCTTTTTCTTATCTATATACTTACTGAGATATACCGTATTCTCTCGTCACTTCTTCTCTTTTTCTCCCTTTCTTTCTTCTTTTTCTTCTTGCACGCAAACAAGCACGAAATGACTTACGTATTTGGAAGATCTTCGACTGCGGGGGGTATGTAAAAGAATGAGCAAGAAAGATAGAACAAACTAGTCCTTTCTTTTTATCTCTTTTCTTTGGCCTCTTTTACTCTCCTTGAAGATGCTCGCGTGCTTGCTTCTACACGTTTTCAGATTTGGAACTCGCATTGATTTCTTTGACTTTATTTGACTCCTCGTGCATTTCTAAAGAAATAATAGAAGATCTTAGATGATGATTTTATCTTGATCCACCTATTATTCATGATGAAAATTGATTAGAAATTATTAAAAATTTCACTTTATAATTAGGTTACTTCTCAAACAGGAAAAGCTAATACAAGTAAGAGGCTCATTCATTAAGAGATGATAGAATGCATCCGTTCTATTATTCTATTAAATATTATGAACTCATATATATGTATATTCTTACGTATATATATATATGTATCTATCTTTTATATAGTTTTAATTCCTTACCGCTTTCTTTCTGCGTAATAGTACCACATCAAATTTCGAAGGACACTAATTAAAATACGTTTTAAAATATGTCTTAACTTTTTGACCTGATTAGCCAATTGCAACGCGGAAATAAGTCTATGACTTGATTGGTCCATAAATTATATCGATTTACTGATATAAAATAATAAATTAATTTTGTAAGCAAAATAAGGTAATTTATTCTTTTTGTCATTCTATTCGATAATATTTATTAATTACATCAATATTTACGACATATTAATTATTTCAATTTATTTTTAATATTTTTAATTCTTATATACTGTTACTATAACAAAATAGATCGCATATAATTGGCTAATTATTAAACTACCCGAAATTTGACCAATCACGATCGTCGTTACTCATTTAGCGGTTATTTCTCTTTGGGAAATTCAACGGAACGGATCGTACATCGATGAAGTCGGAAAATTGTAAGTTTTTATTCTATTCTAATCCATTTTCACTTTTTAGTTATAATAATCGATCAATTCAAACAGAAAAGAAAGAAATATTGTAATAATTAAATATAATCCGATGGAATAAAGATCATTAATCGATATTCAATATTTCGTAGATAGGAAGATAGAGAGGCTATGTTTGAACGCACAAATTGACAGGAATCGTCATTCTCATAATTACAGGTAATTAGCAAATATTTTTAACCGATACCTTTTTCCTAATCATCAAATTATTCTTTATAACGCATGTTTTCTAATATGCATTATTTATAGGTGGAAGTTCGTTGGATTTAAAAAATATTCGCCAAAAAAACTCGACATCCTGACATCTTTTGAAAAGTTATAAGGTAATAAGATTTTTTCTAATTTTTAACCTTTTTGTTCAAAATATCGATACATATTTTGCTTCTTAATGATTTTTTATTAATAATCTTTTTATTTATTAATCACCATCGATCGTATTCTGTATTATATTAGATATACATATATGCCTATGCAACTACACATACACACACACAGTATAGACATTCTATACACATATGCATACATATACATATAAATTTACGTTGAATTTATTTATTACTTTAATTATACTATTTTATTTTTACAGATTTGTAAGAATTTTATATTGATTGTATAATTATCTTAACAAAAGCATTCTTTTTTTAAAGTTACATAGGCATAATTAAATGTGAGAATAAAGTCATTTTAATTCTACATTTCATTATTTAATCACTGTGTTAAACTGTTTAAACAAATATGCTTTTATTTGAAAAATTGTTACTGTTAAAAAAACGTTAGAATAAAATAATTTTAATCAAAAATTCTTTAAGGAGAAAACTGGGATATCCTGCAATCTGCAATATGTATATATATATTGCAATTAGGCCTATTCAAATTTGAGATAAACTTAACAATTATTTTGTAATAATTTTAATCGAATAATTGATATATATACGTAAATATATATATTTATTAATTATCTAAATATAATATTAAGAAATAAATAAAAATCTATCTTTAAAAAAG